GCAGTGGTATTGCGCGAGGAGGTTCTCTGGTCTACGGAATTGAAGACACCATCCCATCAACATTCCCATGTTTTCTTACAGGAGGCGAGTTTGATCGGATGGGGGAGGATAATTTGTTGGCCCCAGGTCAGTACCGGACGGAAGATGAGACCTGAGTTCCCAGAACTTGGGAATGGCTTTTTGATGAGCAGATTGCAACATTATCTCTCTACATTTAGGCCATATCGAGATCTGCGGGATTCCAGGTAGGAGCAGGTAACCGACGCAGTGCGACATTTAGTGATATCAGACCGCCACCCCCTTGTGAAAGAGCAACACCAGGGGATAGAGCATCACTGATGTGCGAACCGTGTTGTCTTCCTCGCGGTTAAGTCATCGAAGTGAGAATTACCCCCCACGTTTATCGATTGATGTGAAGATGGAGTGAGCACTTTACTGTAGTAGTTTACCTCGTCGTCTAAGACTAAGCTAATAGAGTTATCATATGACAATATGTTTCCACCCCATCGGGATACGCCAACAACTTACTGTATCTTCATAGCTCTTAGCATTTTTCGTCATATCGTACTATTCTCCGAGGTGACTCACTTCCAACGACCAAGGCCTGGTCTTCCTCAAAAGTTTAAAGGGTTAAAATGGATGAATCATTGGCTGGCTTTTGATTCGTCCACCTCAAAATACGTCAAGGCGAAGGGCCGGGCTTTAAATATCAAGCCTCCAACCCGCCTCAGATGTTCGCCCGAGTAGGAGAAGCTCATACGGGGATGATGTAATTCATTAACTGGCGTGTCATTCCGTGGAACCTAAACTGCATCGTGGTCATGAAGACATAAGCTAGATAACACAACCCGTTCTAGATCACTTGCTTTTCGTTTTCTACTTTTCGAGCCTAATGAATGTCTTGTCCCTGGCATGGATTCTGAACACATGAATCAGACAGAGGTTAATTTGTCGACCTAGTTGGAGACATTGAATCAGGGTCGCTCGATGGACAGTACTCCCTTCTGCTGGCCCCATCGCAGGAGAAGCCACCTACGCGAGAATAACACTACGTCCATTGTTATTCCTCGTTTGCCTCTGTCACGGGTGTCTGCTGCTATCCTTCCGACGTTGTCGTACGAGAGATTCTGGACCACGTTTTCCTGCCTCATACGGGAATTCTGCGGGCCAGTTAGTCCAAGTAGAAAGAGAGCAATGGACTTTCGCTTCGGTCATTCTGAAGCGACGGCCAGTTTTAGTATGGGTGATGAGGTGTCGCCGTGTGACTGAGATGCAAACTTGTGTCAGGACCAGGATGTCAGTGTTCTCCGAGACGCATGGCTAGAGATGAATGATGCGTGAGGCCGAATGCCCGTATCACTTCTGGTCCCTGTGCCTAGAATACACGAGGGTTGAAAACATTAAAACATAATAGGCTCGTGGTTCCAGGAAGGGCGACATCATCTCATGGTGGCCTCGAGCCAAAAGGCTCTGGAGCACGGAATTCATGAAGGGTGTCAACTATGCGATGCATCAACTGATCCCGTCGAAATTTGCAAGAAAGTCGACGTCAAAACGAAGGCAAGGGCAGAGCACAATACGTGAGCATTTTACGAAGTACGAAGTAGGCAGCAACACTGGCAGCCTTAATCGACCAACTCACTCACATGTTTTGTCAGAGCACAAGCAAACTTGCTCCTTCTTCTCTCCGCCAAGTGCATGAGGAAGGACCGATGTGACGTGACCAATCAATGTCGAGGTAAGATCCTCAAAATGGCCAAAGTTCACGCACAAAGTGCTTCGCACGTAGTACCTCTTCCAATGTACCTCGCGTATGACGTTTCCAACTGAATGGTACCCTTGACATGGGTATCAAAAACATAAACCCCCCAACCCCTGTCAATTTGCAACTAAGTTGTTCTTAGCTCCAATCTTGGCGTTCGATTAAGCTTGCAGCCCCAGATATTCTGTTTTCTTCCCTATGAAGTAGATCTACGGAAGTTTGGAGATGCCGTTTGTACTTGAAATGACCACTCCAGCCTTGACATTGATGGAATTGTTCTCCTTCTTTCAAGCGGAAGTTCGACCTTTCTCAGTAACAACGAACTCACGCGTGAGAAATAATGGCTCTGTGTCGTTGTATCAAACTCCTCCTACACGAGACTGGACCAGTATGACGAAACGAATAAAGAGGCATCCCCGAGCGAGGCCGGTCATGAGTTCATGGCACGGCGCACTTGAAACGGGCCTTCGTCCATGCATCCGATATCGAGATATTAGTACCTCCACGCCCTACTTTCAGACAATGGATGCCGTACCCTGTCTGCTGCCACCGATCGCAATGCTTGAAAGGCCTGGATGGCCGGCACCCACTATTATTAACTTTAAACTACAATGGCGGGAGCCTGATATCTTGGGCCCATCACACCTTCGTAATTGATATCCGACATCTAATTGATCTGGCACAACTTGGTATGTGATCAGGAGCTATTATTGATACCCCGCCTCTGATGGCTTACCCTCTCATACTTCAGAGCGACCTGTTCCAGAAATACTGCGACCGATTGATGGATGTTAGGTCAAGATCAATGATTGGCCCCCTGCGATTCCCTTCCTGATTCGACCAGAGGCGTGGAGCCTTAGTAGGACGTCCAAGTTCAGGTAGACCCGACCTGACTGGCTGGCTCCTTTTGGTTATTGCTTTTGTGCCGATTACCCTCTTCAATTCCACACTATTAGCGGGGCGCACTACATTTGTGGGCTGAATGAAGCTGTTCTGTTGATCATCTATTGAACCGATTCCTAAACACAACATAGACAGGACCCGGCTTCGCCGCATGAAGACGATCGGCCCCTGCGCCTCCCAAGTGGCAGGAGACCTGGAATTTAACCCATTGACAGACGACGATCCTGTTTGCAAATCTGGCCTGGAATTTCTATAAAAAGTTTGGACAGTCGTCCCTTCCACTGCCATACTGCCAATGTTGGTCCAGCCATCTATTTTTGGCCAGCCGTTTCATCTCGAAGCCCGAGATGTTGCCCATACAAGTAAGTGTCGGTTTGGAAAAGAGCGCACTGAAAGCGCGGAATTACTGGAACTGGGCCGCCGACATTCACTACCAGTCCGCTAGGATCCCGTCAGCTATTCTCGGGAACACTGCCGCCTAGTTTAGGAAGCTGTTTGATAAATGCCGAGCGGTTTCTGGTAGGTAGATATGATAATAGTGGAGAGTAGAGAGACGTCCACTTATGTACCACTCGCTGGCATGCAATCGCTGCTGCACAGCCTGGAGACATCTGGGGACAACGCAGGAATTCATGGACGATCAGGAACAACGCCCACCTAAACTAAGAGAGGGGGTAATAATGAAGGAGGTCGATCTTCTCGAGGTCCCCAAGCCAGAAGGAATATGCATAAAATGGTCCGCAGTTAGCGTGTTCCTCCTCTGCATACCTGCTGGCCTTGGGATCACAGTTGCCAAGTGGCTCTGGTCATCATCACCCTAGCTGGTGTCGTCCAAACTATCTGGCCCTGTTGTTAACTATTATGCCTGTCCTTAATTTGACCCAGACTGGCAGTTGTGGAACCTCGATAGAGCTTCCCTCCCCGCTTTTCAGTATTATTTTGTATTTTGCACCACAAGATACTTCCGTTGCTTGGAACTAAAATTTGAGAGCCGTCTTGGCTTCGTTGGACTCGTTTGGCCATTTTCAGACCCTCGATCTAGTGTGGTGCAGCTTTTCCGCCCTATGACGACCTTGTTGGCATCGAGACTACCTTGAAACTAGGTGAAGAATCTGCCATTAGTGTCTTTTCCCCTTCCTCGTTTCCCTTTTTCGCACTTTTCCTTTTTTTTTTTTTTTTTTTTTTTTTTTTTTCTTTTTCTTTTTTCCTCTTCTCTCTTTCTATCTGTCCATCTCTCTTTCTCTCCTTCGAGGTTTCAATGCATGTATGGTTGGACCTGCCTAAGAATCGAGGACTAGACCCAAACACGCACAGTATTATTCAAGATTGTCCCACACTATGAAGTACTTCCTCTTGCACTCATGACAGTATCCATTACTTCAGAATACATCGTCCTTCTGTGTTGGCTCCTCCTCCTCCGTAGCATCAGTATCAGCCTTACCAGCTGCCACTCCTTTAAACGGCCCCAAGTTATTGATGTTCCCCTCCCACCATCAAATCACCCTGACTGAGGCAGAGGAGCGTACTAGACATACCTTCTGCTTTACCTTACCAAGCCGACACACATAATAACAACACACTTTGGCCCTGTTCTGCTCTTCTTCCTATCTGCTCCTGCCCCGTTGCTCCTTAGTCCTTGCTCCCTGCTCCTGCTTCTGCTTTGGCCACCTCCGCACTCTCTCCCACACTTCCCTTTTAGCTCAGCCGGTCCGGCTTTGGCCAAAATCGTCGGGGCTTGTGCTGACTCTCCTCCTGCTGTTTGATTCAATCCATCCCATCATCCATCTCAATCCCCCTTGGAATCAACACTTAGGATTTTCTTCTTCTCCTTCGTTTTCATCCTTTTTTCCGCCCTAACCATCGCCGATTTATCGACTGGCGCCTTAATTTTCGGCGCCATCTCCTCGCTCCCCAAGTATATACTAGACCATCGGCGCGAATATTATTCTTTACCTCGTGCTGTCACAAGACTTTTTTTCTTCGCCCTTTCGTCTTTGCTAGTGGGAGCGAACGAGGCCCTGTGGTTAAATAAGATACCCAAAGACCCGCCTCTCTGCATCTCTCCTCCCTTTTTCTCCTCGTCGTCTTTCTACCAACCCTCGCCCGAGCGATTATAGACTTCGAAAGTCCATCTCCTTTGCTTGAGCTCTTACAATTACACTACGACCCGACCGACCGACCGACCGACCTCCTAATCGCAACACTCGCTAACTAGCGACGCTTGCTTCGCTTTCGCCCCTCATGTCTTCTGCCTCCGCGCAGGTGGCACCTAGTCCAATGGGGTCTGCGGTGAGTTGGACCCTCCCCATCACATTCTCTCCTCCATCGTGTGGCCATGTCTTCCATGACGTCGTGGCTGTTTCCTACGCCTATCACAATCGCCATCGGCCACTCCAGTTTTGACGACTGCGGCGGCAATGCTATCACTCGCCTCTATCACCCTCATCCCATGGCGCCCAATACAGGCCTCACCGTCCAGATGATGCATGATACTGCGCCTGCACCTTCGTTCTACCCCTCTCCCACCCTCGCTTCACAGTACTTCTCTCTGCAATAGTCTCCTCGAATCTATGCTAATCTGGTGTTTTGCCTCTTTTCAATAGCCGCGACCCAGCCGTCTTCCAAACTACACGAACCCTAACCCAGTCCGAGAAGAAATATCCCCACAAAATGTCGCCCCTTTCGGCAACGGAAGCATAACCAACATCTGGTCCACCGCTTCTTTCGCATCACAGGCGCGAGAGGTTCCGTCGGCAGGCAGAGGCTCCTCCAGCGGCCCTTGGCGCCGAGTCTCTCCTAGCGACGAGTCCTATCCCGACCGGAGGATTCCCAAGGACACGATAAGCAATGGTTCTACGGCGACATTCCCGCCATCCTCTGAAGATACCTCGTGGGCCCAAAAAGTGTGGAATCCTACCGAACCCGCCCCCCCTAACATGCATGTCTCTGGAAACTCGTCCCCGAGCCGAAAGAGAGACTCGTACTTTGGCAGCCAAGACCAGACAACCTTTGGTCACACAATAAGGGGGAGCTTCTCTCGCCCTCGCCCCAAGTCATTCCTGGAAGCTGATACGGAGGGCCGCGGATTCCATTCGGCTATCAACGGTTTTGATATGGATCCCTCCCGGCGACAGGATGCTCGCCCCTCCACTTCAGAATACGGAAGGCTCCGAGCCGTCGGTGACGGCCCTTCGAGGGAGCCAAGCATGCCTCCTTCCAGGGGAACCAACGAATCTCCTGCTTTCCAGGAACGTTTCCCGTTCCAAGGACATACGCCCAGCAACTCGATGGGACTGTCGAGGGCATCCCTCGCCCAGTCGCTGTCCTATACTGTCGGCGCCTCGACCCACACCCTTGATACCTCTGCCATGTACGACTTCGCCGCCTCCCGTCAGCAGGCGGCAAGCGATACACCTTCCCTGCCGAACATACAAGGACTATCCCTGGAAGAACGCCGCAACTCTGGTGGAAGCGGTGTTCCTTTCAACTCTTTGTCGCAGTCTTTCAATCCTCAGTTGGCAGGTCAAGGATGGCCGGCTGAAGCAACCGCGCAAGCCCGATACATGAGTGAATTGGCGGGCATGGATGGCTCCGCGAACTCATCTGAAGCTCAATACGTTCCGTCGAAGCGTGGTTCCATTGCGGAACATGTTTCGCCCAAGTTTGCTGGCAGCTCGCAGCAGTACACACCGCCGCCCGAGACATGGGCTCCGCGACCTTCGTCCCGTGATTTGAGGCTCCCCCAGGAGACCGAGAGAAGGACTACGCCCAATACCGCCGCCACCACGTTTGTTCCCCAGGGAGGTTCCCAGGGACTTGCCCAAACGCTCCCCCAGACTATCCCCCCAGGATTTCCCCAAGGAGCTCCTCAGGGCCCGTCTCAGGGACTTCCCCAGGGTGCTCATGCCTTCTACCCTGGCATGTATTTCAACCCTTCATTCCCAGGAAACTTCCACCCTAGCCTCTACGATCCGTATGCCCAAGCGAACTATCGCGGGACTGTGCTGCCCAACTATCCTCTGTCTCTCCACCCGTACATTGCTAGTGGCGCCGGCATTGCTCTTCGGGCGGGTCGCGATCAAGACCCTGGTAGGGGTATGAGGAGCGCTCTCCTGGAGGATTTCAGGGCGAACTCGAAGTCATCCAAGAGATATGACCTAAAAGTACGTAGTCGGGCTTTTCCTTCTACACATATGTTGACGATGAGGTACTAACGGATTGTGCTGCAGGACATTTACGGTCACATTGTTGAATTTAGCGGCGATCAATATGGCTCTCGCTTCATCCAGACAAAGCTGGAAACCGCCAACAGCGACGAGAAGGATCAGGTCTTCCGAGAGATCGAACCAAACGCGATCCAGTTAATGAAAGACGTTTTCGGAAACTACGTAATTCAGAAATTTTTTGAGCACGGAAACCAGGTCCAGAAAAAGGTTCTCGCTGCCCAGATGAAGGGCAAGGTCGTCGATCTCTCCATGCAGATGTACGCTTGCCGAGTAGTTCAAAAGGTTAGTCGTGCTCACTCCTAGCCCAGCCCCTTCTTTGCCCCTGCACCTGCATCAGCGTAACTTTCGTGCTAACAAGAATTCGATATAAGGCCTTGGAGCATGTCCTCGTAGAACAACAGGCCGAGCTAGTGAGCGAGCTCGAGACAGACATTATCAAGGTTGTTCGGGACCAGAACGGCAACCACGTGGTCCAAAAAATCATCGAGCTTGTGCCGAAGCAATATATTGGCTTCATCATGCCGGCATTCCGAGGGCTGTGTAACCAACTTAGCTCGCACACCTACGCTTGTCGTGTTATCCAGAGAATGCTGGAACACGGCACTGAACAGGAAAAAGAAGAAATCATGGTTGAGCTCCATGGGGCCGCGTCGCTGCTTGTGGTCGACCAATACGGAAATTACGTTGCCCAGCACGTCATCCAACACGGGAAGCCCGAGGATCGTTCGCGCATGATTAGGGTCGTTCTCGAACAACTCCTCACACTCTCCAAACACAAATTTGCTTCGAATGTTGTGGAGAAGTGCATTGAATACGGTTCGGCCGAAGAGCTACGTCTTATCCGACATCATTTGGTTGATGGTGGGCCAGATGGAGCGTCGGCCTTGCAGTACATGATGAAGGACCAATACGGCAACTATGTCATTCGTAAGTGAACCGCGTCCTACCTAGACTGACTCGTGCGCTCTCTTTGAAGATAAGAAGTGCTGACAAGACATCCAGAGAAAATGCTCAGCAGGCTTGAGGGATCTGAGCGTGAGGCGTTTGTGGAAGAGATGCGCCCGTATCTCTTGGCCCTAAAGAAGGGCAGCTCATCTCGACAGCTCCAGGCTCTTGAGAAGCTTATGGACTCATCATCGCCTGGTGCAAACTCCAAGGCGTCATCAAATTCGGGCAGCAGTGCAGGCAGCCGCCCGACCTCGGCCAACCTCTCGGCGGCGCCTGGGCTCCAGGTCGATTCCACGACCCCTACACCTATGCTGACGATGGAGCCTAACAGCCCTCAGAGTAGCAACCCGCCAAGCACGAACGAAAGCGCTGCAGGCGACGGTCCGGAGGACGCGAAGAAGCCGAACGTGGCTATCGAGGGCGGGCGGGCGCCCGGAAAGGTTGTCATCCAGGACGTCTAGACCGCTTGAGATGGAAATCATTCCCATTCCCGCCCCTCCCCACGACAACACGCATATTTTTATTGCCGCCCACACTGACGACGAGACGCCTCGTCTTCCATAATACTCAGGGAGGGGCCGCAGAGCGGCCGATTTGTTATTATCATAATTATTGTTGATTTCAATGTTGCATCTTACCTGGGGGAAAAAGAACAAATTCAGCATGGTTTGGTCCCACATTCGATGGGACTGGAGTTGTCTTTACCTGGAATGAATGCGACCTTTATCCACGGCCGGAAGGGATTGTTGCATTGGGAACACATGGGGCACACAAAACAGCATTTCACACACGCACATGCCGATGCCTCTTTGTTGAAAAACGGATCGTGTTATTGATATTTGTTTGGGGCAGGCTGGCAATTCTGCTCCATGGCGCAAGAAGGCCAACGCATATGGCCCTTCGATGGGAGACGGAGTATTCCTTCCATCTATTATGAATGTCTCTGGAATTGGGGAATGACGGGCGGTGTCTTCGGAGGCAAGAACATATGCGCATTAAAAGAGCCTTACGGGCTCGTGGGTTTTATTTTCTCTTTGTCTTTTTTTTTTCTCTTCTTTTTTACTTCTTTCTTCTTCTTTATTTTTATTTTTCTTTTCGAGGCTTTCCAGTCTGTCTCTGACTCTCGCGTTTGTCGGGTACCGAGCGATGATTCGGTTACGAGGTATTCTTATTACCTATTGTATGGAGGGGGATTGAAACGTCAAAGTAATAACCACTTTTTCTACCACGGTCAAAAACGCGCACAACGGGAAATTATGGACTGGGGATTAACAGCGATTCTTGCTTTCTTATTAGCCATCGAGTGGAATACAGGGAAAAAAAAAATAAAGGACAAACGGAAAGACATGATTTTCCTTTAGTTCTATTTCTAGAATTACCCCTGCCTCCCGTGGCCTTTGAAAGTGTGTTAATGAGATAAGAAAATGTATGGCAGCGGGCACGAGTTCTATCAACACATGGCCGTCTATTCAGTAAGCTCCGAGGTCTCCCGCTATCTCTATCCAATCCAGACGCCATGATACGCTTGGTCTATCTTTTCTTTTCTGTTCTGTTTCCCCCTCAATTCAGGGTATCCCTCTAGTAGTGTATAGCAACCGAAAAAAAAAAAAAAAAAAAAAGAAAACCCTTGAAGAATCCTCCCCAGTTCCTGTTCCACCTCCAATAGACAAAGGGAAGAAAAAAAGGCTAGTTAAGCCATGAAGAGAAATGTCCCGCATCTCTCAGACACCTCCCCCCCTTTTAAACCCCATAATTGCAAAGATGCTACACACCTCTTCTCTCGCTCACGCCGTTGCAAGAATCTCATCGGTGTCTGTAACCGGACCCCTCCCCTCACCAGCAAAAAGCTTCTTCCGCTCCTCCTCCTCGCGCCTCAGGCGCTCTGCCTCCTCCTTGCGCTGCTGCTTGACGTAGGCTGCATATCGGAGCGTGGCGAGGCTGACGACCGCCATGAAGGCTATGCCGAGGGCGGAGCGGCGGATGAGGACCCAGCGGAGGCCTTCGATGTCTGATTTTGTGTCGCTGCTGAGGAGGGTGGCGATTTTGTAGTTGATTTTTTGGATCTAATATTCCCCGTGTTAGGCTGCTTAGATGAATAGTTCTCCCCTCCGCGAAGGGGGAAAATTAGGAACCTAAAAAGGGGGAGGAAGGAGGCTAGAGAGAAAAAGAGAGAGAGATACCGAGCCAGCATTGGCACTTTGTTCCTCGCGAACGGCCATCTTCCGATCGTCGAAGAGCCCGCGCACGGTATCTTTGAGGGTTAGGAGCTCGTGGTTGAGCGTCTGCCATATCACGTCGACTTCGTGCTGGAGGCGCATGCGCTGCTCGCGGTTGGCTTCGTCGGCTGCGCGGCGGTTGTTTTTCACTTCGGTGCTGAGTTCGGAGCAAGCGGCTTTGAAGAGGTAGGTTTCCTGCGCAATTGGGAGTTAGGTTAAGGGCGGGCTAAAACATCATCCTGAGGAGAGGAGGAGGGGATGAGAAGATAAATGCAAAAACACCGTACATTGTCAACGTCGCCCTTACTGACGAGCGCAGCCTGCGCCGCGGCCATCTTCTCCCTCAAAAGACCCCGAATCGCCATCATGATAATAATAGCCTGCCTCCTCTCGAACCCCGCCTCCACGAGCTTATTCACCATCGCATAGCTATCAAAATAATGCGAGAACGGCAGCGGAGGGTGCGGTTTGGCGGCGGATATCGACCCCGGCGGGCCGTTCATGTAGAGCACTGTCTCCATGGGGCCGGATTTCTTCGCATCCGTCTTGCTCTCTTGCACTTCCTCCGCTACCCTCTTGGCTTCCTCCTCCGGCGTTAGATTCTCGGGTGGCGGGGGATCGAATGAGTTCGTGGATGCGCTGCTGCTGGGTGGCTCTTGGGCGGTGATTTCTTGCTCGGGGCCGGCTGAGTCGCTGGGGTTCTCGGTGGCTTGTGAAGCGGCGGGGGTGTCTTCGGAGTGAGGCTGCACGGCCTTACCGTGCCGTCGCGGGTTCGTCGCATAGTGTCGTAGGGCGACGCTATTGGGGCATAACGCAGGTCGTGTCCGTGCAAGAGGTTCAGCCTGGCGGAGAACCCTCGCTAGGCGAGGGTAGAGGAATGTGAGTGGGCCGGCGGGCATTGTTATACGGGGATGCTGGCTATAACATAGCACGTTGAAGTGCGCGGTTTGTTCCCAATGTGGTAACGAATGCTTCGTAGGAAGGGTATTTCTCTAGTAATACCGCAATCGTAGGTTTTGCTCGTTCGTATGGAGGAAAAAGGTTAAGTATGCTCTTCCTCCATGGCGGGGGAATTGGAAATGGTCGAAACGGAGCTTCCTCTCCATCAGATCCGGACCAGAGACGTCGTCAAGGTGGGATATCCCTATCATCACGTGGCGATAAGATAAGAACAAAGACGACCATCACTGGACCCCACGGCGCGCCGATAAGAAACAAACCGCCAAGCGCGTCTTCCAACATCACACATCTGACACCATTCTAACCTCGTCTTCCCTTCACCACTCAAACAGCCCATCCCCCGCCCCAAAAATGTCAACAGAAGCCCAGCCGACCGAACAAACCGATGACAACACCCCCGCCGAACCCCCGGCCTCCCCACCCCTCCCAGCCCCGCACACGGCCGTGACGCCTGGTCCCCGCGCGGCGAGGTTACAGGAGCTCTTTGCGACGAGCTTGGCGCATACGTTGGGGAAGGTTAGCTGGGAGAACTTGGCGGCATGCTATCCGACAATAGCGGCGAATTCGCCCAATTTGCTGAAGGGGGTGAGGAAGACGATGGTGGAGAGGTTAGAGACTATGTGTAAGGTATGAAGCGGAGGAGTCTCTTGGTTGGGGGGTTCTACGGAAAAAGTCGAAGGGACTGACATTAACTGTTCGGCTTATAGAAAGAATTCGATCGCATAATGGAAACGAGGGGCGTCATACCCAAACTCAACGAACTGGAAAGCCTCGTCTCCGAAGCCGTCCACCGGCGCGTATCCTCCCCCAGCACAAGCGAACCTCCCACTCCGTACGTTTTTCCCATCCACACAAGAGAAATAACTCGATAAGTCCAAAAAAAAAAAAAAAAAAGGAAAGATACTAACATCCCTGAATAAAAGACCCCATCTCCTCCCCCCAACAACAGTCCTCCAAGCCCATCTCTTCCGCCTCCTCTCCTCCTCCCAATCCCACCTCAACGCCAAGCTCCAAAACACCCAGGCCGACAACGAACGCCTCTTCGCCGAGATCCAGGCCCAGCGCGCCGAAATCTCAGAGCTCGCCGCCGCTCTCGAGCGTGTATGCGCCGACATCGACGCCGCTAATGATCTGTTGAGGGAAGTGATTGATGAGGTGGCTGCTGAGGCGAGGGAGAGGGAGGTTGAGATGGCGGGGGCGTAAGAGGCAGTTTCTTTTTTACTTCGTAATTTTTGTTGTCTCTACTGGGGCATTTCGGCATTTTTCGGGTCGGTTTATTTGGACTCTTGAGTCTTACAGTGGTTGCTGTCCCTGAAGACCTCGACAAGCATGGGGAGTTTACGTGTCATGATGTAAAAAGTGCATGGCGTTTTAGGCAGGTGGTGTTCGATAGGATAGGATCATTGAAATCATATCCATGTACTTCAAAATTCATTTACACAAAATCTTAAATGGCAAGACTCGGCGGAATCAAAAGTTGGAGGTCACCCTAAGCTTTTGCGCCTCGTCCGCCGCAAGAAAGGTAACCCCTCCCGCCATGTATACAACGAAATATGCACCTGTCAAGCGGAAATGTCTTCCCACCAAGCTATATATGTACAACACCCGAAACTCCGCATGTATCGTAAATCAATGTTTTCCATGAAACCCCGCCAAAAAAGACCCCGCCATGATGCAGCCGTTGTTGGTGTGAAGGAAACAAATAGAAAAGGCTATGCGTTTAGAAAAGCAAGTTGACAAAGGAACCATGCAGTTGTATCCGCCGTATAGATAGTAGTGTATCCGAATTTATGAAACCCCGCCCAATGCATGAACATATGACGAATGGTGACGATGCTGATGGGAGCGATAATGAATCGTGGACCCGGCTCCGGTGAACCTCTTGGCTTAGATCCGTCTGTTTTCGGTGTGGACGACGTGCCATGGAGCCAGCATATCGATCTCTCCGTAATCCGGTGGTAATACCCGGACCATCCGCCCCGTCGCCCAATCCACGAACCACTTCTTTCCTTTACTGACGATGTAATTGGATTTTCGAGGGCTGCGGAAGAGGAGGACCGAGTAGCACAGTCTAGCATAACGCATGTCGTGCTCGGGACCCCAGTAGTGAGCGGGAGCCCATTTCCCGGAGAGGTAGTCAATAGACTCGTTAGGGTAAGAGGTGATTGAGAATCGGCTCATGGGGTCCGGTCGGGACGGGCCGGTGTGAGGATCGTGGGCCACTCCGCCTTCTTGCCTGTCGCTATTGTTCACACCGTGGCCGCCATCAATACTGAAGGCATCAGCATCGCTAAATTCGTCATCGTCCTCGACAGGTTCTTCGGTGCGAGTCTGTTGTGGTGAAAGTGTTTGCTCCTCCTCGCCAGCATTGCTGTCCAGTAATATCGACGGTGCACGAGAGGGCGAATCCTCACCTCGAATCCAACGTATTCTCTGAATTCGAGGGATACTTTGATCACGGGGGAAATCTCGCTCGTCGATCGGCGCTGCAACATCAATGGCGGAGAAAAGAGACTCTAACCACTTCAAAAAAGTACTCAGCTCCACACAGGATAATAAAAACTGGTCGGCCTCTGCCCGTACTCGAATGACGTGTCGCCTCCTGCAAAGATTGTTAGTCGCCTATCATCTCGCCCGACATTCGAAGAGCCCTATGACCACTCAAAAACCACTTCCTCCATCTAGCAAAAGGAAAAGAAAGGAGAAAGGAAGTTAAAATGGAGCGGGTCGGGAGTGATTCATACTTCTGATAGTCAAGGGCGATGCCAACATCCGCGTACTGCAGGCTATAGCTCCTTTCAAGTTTGCCCCTTTTTATCCAAGGAGGATTATCGGGCGATATTGCGGGTCCCCCTTTATTTCTTCCCCATCCCCAATCCTTCTTAATGTCGTAGATGTTTAAAGCCGTTCCTTGGAGAACGACGTAGGAGGAATGCCAGCGACGATCCTCCGCCCTTTTGGTGGTGTTTTCTATCTCCATCTTTTTCTCGAAAACGCCTTCGCAATAGACTGAACACCAGTACTTGGGTAGTTCCTCGGACCCTTCTTCGACAACACCCGGCTCCCCTGCCGCCGCCGGGGGGGAAGGCTGTATCTCGCCGGTGTCGGAATCATAGGACGGGTGTTGAGAAGGTCGCCGAGGTGCTGAGGTGACGACTTGGTGATAGAATAGATCCTCGTCCATAGATAGTCGCCGCCGACGAGGCGGCGCACCGGTAGGGCTAGAGTGTGACACATCGTCCAGGATGGGATTTCTGGGCGCCATGGGGGCCGGTGGCATATATACCCCCAAGAATAAGACCGGGACCCACCCGCTGGTCTTCCGCGCGTCAGTGTCTGCTGTTGTCTGGGGCTCCCGAAGATGCGGCTACCTTCTAGCGGCACCTTCAGATCACCCCTAGTGTGTTCCACAAAAAAAAACCACGTTGGACCGGGTATTATACCGACCCGCCCGTGCTAGTCATGGTGGTACTTTTTCACGATGACTGAGCTGCTGTACTTCGTAGTGTAAGTTCAACAACAGCCGGGTAGCCGAAGTGGTAGGAACTGGGGGCGTGTAGGCGCGGTCAAGAAATGGGGTTGATGGATGACGGAGATGGGGAGCCTCAGTGCGGGTACGGGGGTGTAGAAACAAGGAAGGCTATGAAAAGTCTGATCAATAATACAGATGAAGTTGAGATCATCCGAGATCTACCACGGCAGTCGGCCGTGGAGTAGTAAAAGGTGGGACTCTCTGTGGATCAAAGGAGGGGGGAGGTGAGGATAGCGAAGATGGGGAACCAGTGGAACCAGCGATGGTTACGGCGTGGGAGTAGATCCTCGAGGCGGTTGGAAGAGGAAAGAGAGAGATGATGGCAAGAGAAGTCGTGAGGCCCAGTGGTTCCAGCTGTCGGTCTTACGAAGTACTCGTACTTCGTGGTAGTGCAGCTGCTGTGTTAATACGATGGGGCCGGTTTCAGTTGGTCCCTCAATGTACGAGAGGACCGGAGACCAGGAGAAGGGGATGAGCTGGTGAGGTTCTTTTGGCGACCGGCGACCCACAAGAATATGGCCCAGCGGCGTGGAGAGACCCCAGTTATTTGGGATGGGATGGAGTCACAGAGGCGTCGTTTCTTCCCAGTTTACTGCTGCGGAAAGGCCGGGCAGAGTGTGCAAGATGCAGCACAGAGGACTTTGGGACGGCAAAGAGGAATGTCAGATGGAGACACTGACGTTCATGACCTATGGAACAAGGAAATCGGGCGTATTATTAGGCGGTAGGAAAGTAGCAGAACGGATAATAAAAGCCGGAATGCTGAACGTGGAAAAGGCAACCGGAGAAAGTGGATCATGTAATGTAGTCGATAGTCCTGTCTGACGGACGGGTTGAAACTTGTATCGAACAAGTATAATACGGAACAGAAAGAACCAAAGACGGTGGAATCTAATCGCAAGGTGGTGAAACACGAGTTGGAAGAATCCCGTTTCCAATGAGAGTGCAGAAGAAGATGAGGAAATCGCCAAAAGCGGGATTGTACAGTAATACACACACAACTTGAAGGAAAGCGCCGCCGGCTGAGATGGCGATCGAAAAGTGAGGTTAAACAGACGGGAGGAAGGGGTCACGTTTGATGGCTTGGCTGACCATGACCTTGGGGTCGAGAGTGGCGTGGCTGGAGTGTGAACAGAGGCGTGAGAAGATGGGACGGGGTAAAGAGCCAGCCAGGCTAGCCTAACACTTTCCCATCAAAAGCCACTGGTATTGCCGCTATTACCAGAGCAGTGTACGATACAAGAAGGAGCGTCGCCTTCCCCGTCCAGAATGCTACCAAGACAGGCGTGTGGGCACGATATGGGGAGGAGGGGGTGAGCGGAGAGTGTGGAGGGGAGGGCCGATGGGGAGGTTTGCAGAAGGACCCTAATCATTCCAGGTTAGGTAGGTGCATGAAATGGTACCTAGTGTAGCCTATGAGCTCCTGTCTACATACAGAAATGTAGTGTACATGGTACGTCGATGGATGGGGAATCGGGCAGGTGCAGGGGGAGGGGGGCGAAAAGACAAAAAAAAAAAAAAAAAGAGGAAAAGGAAAAAACAGAGTCAAACATGCCCTTGGACAGGCCATTGGCGAGTTGGCAGGCCACAGACGAAAGTACCCTGCCGCCGTGGCGTGGTACTTCCCTGGAGGAATAATAGGGTGTAACCGTCGTAATTTGGTGCCTGGTTTGCTTGTGGGTACAACCACCTCAAATCTTGTACCTCTGGGGCCGAGAATTCCCCGTCTCTTCGCTTACAAAGTGAGAAAGAGAGGCGTTTAAATGGGTAGGCGGCTTCGAGGAAGATCATCATGTAGAAATCGAAGTGGCTCCTAGGACGCTACGAACTCGGCCCAATGATGCTGCAATTGATATCAAAGTCTCAAAGGGAGAAAGGAGGAAAAGAAGTTCTACTTCGTACAGACCTCAGAACTAGTGTACTCCATCGTTGAAACCTGTCAAACCGAAGCCCAATGCGTGGATGACATCAACGAGCAATGCTCCGGTCGCTCGAAATGCCTGCAGGAATTTCTTAAACGAAGATCAAAAGTACCGTTATTGTTTTAGGCCGGTCCCTTGATGGCGGATTCGAAGTTGCACCTGTACGGATGTGGTACTTCGGTAAAGTCTGACAGGCTACTTCGTACTATTATTATTACTCGTGCGACAAGTACGACTGTCAAAAAGTTCCTTGCCGACTGGGACTAACCCACTGATCATCCCCACAATGAAGGGCATACTTTGTCTGTACATTATCTGCCATACTTCTATACCCGGATTCTAGGTACAGGTCACGGATCGCTGGCAAACCCTCCCTCGTTTTCAATACAGTCACTTCCCAAGGAGGCTTCTGATTGGCTTTCAATCCGGGTGTTGCGGCATGAGGATTAGATTTCTTTCATTTATTTGGTTAATATTATTATTTCATGGTACTTTTTGCAGACGCCTGCCACAGAAATCCCTCCAGCGCAAGATGCAGGACTTTCATCCATTAAATGGCTTTTTGTTTCTCTAACAGCCAGCCGTTTCTGGTCCAAGTCATACCAGACCACCGTGTTACTTGTAGTGTAGGAACCGCGAAGTAGGAATCAACAACTTTGCGGTGTGCCGACCTGTAAAACGAAGAAGTCCGCGTATACGATTATGGGACTCACGGACTCGCGCAGATCTTCAATAGATCGGATTTGCAATGCCCTTCACAGAGGCTTTTTGGTGATGGATCTGCTTTTATTTCGCATTATGGAAAGAGCTTGCTGATCGTTGAAGGAAGATCCTGCCTCTGCAGATCCTCTCATCCTGCGTGTCGCCTTCCATTAAATTTGATGATTCCCACCTCCCACTTTTCATATGATGGGATGGGAGCGAGCCAGGTTGAAGTCGGTTACGCAGCAATTACGACGCTCAAACTCCGTCGCGCACCTTCAGTTGACGAACAGTGGTCATTTGCTCAATGGGGCCAGCCTCCCATGTGGTTTCTCTGTGAAGTACGGAGTACGTACTGCATTCATGTTGGTTCGAGTTTTCTGGTTTGATCTTTCCCTCATGAGACCTGCGCTTTCCTTTCGAGGAATATCTCCGGTTGCTCATGTAAGAATGTGCTCGCGTCGTTCGGGGAAGAGCCCACAACCCACTTTGAGCTAGGTCTATCCACGGCACTATTGTTTTTGACGTTTTGAACCAGAAGGCGGTTCAAACTGTCGCTTCATTGTTCTCCTGCCACAATCGTATTTCGGGCATTTAATGTGCCTTAATATCCTGCCCAACATCTCTGCATTTACAACCTTGGCAAGGTGGGAGGGTGTTGACTTGGCCCTGACATTAACCTGGGGATGCCTTCCCTGCCTCGGCAATCGTGAGGTAAATTGACTTGGGGACGGATTATTCTATCAACTCACAAGCACATTCCAGACCACCTCATGATGTGCCGCGAGCCTCTGGGACCGGTGGTGGCTCATGCAACAAGACAGCGGTAGCCAAGACTCGAGCCTTACGCGCTAGATCTGAGAGAAACTCGCAAGGGGCAGGGTACCGGATGCAGGGGATGATGCCTTGTTCTTTTTCTGATTCACCCGTCCGTCATCTACGAAGTAAGCACCCGCGTCTTTGCTCACTGCATTCCATCCGAAGTACTTTTTATCCGAGACTAATTCCTGCCCGCGAAGTTAACAAGCTGCACTACTTTGTACACTACGCTAGGTCCCAAGCCCGCGGCCTACACGACTTGGCACACAAAACCAACAGGCATTTGGGCGGCGACTTTCCGTCGAGTACTTGTCGTATGCATGCCCTCATTTGGTTAAAGACCTGCTCGGAGACTAATTGCGAATTAGTCTAGTGTACTTCGTAGTGTACAGCGCCATGCGGGAGTGGGACGGAGTAATACGGTGGTGACTAGCCTGGTCCAAAGCACAAGTACTTCTGTGTGGGAACTCACTGGCTCCCATCAAATCCTTCTATGTTTCCTCGAACGCATGCAAAGGGCGGAAATGACGGCGGAATGACTGGGGTGAACGGCATCGTGGGATCCGTCCCTCCATCCCTTCGCTGCCCACTCCTGTCTGGGGATGACCATTTTTTGAGGTGGGCCAGCCTTCGTAGTCCATCCAACCCTGAGCCAAGCTTTTCCCTGTGCCTCGCCTCCTGTCGTCGGACGCTACACGAGTACGGGGTAGTCACTCCTAATTCTCAGGCTCAATGATGAAGGTTTTCGTCGCTCGTGGCACAGATTGACACACCACCGATCTCTATATTGCATTGTCAATTTCAATTTCTGCCCCGCTCATTGTGCCAGTGGTTCATTGATGTCACCAAAGTTCCTTTGTAAGAGCGATCCTCGGAAATGGTGGGATTTGAGTCGAAATTTCGACCATTTCGGCCAGCTGGTCCTTGCACTTTATTGCCCCAGCACTTTATTACGCCGCTTAGAAGGACCTTTTGTCGACCCCCGAAAGCCATTTGCTGATCCATTTTCATTCAGTTCTCCAGCGAACTTTGATATTTCCCTCAAAGCGGGCCTCAATTTTTTTTTTTTTAAATTCGTTTTTCTCGTTTCCCAGGAGCCTTCTGGATTCCTTGAGTATCTGTCGGCGAATCTCTCTTCGTTGTTGTGAACGTGGTGTTTCAATTACGGCATGAAGATTGACTCGATCGATTATTGATGTATCACTTCTTGCGCTGATCCCCGAAGTACGAAGTAGTTCTTCACCTTCTTCGTTGATGTTTAATTTAGCATGTCCTTTGTAGATTGATCACTGTCAGCCAAGCTTAGCCTTGGCTTTAGGTCAGCAAGGCGATCGTTGCCAACCTATCCGTCTTGGCTACGGGATGTCGCCGAACGATCGGGTTGGGATGTTTCTCGCAGGAGGTTTCATCGCAAAACACAGGACCAGATCACATCGTCTTGGCTTTCTCAGCTGCTCCGGTTGCCAAGAGTTTCTTCGGAGCCGACCACGATACCTAGAACGGGTAGTCTTTGCGTCTTGGCTTTTTGTGGCTGATTTCTATAAATACATCCCATGCACAGAGAGCGAGGGAGAGAGGGAGAGAGTCCCAAGGTGAGACAACAAACAACCACACCGAACTGCCTTGCGGAAATTAGCTTGCCTCTCTTGACGTCCCCGAATACCACTACACTACAGCAAACCCCGCCTGCGGCATGACCGAGAGGGATGGGGACTTGGACCTCCACTAGATTATGAAAGCCTCTCCTCCACGGAGCAAAAAGGCCTGGCTGCCTGGCCTCGTCACCCGCAATGTAGGACCTCATGCGTTATACCCAAATGTCCTGGGCCGTTTCTTCCGCCCTCAAGGTTCTTCCCCGTCCCCGTTTGGAAGGTCTTAAACTTCTCTGACAACCAAACCCCAGACTGCCCGGAGAACGTTACATGTGAACCTCCCAAAGCGATCTCGCCGAGTTCGTCAATCCGGATGAAACCCGCCACTTCGAACAACTCAAGAATAGAAAAAAGCCAGACCCGATCTCGGGGGAGAGAACCTTGAAGGGATGAAGGAATTATGGAATACAACCCTCTGTTTGCCGCCCCCCTAGTCGTCGCTCTGTTGTGGCCCCCCCATGTTTTCAGTCATCCCTGAACTCGGAGAGAATCACACGTGGAAACGATCCTCTTGGGAATCTCGGCTTACCTCGTACTTCGTAAATGCGTATTCTCCCACACCCCGCAATTAACATGCAACGCTCGTCTTACGAAAAGAAGAGAAGATTTTCCAAAGGTCCAAGACTTTGATGGGTGGGAATGGGGGAATGAAGATCTTGCAAAGTTCCGGAGAAGGGAAACGGTCCTTTTGATCTTTTGACCTTTTGCTTTGCAGAAAGATCCTGGCTAACTTGGCTCTCGCTCTCCCACACGAATCAGGGACATCGTCCGCTAGAGATGAACGGCATTGATCAAGTTGTTTTGACTCATACGTTGCCATTCTGCTTCTTCGGAAGGAACCATTTCCGTTGAGGGAACGTGACGGGTCCATCATCGAGGCCCGAAAAAGCGTCTCTATGGACAAACACCTCAAAACATCAACCTTGAACACCAACCTTGAACACCACAGTAGCGCATCAGGAAATCCTCTTCTCATCTCGGATTCTGAGACTCTTTGATTATGTCCGCTTCCAAAGCTTCATGCTCCTAGCCCTGTATCAACTATCTAAGTTCCTATTTTACACTTTCTTTCCCTTCCTTCTCTCCTTTCCCCCCATCCTGCGCCGGCCGTCCGTATCCCACCCTCACCAAAAGGGATATTATTTCCACCTCAGTCGTCCATCCACATCATTGCTAGTGTAAAAAAAGAGAAATCTTTGGAAAAAAAAAGTAGGTAATAAAAAAGAGCATGTCGACATCCGCCAGCTTTTCGCTTCCTCGCCCATTTTGACTCCCAAGCCTTGATGATCAGAAAAATCGAAGGGACAAAATCAAGAAAAAAAAAGAAACAAAATGTATGCCATGAAGTTCATCTCATGGCATTCTAGCCCCGCCGGGGCCAAGGCTACAAGACAAAGAATAAGAAATGGGCTCGAGGACGACGGAAAGGTATAAAGGGAATAAGTATGTAACAGAAGTTTAAGTCTAAGAAAGTTAGACCAAACGCCGCCATGATGTGTCAGATGCTATTTTCGTTCTCGATGCTGAGAAGGCAGCTACGAACCAACTCGCAGCCTGTCCTTCTCGTCTACCTCGAGTGAGACGTGTGGTAAGATGAAGCAGTTATGAAAGGTTGTGTGTTGTGAAGAGCATTACACTCATTCAAGTTTGTGTTTGGTAAGGACTCTCGACCTCTGTTAGTAGTGAGGGTGGTAGGGGGTGGGTGTGAGAAAGAAAGAGGCCGAGAGTCGTCTCCCAGAGACTTGTTCGAGCTCGTTAATGAGCTCTCAGCTTCAAGGAGCTATTGAACATTCGGAGTCGAGGTTTATTTAAGCGTTGGCCGACTGCGAAGGGCCCTTTCCTCGAGCAGCGGCACCACCACGACCCCTAGTCTGCGAACCGAAGGGAGCCTTGGGGCCGCCCTGGCTGCCGGAGCGGCTGCCATCGTAGCGACCACGTCCCCCCCTGCCGGACGCACTGCCACGGTTGGCCGCGTACTGGGCGCCACCGTAAGCAGTCGACTTGGGCCTGCGCTGTTCGACGACGATGTTCTCGCCATTGACGACGTGAGGGTTAGCCGCGACGGCTGCCTTATAGCCCTCGGGAGTGGCGAACTCGACAAAGGCGCAGTTCTGAAGAATGAGAGTTAGCACCTTAACTCATAAAATGTACAACTGCAAGACACAAGATGATGAGACACAAAAATTACCTTATCGCGGTTAATGTCGAAGTATGTGAGATCACCGTAGCGGGAGAGAGCAGCCCTCAACTCGACATCCCGAACCTTCTCAGTCACATACTTGACGTAGCCAAGAGTACCCTTGTCCTCGGACTGGGCAATCATCGACTGAGGCCTGTTCTGCCTCTTCGAATCGCTACCGGCGGTCTGCCACTCGTTTCCAGACGACGTCGATTCCTGGGCCGCGGCAGGGGCGGGGGCAGGCGTGGGTTCGGTTCGCTGAGGGGCGGGAGCAGCTGCGGCCTTGGGGACAGCAGCGGCGGCAGGGGCCCTAGCCTGAGTCGCAGCAGGAGGCGTAGCGGTCTTGGGCAGGGCAACGGGGGGTCGAGGGCCGGCGGCAGCGGCGAGACGACTAGCCCAAGTCAAGGGCTTAGCAGGAACGGGCTTTTCGGGCTCGGGGGCGGGCGCAGGTGCCGCCGCGGCAGGTGCCTTAGCGCTAGGGACAGCAGGAGTAGGAGCAGGCTCCTTAGGCTTCTCGGGGGCCTTTTCCTCGGCGGCCTCTTCAGAGACGCTCTCCTCGTCAGCGGCAGGCTCGGAAGCCTCGACCTTGGGGGCGACTTCCGCCTTGGGAGCCTCAACAGGGGCCTCCTTGGCAACAGTCTCAGCCGCGGCCTCAGCCTCGGCAACCTCCTCCAGCTTCTTATCTACACTCTCGGCCTCGAGGGCGGCGGGAGTCTCATCAGCCTCTTCCTTCGCCTCCCCAGCCTCGGCGGGCTCCTCGGCAGCAGCCTCAACAACAGCCGGAACCTCAGCGACAGCGGCGGTTTGTTGTTCAGTGGCCTCTGGCTCCTGGGCGGGCTCGGCAGCCTCCTCGTCCTCGTCATTAATGTACCTCCAGATATCATTCAGGACGAAGTATCCAGAGGGCTGCTTGGCAAGAACGAAGGTCTGAACGAATTTCCTGGGTTCCTCAGACTTCTTGTTGGAAGTCTCACCGATGACTTGGATGAGGATAGTGTCCTGGGAAGAGGCGAGAGAGTCGACGTTGGAAACGCGGACCTTGCACTCCTGGAAATCGAGCTCCTTAATTCGCTCCTTGATGGCCTACGGTCGTGAGAAGAATGGAATATTAGCTTTTGCTGCAGTTGGGGACAGGAAACAGATATAAATATGGATATATATGAGTCGGAAATGCTTACAGGACGTCCGACGGAAATGTTGGCGACCTCGGCCTCTTCTCCGAACACGAACTGAGATCGCTTGCCGTAGAAGAGCTATCAAACATCAATGTCGTTAGTTTCTGATGGATCCTCATCATTTGGAAATCCGATTAAGAAAAGAATTGGACATAAACGTACATGAAGCTTGTCGGGGTTCTTGCTAAGTGTCGTGTAGTATTGTTCCACGAAGTACCAGCCCACCTCATCCTTGGTCAGATCATGGTTGGAGCTACTCGATTGGATTTGCTCGGAAGCCTCATTCGAGGGTGTGTAGTCCTGGCTGTGGAGGTTGCCGTTGGTGGTAGCCATTTTGATGGTTGATGGTGAGGAGAGGAGAGGTCAGAGAAGGTTGAAGGCAGGTTGGGGGACGATTATGCGGCGGTAGAGGAGAGGGTGCGATTATATTAGGGTTCAAAGAACACTAGAAAGGACGAGATATATAGTATCGAGTCCTGGAAGTCGGAAAGGAGATGGACCGTGATGCTGTAGCAGCAGGAGGAGTTGGGTTTGGAAGGGGAAAGCAGCTCTGGGGAGGAATTACCCTATCACCAAACGAAAGGAAAAGAAGTAGTGGAACGGAGGCTGGATGAAAGAAACCGGGCTCTGAGATGCACGGGGAGATGAAAATGAACCACGAGGATGGTGGGTGGGATGCAATGCAATGCAGAAGAGGAACGAGAATGATTCACTGGAATGTTATGGAGGAAGGGATTTTTCAACCTTGAAGGCGATGGCGGAAAAAAGTGTGATGGGATATTCAAGGCTGTAGCGAGGTTGTGTACTGAGGTACTGACAGCGCTCTGTTGGTACCAGTTGCCACTGCCAGCACCCACGAGGTACGAAGTCGGGCGCGGTTGTGGCCTCGTTGCTCGGCTCCAGCTGGTCTGTGCCCGATTGGCTTGGCGGGATATTTCGTGTATTTGCATGCACCCCGGTATTTTGATGGGGATTTGATGTGTCGAGGGTTGTGGGGGGGCTGAGGTTTCGACTGGCATCTGCGGACAATTGGAAACCATGTGGCAGATCTGGCTGGACCCTGAAAAGTTAAATCGCTCAGCGTTGAGCCAATTTTCAGCGGTCACTGCTCTGCGCCGTGCTGTCAACGATTTGCTTGTGCACCGACACCTCAGCGCATAGTACTTCGTAATAAGCACCCTGATAACTCGCGTAGAATTGACCAGGAGAGCTCGAGGATGTTGTTTCGCGATCTGTACTTCGTAACAGCTCCCTCTCCTGCCCATGTCCACAAAAAGCCCGTGGCTTCCGCAGCGAATGGAGTCCGACACTCGAACCTCTTTTCCTTCTTTCTCTCCTTAACCGCATCTCTGCGCTTTTTTGTCTCGTTTTCCCTTTCCACCACTCCTTGACCGGGGTCCGAGACGAATCGAATCAAGATGGCTTCCAAGCCGCAACCACGACCTCGAAAACAGCCCGCGCAACCCGAAGGACCGACCAGACCTGCAGACACGCCTGCGCAAGGAAATTTCCCGGCCTCGCTAGACTGGGTTATCGCCAAAAACAACCGCGTTGGCCATTTAGCACGACAACGCGCGTACGAACGCCGCTGGGCGTGGACGGTTGCTTTCTGGGTCTGGGTTCTGTTTGTACACGCCGTGGGGATCCTTTTCTTCACGAGCGGGTTCCTTTTGACGAGGATAGTCTTGGAAGACACGTCCGAATGTAGCTCGCCGCCAATTGACGTGTCGGCTTCACGTACCGCACTCTGGGAAGGTCCCGGGAATATCGATGCCGGCTGCTGGCATCCGAAATCCTTCGATAAGGCCGTAGTGATCCTTATCGATGCGCTACGCTACGATTTTACCGTCCCTTCGCGCGGAACTGAGGAAACAAAGGAATACCACAATGCCTTGACCTTCCTATACGAGTCTGCTCTCAAATCGCCCCAAAATGCTGTTCTTCGCCCCTTCATCGCCGACCCCCCGACCGCGACGTTCCAGAGGTTGAAGGGTTTGACAACCGGCACCCTTCCGACCTTTATGGATATTGGCTCAAGTTTCGACGCCATCGACGAGGATAACATTTTGAAGCAGATGCGCAATCTCGACAAGAAGATTGTTCAAGTCGGAGACGATACCTGGTGGACTCTTTTCCCAGGCTACTTCCAACCGAATGAGAGCAAGGCGTTTGATAGCTTCAACGTATGGGACTTACACACCGTCGATAATGGAGTCATCGAGCGCATCTTTCCCCTTATGGAGCCGGAGAAGAAGGATTCCTGGGATCTCCTTATCGGTCACTGTTTGGGTGTAGACCATGCCGGCCATCGCTACGGTCCGGACCATCCCGCAATGAATGCAAAGCTGGCGCAGATGGACGAGTTCATCCGCCGTGTCGTTTCCAAGATTGACGGTGACACCCTCTTGATCGTTATGGGCGACCATGGCATGGATAGCAAGGGCGACCACGGGGGTGAGAGCGACGATGAGATTGAGTCCGCCGTGTGGATGTACTCAAAGCGGCCATTCTTTGGTCGCACAAAGCCAGAGTATGTGGTGCCTCCAGAGACGGCCAAGATTCGACCCGCCAACCAGATTGATCTTGTCCCCACAATATCGCTCCTGCTGGGAATTCCCATTCCTTTTAACAATTTGGGCCGGCCCATAGAAGAGGCCTTTGCTGGTGTAGACGGAAACTCATGGCAAAATCTAGCCGCCGCTTCTCGGTTGGCTGCGGCTGGAACCAAGCGATATCAATCGGCGTATTCCAAGGCGCAAATCTCGGAGCAAGATATGTCTCTAGGATCGCCGAAGGCACTTTGGGATGCGGCAGAAGAGCTCATAAATTCTTCAGGGGGCAGTGCCTCATCGGTCGATTGGAAGCAGACCTATGAAGCTTTTGCCTCGTACCAGCGAGAGACTCTTCGAGTTTGCAAGGATCTATGGTCACGATTTGACATTCCTAGAATGATTACGGGCATCGTGACCATGGCTTTTGGCCTTGTGGTTGTGCTAATTTACGCTTCGCGAGCGACTAAGGACCTTATTAGTTCCAGCCAACCCCCGACCGAATCGAACCCTGTACTTCATAGGCGGCTTGTCCTTCACGCGTTAGCTGGACTTGCGTGCGGCGCCGCCGCAGGTCTTGGTTTCTATGTCACGTCCCGCGCGGGCTTGGTCGTTTTTGAGATCCATTACGTTGCTGCCACTGCGGCACTGGGTAGTCTTCTCGGCGCTACTGTGTCTTTGGTGTCGGTGGGCAAGACGCTAAGGAATATTCTGCCTACATCTATCTGGGGCTGGCTATCAGCCGTGTTTACAATAAGTCAATCGATTGGCTTTGCGGCCAACTCCTACACCATCTGGGAAGATTCTATTTCGCTATTCTTCCTTGGTACCTTTGGTTTGGTGTCGGCAGCAACCGCATTCCGCCTGAAGGATAAGGAGGCGCGGACGACCGCCATCTTCCATTCGATCCTCTTCGTCATCCTCGGACGAGCTGCATCCTACTCTAAACTATGCCGAGAAGAGCAGATGCCATATTGCATGTCTACTTACTACGCGTCCACCACTTCGTCCACGTCTTCTGCCGCTCAGCTGGCGATTCCGTTCATCACGACGGTCGCACTTCCCTTCGTCGTCTCGTCGTTCTTGAAGAAGACGAGCTCTTTCGCGAGCTGGGGCAAGAGCTGGGTCAGCAGCGGTTTACCTGGAGTGCTCTGCATGACGGGGCTCTACTGGGTCATCGACGCGGCGGACAACGGGGGGTGGTTCCCCGAGCTGCCCGAGACGCTTCTCAAGCGAGTGAGTGTGTACGTGGCTCTTGGCGTCCTGGGCATAATTTTCATCGCCGGCGGTCTCATGTTTTCCTGGGGCTCGCCGCTCGTGGACTGGAGGCCCGTGACTATGCCAGACGGCACGAAACGAACCCTGATCGAGGGCTACAAGAACGCGTACGGTAGCAGGTACCTTATGCTCCCCGTGATGCTCCTCGTCGCCTGCACCCTCCTATCCAAGCCGATGGGAGGCGGCGCCCTCGCGCTCATGATGTGGCAGATAATCTGTCTCATCGAGATCCTCAAGGCGCACGGCATAGCGTCGGAGCCCATCGGGCCCGTCGTCCTGGCGCTCCTGGGAAACTTCCACTTCTTCACTACGGGTCACCAGGCGGCCATCAGCACGATCCAGTGGGACAGCGCGTTCATCCCTCTGTTTACGATCCGCATGCCGTGGAGCGCCGTCATCATCGTCATCAACACGTTCGCGGGCCAGATCATGGCGACGGCGGCCCTGCCTCTCATCGTTACGTGGCTCGCGTCGGCTGATGATAAGGGCGTGCTCGAGAGCGTGAGCCGGTCGCTGGCGGCTTTCGTTTCGTTCTTTTCAGTGCAGTCGTTGGCTACGATGGCGTGGGCGGGCTATCTTAGGAGACATCTTATGCTGTTTCGGGTGTTTAGTCCGAGGTATATGATGGCGGCGCTAGTGCTCTTGACGGTGGATGTGGTGGGCATCTTGGTTACGTTGATGGGTACGAGGGTTAATATGCGGGCGGTGAATGATGTGTTTGGATACCCCGAGTGATAAATCGCAGTGTTGGCTACGCATCTTGATAGATTGCTGGACCGGTTCTTTACTTGTTACGATATGTGGGAGGGAACTAGAAATATTGAAGACTTGCTTGTGCGGTCCGGTTATAGACGTTTTAGATTCGGTCTGGGAGTTGCTTTCCACCCTGCAAAAGTTTCCTATTTATAAGAAAAGAAATTAGAAATAAAATCTAAAAGTCGAGGCATCGTGATGGCATGGGAATTAACCCGTGAGATATAGACCATAAACAATACTACATCAGCGGGAGTCGAGACTGCCAGGGCAGGGAATGCTGCATTGAACAGGCGTTTTAGGACGTCACAGTTGCATTCCCTCAGTACCGAGATACACTTATGCCAATTGCATCGATGGGACCGTTGACTCAGCATCTCCTCACAATGATTGCAACTGTGGCAGTTGCAATGGGCCGCAGGTTCAAGTGGGGGTAATCGTCAATATTGATATGATCCAATTTGCTTCATCCCATCACCTTTCCCCTCCCAGGAAGCCACCAGCCAGGCTACGCCACAGATCTCCCACGAACCGGCCACGACCCAGGGCGACTCTCCTGACTTAATGTAGGTCTCATTTGGTGGTTTAGAAACAATGAAATAATGAGAGCCCAACCAAATTTGACATGACTTGAAATCCCAACCAAGCTCGACACCACCCCAAACTTGAACACGACCAGAACACAGCCACTATCAGATCTCAGCGCGACTGCAGCTATCCACTCGGCGCTCTCGTGATTTTTGCAGTCGTCGCAAGTGCATCGCATCCTGTACGACGGCTGGAAGCGCCGGACGCTATTTTTCCTTTGCCCCGACGCCACATCCAACCCACGTCATCAGCCACTCAACTTCAACGACAGATCTTGTTCTCCCAGTCAAACAACCTGAATTCAATCGTGAAAGGAGCTTTCTTTAACCCAAAGATACAGGATCAGCGGTTGCGACGGGGTTCTTTCTCTCTTTCCTTTTCTCTTTCCTTTTTTACTACTTTAAACGCAGCCATGGCTTCGGTGACATCGCTCGACAAGGACCTGCGCAAGTTGCGTCTGGACAAGTACACCCCGGGAGCCGCCAACGAGGCCCGCTCCTGGATCGAAAGTATCCTCGGCGAACGACTTCCATCTTCCGATCTGCTAGAAGGACTCAAGGATGGCGTTGCGCTCTGCAAGTGAGTCCTATAATCCGATCAATATCAGATCTACTAGATCTCCCTCGCTCCTTGCCGCCAGTCCCGCTAACCCCTCCAACCCTCCTCTTAGACTCGTTAATCTCGCCATCGGCCCACCCGGCGTTCGATACAAGCAATCTGCGATGCCCTTCGTCCAGATGGAGAACATCTCACTCTTCCTCCGAGCCTGCCAGTCACCACCCCTCAACCTCCAAGAGCACGACGTCTTCCTCACCGTCGACTTGTACGAGCAAAAGGATCCCGCCCAGGTATTACAATGCCTGGGCGCCTTCAGCCGCGCCGCCAACAAGCTGAACCCCGCCGCCTTTCCCTCCGCCATCGGTCCCAAGCCTCGCTCCGGCGTCATGAGCCCGCAGAGTACCGGTCCCCCTCCCCCCGTGACGCCCCTCCGCGGCAGAGGCCCGTCGAACTCGAGCAACACGTCTTCGGCCTACGGGACTCGCACCGTGATTGCGCCTAGTAAAACGGGCGATTCGGGTTCGGGGCGGTGGAGCCCTACGAAGAGCCCCACGAACGGCGGCTCGACTTCTCCCGGCGTCGCGGTTAGTAGCTGGAGCCGGAAGGAGCATGAGGGCAGCACGGCGCCGGCCTGGAACATTTCGCAGTACGGCTACATGGGAGGCGCCAGCCAGGGAAACCTTGGCATCGCGTTTGGTGGGAGGAGGCAGATTACCAGCGCAGGGCCGTTCGTGCCTAGCCTCGCCGATAAGGAGCGTAGGCGTAAGGAGAAGGAGGCCGAGGAGGAGAGGATGAGGCGGGAGATGGAGGAGGAAGAGAGACGGCGCCAGGCTGAGCTCGAGGCTGAAGAGGAGCGACAGAGACTGGAGGAAGAGCGCAGGTGGGAGGAGGAGACGCGTCGGTTGCGGGAGCAAGAGCGGCAAAAGGTAGAGGAGGAGAAGCGCAAGTGGGAAGAGGAGGAAAGGATGTGGAAGATCACGGAGGAAAAGCGGCGAAAGGAGGAGGAGGAAGCCAAGGCGCGCTTGGAAGAAGAGAGGCAGCGCACGAGAAGCCGCAGTCGATCTGCCCTCAAGGGACAGTACCTCAGCCAGTACCAGGCCGAGCACGGCATATCCTCCGGGGGCGGCGACGGTGGCGGTGGGAGCGCTTATACGGACAGGATCAAGGAGTTGGAAAAGGAACTCGAGCTAGCCCGGCAACGCGAGCGCGAGTACGAGCGGGACAGGCAGCAGAGAAGTAGGAACCCGCATGCCGAAGTGACGGCTGAGTCGCGGTCTAGAGCTCGATCCCGCAGTCGTCCTCGGCCGCCGAGTCGTCAGGATTCGTGGTCTAGGGATCAGCGCGAATATTTGACGGTCTCGCCGCAGCCGCAGCACGCGCAGCGTCACAAGCCGCCGCCTCCCCAGGAGCTGCCTCAGCACCAGCAGCACCAGTTTGCGCCGCCCAAATCTCCTCGGCCACTTCCCGATCCTACGGCCATCTCGTCACCCCCTCCGAAGGTGAGGACCCATAACACCGGTGGACGTCCACTGCCCGACCCAGTAGCTTATGCGGCTGCTTCGGCACCGGCCCCTGCCCGTTCTCCTGCGCCCGCTCCGGCTCCTGCTCCGGCACCTATTTCGGCACCTGTTTCGGTGGCAGCTCCCGCGCCCGGGCCTCCTCTTCCCGCACGAGAACTACCAGTACCACAGCAACACCAACCCCGCCAAACTCAACCGCCACCGCCACAAGCCACGAGCATGAACATGAACCGTACGGACAGGTACCTCGCCACGAACCCCGCACCACCACAGCCCGTGCCAACGGCGACGTATTCCCGCGAACTAGGCGCCACGGCCGAACGCGACGCAGAAGACAGACGCCGCGCGCAGCGGCAGACGGCCACCAAGGCAGGCGGCTGGGCGTCCAAGTCTCTGCTCGAAAGGGAGATGGAGATGGAGAGGCAGAGGCAGCGCGAGTGGGAGGAGGCGCAGAAGGAGACGGCCAAGGCTGTGCGCTCTGCGGACGGCGTGGAAGGTATCGGCGGCGGAATCGGCGGGCGGTGGGATGTGAGTCAGTGGTCGGGCTATACCGGGGGTGATAGCCAGAATAAAGTGGGGACGGGGATCGGGGCCGGCAGGAGGCAGATTGTGGGGCCGAGACCGTTGCCTGGGCCACCGAGGTGATGGGTACTAAAGTTCTTTGCTTTTTTTTTTGGCCTTCAATATCTACGTAGGTATGAAGGGGAATGTTTCTTCTTATACATATTATTCTTTTCCTTCTTTTTTTTTTTCTCAAATGGGCAATGGAAAAGTTAGGGATGTCAACTTCCGAATGGGAGATGACTATCATCAATGGGGACCTTTTCTCTTCTACTCGTTTCTTGTCTCTTATTTTTTGAACCCAAAATTCAATTTTTATATATTTCTGACATGCACTTGATACTTCTTCATGGTTGTGAAGGTAAATTGAGAAAAAAAACAAGTGATCTCACAATGTGCTGGGTGTACCTTTGTAATTCGCTCGAGACCAATCCGATATGCTATACTCGGTACAGCCCTTACTCCCTTTCCATTTCCCATCGCTGAGTTGACAATCTAGTTCATGTGTTGTGCCCGAAGTATTCCAAAAACACCAATAAAAAAAGGGGAAAATGAAACAAACAAAAAGGAAAAGGAACCAATAGTCAAAGGAAAGAAAAAGAAACACAAGAACTCAAACAAAAATCAAGCCAAGTTAACCCTTAAACATGTCCACCAAGTTGGCGTAAGTAGTGGTGGGCCGGGACCCCAAGATGAAAGATGCTCAAGGGGCATTTCGATAGCAGGAAGCCAGAGAGGTTTGTTGGTGGGTATCTCGCGCGACTTGGTATCTTGATAGAAGTCAGACGATTTTTTTTTTTATTTTTTTTTTTTTTATTTTCTTATGTGGTTCGAGGGGGTAAGTCGTGGTGGGCAGGCAGTAGTTGTTGGAAGTCCGACGCCTTATGGCTCTTTCGAGGAGAGCGGGGAGAGAGGAGGAGGCGAGAGGGCCTCACTTTCCATAGCCTGCAAAGGGAAGAACAAAAAGATTCAATGTCAGTCACCCATACGAGAGAGAAGAAACAGCTCTGCTGATGGAAGGACACATAAACACATACTACCGTCAATGGGGACGCTATCGCTTGAACCACCACCGCTACCACCGCTAGCACCGGCGGTGTCGGAGTTCGCATTGTAGGTTGGGTTGGGCATAGTGAGTGATGGATTGTACTTTTGAGAAGACGGAACTGGTTGTACCTTGGGGGTAGAATGGAAAGAGTGAAGAGGAAGTGCGAAAGGAGGAGGGAGAGTAGGAAGGGTACGAAGAGTCCTGGCCTTTGGATTTATACCTCGACGGGGACGAGCGAATGGACATGGGGACCGACGAGGAAGAGCAACGCAGACAAGCGGATCAAGCCGCCGGGGGCACACTCATTATTACAATTCTACAACAACTTCCAAACACGACTGGAGATCATCACCGAAATGCAGGGGCGTGGTTTGGTAGAGGGCATTAGTGGGAAAATGTGCAGAGGCGGATGGCGGATCTGTCGAGAGAGATACTGTAAGTATCACGGATATCCATGCCATTCCCACAGGTGTGCGGTCCGGGAAACGGAAAGCGATGGCCATTGGGCGCAGACCACGTCAGGAAAGGTCCCCGGGATGGATTCGTATCGGAGGGATATTCCAGCATCAAGAAACCAAGGGAGTACTTTAGTCCCAGAAGAACAGGGAGGGAAGGGGATCGAAGAGCCGCAGTCGCAGGCAAGGTCGACAGGGGGGCCACGTTGAGAGGTGAGACATGATTTCAACACCGGCGTGCTAAGAAGAATTTCGAAGAAGCTGATTTGATAGACGGGAAATCAAGATGAGAAAGTGCATGTCACAATGGCTGTCGAGTCTCGAATGTCGTCTACCAGATGTGCGGTAGTACAGGATGGGCGAACTAGCGACGACAAGCGAAAAGGCCACTCGATTGATTGGACACACACCCTTGTAGTTATGTGTTCCTGTATGCAGCATTTGCATCACGGACCCCCTAGAGGCTGAGTGGCGAAAAGCGAGGTAAGAATATGGATTCGATCTGCCCAAGCTCCGCGAACCAGGCAAGCCATCCCATCTCGCTCAACGGCGGAGGAGCTCTTCAAGAGCACCAGAACTGGAGAATTCAAGTTATACTGGATTGAGTGTCAATGCCCTACTGGATGTAAGTATATCAGCCATGTTTAGCGTCGAGTCTTGGTTGAACATACTACTAATAATAATTGAACCAATGTCATTCAACAATGAAGCCGTCGCGCCTCGTTTCAACCCAAGGCACCATTGATGACGACGCATTCCTCGCAAATGTTCGCACATGGCCGAGAACGGCCGGAACACCTATTCGTACATCAAAAAAGACGGTATCCTTAAGTTACAAGACAGCCATCGAGAAATACCTCTCAGCCACAAACTAGAAATGTCGGCATCCTTCCCAACGTCTTGTGACCATCTCACCGAAAACAATGAAACAATAGTCGATTGTAATCGATGGAAAAGGACCCACAAGCCCAGAAGACGTGGAGTGGAAAAAAGGAGTGCCAAAGGATCAAGAAACCCAATCTTTCTAGCACACAACTTGACCGAGGGAAAGTGGATGGCTTCGAAGGAAGAGTAACCATCGGTTGATTTATGGTGCGTTGAAAAGTGTTTTGAGAAGAAAAAAAAGGGAAAATAATATCAAAAGAGGAATTTTCTTCTGGGGATATTAATAGACGCGCACCTGAACTTCCAACCTTACAAGTGACGTCAATTGTTTTCGGTTGTATTCGATGAGCTCCTTGCAATTGTGCATAGAGCCAATAATGCCCTGGCTGCCCCTGGGAATTGTGGGAATTGTGCTGTGCTGTGTTGTGCAGTGATACGAAGCACAAGTAGTCTATCCACGTGACTTTTCGGGGAAAATGTATCATTTAAAGAGAAATTGAAAATTGCACCTCTGTTTTTTCGAAAATTTCTTCGGCATGCAATTTTGAATCCTGACACCAAAGATGGCCTCATTCACCTCATTCACACGTATCCTCCCCGAACAACTCGCCCTCTGCCTACCGCACCCTTATCATCCTCATTCTGGACGTCAAGGTCTCCTCGGGGTACGAGTACGGGTCTAGGTACAATATCGGTACCACAACTCAGCAGAATCCAAAGCCAGGCCCCCCTCCCGAAAGTGAAAAGTGAAGCGTGCCACCCGCGCTGCACAAGCGCCCACTCGGCTTTTTCCCTTGCTCAAACCTGCTCCCCACAAGAACAAGGCGACGTATCCTATCCGCCTGGGCCTAGATTTGGCAAGCCATGCGACTCGGTGAGAAGCCAATGCCGACTGGAACCACCACCTGGGTAAGCAAGGAGAGCAAGAATCGCCGCGCCGAAACTGGTGGAGTGCGTGATGCCATCCCATGTGGCACCTTCTCCTCGCCTTTGCTGGACTCGATCTTGTTTTCCCCCGGCCTCCTTTCCTTATCTCTCCCCCCTGCTGTATCGTCTACGTGACAGGCCTCCATAGGGGACCATTACAAACCCCCTTCGTAGCTCTCTCTTCGTCGAGAGAAGAAAACAAAACCCACGATTTGCCTGCACCTCACGGCTTTCAATCCGCTTGGTGTTAACTTGTTCATATTCATTCGCAAGTGGGAGAACGATCCAAAGGTCTAGACAACCGGTCCGCTCCACCCTGGTTCCGCCTTTTTTTGCTTTGATGCGGCCCCAGGACTAAAATCGGACAAACATACTTTCAGTTTCCTATCTGTATGGCTTGGGCATGCACTGTACGTCGGGGATTCGATCATGTCTCCAGATGATACCTCGCGTCGACATATTGCTGTCGTAGTATATATAAAAAGTAGACAAAAAAACCACGGGCACTCTTTTATATATCAAAATCCCCGACCCGTTTATCCATCGTACCCCTAAGAACGCCATACATGGTATCCCAATCCCATCAAACCGAAAAACCCGGTCCCACGCTGCTCTGAGAAAGAAGACCAAAGTAAAGAGAAAAAGTACACGAAATGCGAACCAAGCCCAAGACATTAGACACACTCTTCAGACTCAAGCACCGGGGAAGCTCTCTGGCTCATTGTCGAAAATATACTTCTCGTCGGTAAATGACAGCAGGAACCTAGACACCAGCTTGCCCGAGTAGTCGAACGAGACATCGCGATGGGGACGCTGCTCGTTGTTCGGGAGGATACAGCCCATGACGAGGCTGAGAAGATCGCACCCTATCAGTTGCGGAATACAGTTAGTTACCAGACAAATCGAAGACAAAAAAGAATCGAAAGAGACATACCAGTCTGACCCTGGAGAATCTGCTTGAGCGAGTACACAAGCTCAATCGCCGGAGGATCCAAATCCCCATTCCCAATAAACCCATCATCCACCAACGGATTAAACGACTTCGCCGACATATCCTTACTATGCGTCTGATAAATCTGATGAAACTGATACGTAAACTGCCTAAACGGCAACTTCTCAATCTCGGCATTAACATCGAGCGCAACTTTCCGGTCGTACGTCGGCGGCAGCTGCGTCTTGTTGTTGATCTCGTTCTCCGTGATGACGAAGTAGTCCGCCGCCGTCTCGACCGATTCCATGAACAGGCAGAGGATGAGGAAGGCCGCGAGGCAGGGGGCCCATTCTTTGCGGGATTTGGGCTTGAGGGATTTGGAGAAGGCTTCGAAGAGGTGCTGGACTTCGCGCTGCATGATGTCGTCGAGGACGGCTTTGATTTGGCGGTTGAGCACGCGGGATGTTACCCAGAGGGCGTGCTGGGGGACTAGTTTCGTGTCGCGGAGGCCGAGGACGCTGTTTCGTGTCATGCAGAGTTGGCGGGTTAGGACGTAGTGGAGGGTGTAGACATTCAGCGCCCGACGAACGATGAGGGACTGTTAAATAAAGAAAACCGTTAGCATCGAGGGTGATGAGGGAAAGGGTCACAGGGAGAAAGAACTTACATCAGTCTGCGCGCGGTATTTATTGACGATATGCAGAAGCTGCCTCGGGAGATCAGTATGCTGCAGCGTCTCGGTCAGTTGCTCCGAGTACGCAGGCTCCCTGAGAATCTCCTGCATGTATTCCTTGCACCGCTTCTTAAGCTCGTCCTTCTGGCCCCCTTGCTCAGGGTCGATGCCGATCGGCACGGCATTCCTCGCCTGGAAATCCATGGTGTTTTGGTCCGCATGCAAGTGCCAATGCCGCATGATATCGGCCGTCTTGGGCGTGAAGAACTTGGCCTGGACGGCCAACACAGCTCTAAACCGCGTGCCGGAGAACAGCTCTATGGTACAAGGCTCCTCGAGACCCTCGATGCTGAACGACTCGACGTTCTCGGCGATAAACTTGACCACCTCCTCCTTCCTAAGGTGCCCACGAATAAAGTTCGGCAACAGAACGGGAAGGAAGTCGGGAAACTGCCAGCACACGATCTGCGGCACATTAATCATAAGCTTCTTGCAATTCTTGCAAGGCCGCTCCTTATCACACTTGACCTTCCGGCTATGGCAGCAAAAGCACGCGCCGAGCCGCCGCACCTGCAACGCGTTCTCCTTCGTGTCGTTGGCAAGCGGGCCCTTGCGACCCTTGTGCGACGTCCGGAAGGCCTCCTCGAAGCACTCGAAGGGGTTAGGTCGGCCCGAGCTGGAGTGCGCGCTGATGGACGTGGGCGTCATGATGACGAATTTGCCCGCCTGCTCCGACGCGGGCTTCTTCTTCTTTTTCTTCTCGACCTTGCCTTCTTTTACCTTGCGAATGGGGATGGCGCCCTTCACTCCCGACTCTAGCATGGGGGAGGGCGAGCTGTTGTTGCTGGAGGAGGAGAGGGTGTCGAGGATGGGGGAGAGGGATTGTTCTAGCGTCTGTTGGGCGTCGAGGGTCTGCTGCTCCCAGCTTGATACATCGGAGATGGAGCGGAAGCTCGTGGAGACGAGCCCCATCTCGGGCTGCTGGAGTTGGGTGAGGACGTCGAGGCCAACAAGGGCATCGGTGTTGTTGTTGAAGTCATTGTTGAACAAGAATTGTCCAGCCAGTTCTATGATGCACGACCGGATTAGCGGGCAACACTTGGACTCGCTCTCTCAATGTTGTGATACGACCAGTCCAACCAACTCACCATTCATCTCATTCATATCATTCATCTGAGCCCCAGGAAAAAGCAAAGTCTGCGGCGTCAAACCCATAGACCCAGCCGTAGCCGCCCCCGACTGCTGCATAAAAAGCGACGACGCCGACTGCGCCGACTGCGCCGACGGAGAGCCCGAAACCCCCGGCGACACAAAGTTGTCACTCATGGCATCTGCGAAGCCGACGGCAGAATCCACGGGGAACTGGGGCTGGTCGAGGTCAAGGAAGGCCGGCGACTCGGGGGTCGCCACAACAACATGACCACCCGTGCGGCCGACTATGGCGAAACCATTGAGGCTTCCGCTCGCCGGGCTGGGCAGGAAGCCGATGGAGGAGGGACCGGAGCCTGTGCTGGAGTAGTCGATGAATTGCCAGGATTCTTCGGAGTCGCTCCGCGGATCGTAGGGGGAGGAAGCCAGGGGGGTTGGTCCGCGCGACATGGTGGACGCCATGGACGTAATTGTTTCTCGCCTTTTTTGCCTATTTTCCACCAGTATTCCTCTTGGTCGTTTCCTTTCTTCTATCCTTATCAACTGTTTCAACTCTGAGTTATTTCGGGGCACCGGGATTGTTTCCTCGGTGATGTTCTTCCGTCGCAAGATCGAAGTGTACCAAGCCCACTACCAATTCTGATGTACCATCACAATCAGGATCAAATCGTTCGAATCTGTTTCGGGGCGCAAGAGTGTGAGGCGTACGTCCCTCGCAAAATCTCGTAGATTCACACCGTCAAACAAAATAAACAAATATGTCAAAAAACCTCTAGTATTTATGAAGATAATATCCCCCAAGAATCCGAAAACCCTTTTTCACAGGAACGGAAAGGAAATGTCCCCCAGGGCTGGCGACTCTTCATCTTTTGTAAAGCAAAGACGCCATCCCGCATCGCCCCTCGCTCGGCGCTAAACCCGATTCGGATACCGACGAAGGATGCGCAGTCCAGAATGCGTGACCGATGGTGGGTTTTGGGACGAGAAGAGCAAAGTGTCGCCAGGCTTTACGGTGGCTAAAAGTGTACTTTCTCAGAGAGATAATGTCGTCCATTTATAAAATAGTGTACTTCGTACAAACGAAGCCCCTTGCCGTTTTCCAGCGGCAGAGATTGTCCTGTTCCTCGGGAGATCCGCGACTAAAACGGACGAGCTGAAGTCTCTTAAACAGGGTCGCACGGCGTGCCTAAACGGTGAGGTCTTACTGGTCAACGACAGGTCGGTGATGGAAAAGGAAGTCGTCCGCCCTTCCGGTATAAGAACAGTCCAAATCCCCTCGGCATTCTCTCTTCTTCAATTGAACGGTTCGGTTGATAACAAGAAACCCAGGAAGAGAGATCGTCTCCGTCATCGCTATCCGAATCGGCCAGCGTTTCTCTCATTGACGTTGTCCAAAGACGTGTGGTATAAATGGCGCCCCTACGAAGTACCTCGCTGAAAATTGGTGCCACGACCGACCGCGCTGCCGAATTCCGCATTTCCTCACCGGGCAGCTCGGCCAATTGCGACCGGCTTACGAAGTATCCACAGCCTGGATGCACTTGCTCGCCTCACACTTTCAGCCAAGCCATCGAGGGAAGGCCAGCTATTTGCTCTGCCCCCTCTCCAATTTATGGAAAGTGCAGGCATATTTCAATGCAGCAACCATCCCGTATGGAGGTACATATAATAGAGAGAAACCCGCGACATCCGCGTTTGCCCATGAAGTTGGGTATCAATGAGCCTTGAGGATAGGAGACACTCGTCTCCCGGCGCGGCAGCAGCCATGATACCCAAGGTGACGAACACGTAGCCTCCGAAAAGGCGAACTTCTGCAGAACTCAGCCTTCGCTGCTCTTTGAACAGACTCACGTCGTGGCAGTGGCACATTCTCCTCGCTAATTTTCTCTACGGTTGAGCAGGCTGCTGCCGACTTAGACCCCCCAAAACCCCGACAGATTGATGCTTCTCTGGAGCACCGCCATTTGGCAGGGTATGAAGACATACAAAACGTCATCCTCGGCGCGAAAACGGATACAGACACAGCTTAAGCCGCGGCTTTTGGGAAGGGGTTAATATGTGTGAACTGTTTTGTACAACTCTAATAGCAGCAGGCCACCCACGACCATTCGTATGCTTGGTGTTCTCTCGCCTTCTCGGGCATGGATTGCTAGCCCCTGTGAATGAACGGGTATAATGAAACGAGACCCGGAAAGTAAAGGGTAAGGAAAAGGAAACGGTAAACAAATTGCTTGAGGAGAAGAATCGTTACCAAAGGGAGAGTGGATGAGGAAAGAAATCAGCTGTAACCGAAGGAAAACGATATGAAGCTTCCTGTAATGCTAGGTCTGATGCCACCGCTAGTATACCGTATATATCCTGTAATGTTGTTTTGCCAGTTTCCCCGAAAACAGGTAAAAAAACGAGAAGGAAAAAAGAAAGGGGTATAAATCATCAGTGGGGAAAGGAGAAAAAAGGACGACCAAGTTGGCGATGATGAAGACGAGTCCGAAAAAAAAACATATTTCCACTTTAAAAAGCAGATGCGCAAGAGAACGCAACGACAAAACCCAACAAGCAAGAAGGAACCAAAGAAATACTACAAAACTCTCGATTATCAGCTGCGGTACCTTGCCGGCGCCCGATTCTGAATCTGTTTCTCCGTCGACGCGTACAACTTATCCAAGAAATCCATCGCCGACGCATCTCTCAAAATCTTAGCCACCTGTATCCCCGCCGACAGCAGCTGCAGCACGTGTCTATCGTCCTTGAGCGGACGCCTCTGCTGCTGCCCGTTCTTCATCCCTGCCGCCGATGACGGCGCGTACCGCATCTCGAGAGAGTGCTCCAGCGTCGGAACGAACTGCTTAATCTGCCCGTTGTACAACACCCGCGCCGGGATCCGTCTCTTGGTCGCCAGGCGCTTGAGGAGGTACACCCACTCCACCCAATCACGGTCTTGCGGCTTTTCGACCGGACGTGTGTTGGGTGCTAGTGGTATGGGGAACTGGTACTTGGCTACGAAATCATACGCGCATTTCGACAGGCGCTCGTTCATTTGCCGCAAGATGTAGTCCTGTTCCTGGATGGGGAGATTAGTAGGGAGATGCGGAAGGTCACGCTCTTGCATGGCTATGTATTCGGCCGAGGGTGGCTGGAGGAAGTGGTGGGGTCCGTCGAACTCGTCGCGGTTGGACGGCCGTCTCTGTGCTGGCCGACCGCTTATGTCGACACCACCTCCTCGTCCCGCGCGGTACCTGGGCCCTGAGGGCGGCGACGCAGGTCCAACATCATTATCAAGCGAGCAGTCTGAGAGATTCGACGATGCTATGATATCATCGACCGAGTCTGTCGGAGAGTACATGGCGCTCTGGGAATTCCAAACAGTCGTTGAAGAGCCGCCGCCATTCAACGGGCCATACCCTGAGTTGGTAGGCGGGAGAAAGCCAGCTGTTGAGGTCGGTCGACCCGGAGAAAACGCACGTGGGGCGGCCGAGACGGGAAATGATGTCTCAACCCGAGGTGGCCCGTGGCCGTTCATCCCGATGGGGACATTGTATGGCCCTGACGAAAGTGCAACACTTTGAAAGACAGTCAATACGTGGTTAACAGCTATTCCTAAAAGAAAAAAGAAAAAAGAAAAACGTAGACGATGGCCAGTGCCTAACGGATCCAGAACCAAGGTAGAAAATAAAGAAAAATAAAACAAAACAAAATAAGATAAACTCCCGGGCATGACGAAGGACAGCTCGACTTACCCTGATGGCTGGGAGTAAGTACGGCCGGGTGGACTACTACCCCGCCGCGTATCAAGATAAGCAGGGCTACAGAAGCCTTGTTAGTTTCCCCTTTGTGACGACCCATCGATGCATTCGTGTACCTGCAGCATCATGTGTTGTTCACACCTACCTCCGTGAAGTGTTCCAGAGTGCCGCCCCAGGCCCTGGACTTGCAGGACTACTCCTAAAGGGATCTTGGTGGGTAACCTGCCTGCGACTCATGATGCAATATAATCTATATGCCTTGTTGCGGGTCGGGATGTGGGATGTTTGATGCCTTCCAGGATCCAGGAGACTCCAACGCGATTATGGAAATCGCAGGTGTGGTTCAGATAAATGCGTAATAGCAGCCAGGGTTTCCAAGGTTCGAAAGGTCAGGAAGAACAAACCCGGCCAGGACTTGGATATGTTTGCGAATACCAAAATGGACAAAGCGCATTCAAAGAAAGGCCAGAAGAACAAGAAAAAGAAAACAGAAACAAAACGGAGACGGGGACGGGCGAAAGTTTCAATGCCTTCTTTGACAAGACAAGATCTTCCCCAACAGGACAGGGCAGAGAGATAGAAACCCAACAACGCTTTTTTCCTTTTAAGGGTAAGGCAGCTTCTGGCCTCGCTGCATGAAAAAAAAAAAAATGGGGACTCAAGATAATATTCGGCAGACAGGGACGAACAAGCGCCGACAGGACATGCGCAACTGAGAAATCAACTCCTGGGGTTCGAACAATCCGGGGTCCCAGGCTCCCAAGGCTTGGCTATGATTGTGGTATCCGTGGACTTGAGGCCTGATAGTACTTCCGGGGATCCTCGGACCGTGGCCTGGCCGTAGGGCTGTAGAGGACTGGAGGGAATGAACAAATTGCGACAGTTCTGGCTAGGTTTGACGCGCTGATTCGGGTACTGAGGATAATACCCTCAAATTTCCATGCCCGCCTCGAGAAACTGGCAAACGTCCGAGTCAGGACAGCGCAGAAAACTCGAGGAGTATACACGAGATAGATCGTTCTCAGGCTGGTACTGAGGATATCTCGAAATCCCGAGGGGCAAAGGACTCAATGACACGAATTTCAGACGCTATGGCTGCTATATTATTTTTTTGGACAAGAGCCGAGAACAGAGAAGAAGAATGTGAATTTGGCTGGTGTGTGCATGCAATGGCTTAGTTAGGAGGGTACGGAGGGGTTTTCGGTTTAGTATTGCTAGTTCGGAATGGGAGCATTTATGTTAGAGTCTAGCGGCGTGGCACTTCGTAGTAGGACCGTGCCTCTCCATCCAAACACCCCCCGTACACGGAATGCCAATGCTGGTTCGACGTATTTAATTAGCCTGCGTCGTCCTCGACCGCATTTGAAAGAGCCGGTCGGTCCACTTAACGGTGGACAAGCAGCTCGAAGAGGTTCGAAGCCAACTGGCAAGTTCATAACGATTCGGGGTTGGGGAATCTACAGGTTTGACGACGGGTCGCATCTTGGTTCGTCTACGGATGGTGAAGAGGACGCACCGAGGGTGGAAGCTGGAGTCCGGTTTGCTTCCACCCGCAGAGCAATTGGTGGCTCACCCGGACAGAGTGAACCGCCGGGGGCCTCATCTGACACACCCCCTCGTACCACCAGAAGCTCGGAAACCCGTCTCGGATGCCAGTATCGTGGATGCTACTCGAAATGTGCAAGTAAATTACCAGCTAAGTGGTAGGATACTTGCAACATGCTTTCGTCCGGGCTCACGTAATTTGCACAATGTGTAGGTGCGTATGGTCCGCAGGGCGAGCTGAGACCATCCGGAATTACTGGCTTGCCAGAGGCCACGATGCCTGGAGGAAATGCCCGACACCGTGTTCACCCGAGGATAAGGTACGCAACAACCACTCAACGATCACTAACGTGGGGTGGCGGGGACGGATTGGACGGATGCAGGGAAATACCCTGTTGAAGAGCAGAGCGGTGACCCAGGCCTATTTAGTGAGAGTGAAGGTGTTGAATGGGCAGATTCTGAGTTGGGCACCAAAGTTGATGGTAGGTTTTGGCGCCTAACCAGTATGCACTCTTGGGGTTTATTACATGGTGCGCTCTTATTCGTGGGCGGAGGCCAGCTTGATGAAGTGGTAGGAAAAAAAAAAGTAATAACAAAAATGCTCATGCAGATGCAAGCCCGTCTCCGTCAACGTGGAACGTATCAAGGCAAAAGCGGACATTCAACTCTCTGGAAGGAGGAAAAAAAATGAGTTGGATATCCGGCGTCTAGCTTCTTCACCAAGCCGGGTTGACGCAGAGACCCAGGAGGAAAGGATAGGATTACCGCAACGCTTGTGCGAAAGTTGAAATGCAAGAAATGCAGTGGTGATGTATATGAGGAGGTGTATGCGTTTGGAGATCAAATGTAAGAGGACGAATGTAGAATATGAATTCAACAGCAAAGCAAAACGATCCCTCCGGCTCCTTCGGCTTACCAAATCCTCCGCAATGAGCGAGCCTGACTTTTTCGGACAAAGTTCGATATCTGGCGGAGGAGGTCGACAACGGACTGTTGTAAAGTATGGCACCGGGAACCTTAGTCACTTGGATGGAGTCTCGATGAGCACACCAGCAACCAAGTATTGCGTGTGGCTTGAAGCCGCCCACAGGAAAGGCGTCAATCTCCTCTGCCACATGAAGAAGCGGGCGACGACACCCGAATCTTGTCGCTTCACGATCGAGCAGAGAAAACACGCGACAGCCCATCGTTCCGCCTTGAGACTCGAGAGGGCCTGCTTCGTCCAGCATGAAAATCAATGATTCTCAGGGCTGGCTGTCTGTCTCGGTTTCGACGCAAGATGAAAATGCAGAACGCCAATGTGCAGCTACACATCAGTCTAGGACTTGATTGAGCGATCAACTCAGACCGAAAGGGAACTCGAAGCTTTATCAGAGACATGTAAGAATTTTCCCGTCGCTCCGAGGAGGGGAGGGCAAGATGCGGTCTAGATTCATCCTGTGAGTCACAAATGCGAACATGACTGTTTTGAAGCTTGTCTGGACAGCTGGAGGCTCATATCTCGAGTAACGTCGACTGGCTGAATGCCTCCACAAGTATCTGTTGACACTACATTGCCAACAAAGCCTAGAGGGTCTGGGACGGGCCGGATGAACTAAGTCGATTGCCCCGGACGATTAATAAAGCAGCAAGTGTTGTTCGTGAAGGTTGTCTGTATATTACGGTTTCGGGATTTGGTTCACGAGCAGTTGAGCTTCACCGCCAGACTCCACCCTCCCACCCTGATGGACCGGGTGCATCATGCCGAACACGCAGTGCAGCGCGGAGCCAAGCCCGTCAATGGACATTGTAAGTTTCTTTTCCCATGAATGGTCCGACAGCTGGCCAGCCCCGAAGAAGAAAAGAGGGCGGAATAAAAAAGGAAAAAGAAAAAGAAAAAAAATTGTAAAAAAATGCAGGAAAATGTCCAGAGCTTGTGGCAAAATTCCTGCATTCCCAAGCATGGAGACGTGGTCAGAGAGAGTCGGGAGATAGTAAGAGGAAGGGAATCAATGTGTCCGCCTCGCATTCCGAAGGCCCGCTCTCGACGGGAGAATGGTCGTTTGTATGATCGATGGCTCTGTGACGATTCACGAGTGGCTCCTGGCAGTTTGAGTCTCGACGCTTCCATGCTTCCATGCCGGGCATGGCCCCTCAGTGAAAACAAACTCATCAATGCACGATGCGTTGGCACTGCAGCCAGCCCCGACGTCGATTACTGGCCCATGTCCAGCTTGACCACAATAACGGACGGCGATAGGTTGGGGAAAGTGCAATCACACCCCCGCTCACATTCAAACCCCCTCTTTGATTCGTGTCATTTGAAAATTTAGTGAAGACCATTATGCTCACATCACGTATCCAGACGAGAAGATGTCGCGGGTGCCGTCATTGTCGGCCTATTATCTTTGCAGCCAGCGAAGAGGTGAGCGGAACGAGCATCCGGGCAGTGTGACGGCCACTTTTCGAGGCCATTCACACTCTCTCCCAGCCAGTCGATTGTGCCAGTTGCATAACTGACCAGGGAGACTGCCTTGATTTGATGGGGGAACAGCGCAATATTCCAGCGAGAAAGCGAGAGAGAAGGCGGACCATAGCAGAACACGGCAGGCCACAGCAGTCTAGGCCCCATCAAATGTGGGTGATCACAATCACACTGCATTGATGAGATGGCAGGATGAGTTGGCCAAGGCGCCGAAGCAGCGAATTGGAGTCCGGAAACACTGTCGGAAGGGTTCTCCTTCCTCCACTTCGAATTTCCAAATTGTCGGCTGATTTTTGCAAGGGGGGGCGTGTTCGAGTCGTTCAAGTCGTGCTTTCCCAGTTCCTGAAGCATTTAAAATAGTCAAGTGCCCCCTCGTCCGACCAACCTCGTTCCTTCCCTCTACCCAACTAACCAGACATTTGTGCCCAACGATCCATTGTTGTCCAGTCAAGACGCGCTTTCCTCAAGCATTTCGACTGTACTTCCCAACACTCCCAATCTTCTCCTTCCCCTTGTTCATTATAACCGCTCGCCTTGGACCCGCTTCCCTGCTCCCAAGCCTATTTCATCGATCCTTCCGTCCCGCAAACCCCCCTTGGACTGCACTTTCTTCTCTTCTTTCATACATCATCACCAACATCCACACCCAGAAACACACGCTTTGGATTCCTGGAGACCAACCCGTGTGTTTTGTTTGAACGACAACGCAAGGAAAATTATTGTTTGCATACAGCCAACTGGTTCAGATTATAAACTTTGATCTGTAACCGGAGCCGGACCTGTACACCAGTACACTCCAATTGGACCTACCATTTAGTGGCTCATCTGAAGGACCTTTTTTTTCTTTCTCTCCAAATATGCCTGGCTTTAAGATTGACGAAGTCACCTCTCCCTCTAGGTATTGTTTTTCATTCTTTCACGTCCTGGGAGGCCTTTTTGCTTTTGATTTCTCTCGATTTGTTACTGCTTTGTGTCTTTCTCTCTCTCCTTCTCTTACATCTTGTTCTGAAATCATGTCGTTTCCTTTGTGTCTGCCAGCCCTGGCGATCTTACTGTACCAGTCAGTCTAGGCGAGCCAAGCCACTTCCCGGACGGATAATTGGATTCAGGATACCATGAAGACCACAAGGAACTCAGGACCAGGCTGTTCTATTTGGATCACTCGCTCCGTCCGGACGAGTTCCGAGCTGAATGGCTGCTTTGGCACCTTCACGCCGGACCCGAACTTGAAAAAAAAGTTGAGCTTTTGTTGCTCATGAGGTAGGTCTGAGGACTTCAAACAACACCGGACCTGGATTTGATCGGAGTGTTTTCGTTCATTCGTCACCGCCATGGATCTCTCTTACAGTTCGTCTTTTTTTGAGCTTGAAATACCGGATGGATTTGTTCGATCGCCACCCCCGGAACACAGGACATGCTGTTTCAGTCTAGCCATGTAAGCCCGAATGGGTTGGCAATATTCTGACCAGCATTTTCACCCTGGGCAATGTCACGCTGTGATAGAGCCTGGATCCGCAATCTAATTCGATTGCTTCGTGCGACCGCACCTTGGATAACAAGCCCTGGATTTGAGGAGTCCCTTTTTTTGGATTTGGATCCCATGGATGGAATCGACAATACTATGGCTTCTAGACCGGATACTGTTTTTTATTATGGCCTTTATTTGGATTGGAATCATGGATCGGACCCTGGATTTCATACGACAGTCTTTTGTTCTTGTTTCTTGGTTTTCTACTTCATTTCGCCCTTTGATTGTCTCGCTCTTTTTGGTGAAGTATATCGGGTCGGATCTCGAACATTTGGAACTTGAAGACCATAACCGAAATCGACGCCCCAAAACAACTCCTGGATAGAGATCCCCTTCCGGCTTCGACAACTCAGCTCTGCATCCTGTGACCCTAATTCTCACTGGTCCCTTTATTAGCCCTGGAGTGAAGAACATTCAAGGTTGCCTTGGACACTATTGAAATCGACTTGACATGACAACAACTCGACGATATACGACTTTCACTGCCCAATCTACTTGTTCCCTGGACTCATTGGCTCTGCTTGTTTTACTGCCCTGGATACAAAGTGATGACTAGCCTGGCTCAGCTCTCGACTCACTACACCCACCTGGTTTGTGCCTACGCCGCCCTTGAGATTTGTAAAATAACAAGTAGCTAACATGTTGAGCGATAGGATCAAGTCTGGTTCAGCTTCGGAAGAAGTTCTTCCCATTCCCCCGCAATCAGCCACAGCACTCCTGCTCCCTCTTTTTCTCTCAATCTCTTTCTAAATCTCTTTTCATGTTCTTGTTATGAACCGGCTCATCGAGTCTTAGCACACAAAGGTAGTGGAGTAACAGGACACTAACCTCGACGAACTGCAGTGAATTTAGCTTCGGCATTGTGCCCAGTTCCGATATGTACTCCCTTGCACAAACAGGACCATCGGACCATCTTGGTTCGCCATGGGTTAGTGCCGGGGATGGACAGCACATGAATGATTTCCCAGGACATTCCGTGGATGCCGAGGATTATTCCCTTGCTGTCTATGGAGCTCCCACGCCTCCCCATGGAACCGAATTGGATTTGACCGAGGAGTTCCGGAATAAGTGCGCTTCCCCGCGCTCAGAGTCTGTGAAGAGGTTATCATCTCGCAGCCCCGGAATTTCCTCAAAGCGGAGGAATACCAAATCTAGCGGCGTCTCCAAGACCCAGGCGAGACTCGCACCAGCCCCGACATCATCAAGGATGTCTAGCGCAGGCTTGACAGGTAATGCTATGTCTTTCCAGAACACTAATGGCCACTTCACGGGCTTGAACCAGCCCCTATTCCAGGAACCGGAACAGGCAGACACCCTCTCCCACATGTACTATCAGGATTTCTCCGGCCTTGAGTTTGGCATGGCCTCAGTGACCGGAATGCCCTTCCCCGAACTTAGCAATCCCCTGCACGTTGATCCCACCCACATGCAGTTTGACCCAGACACCAGTCTCACTGCTACCTCCACTCCCCGTTCCTGGAATGCCACTTACACCCCTCCCCACTCGCCCCAAAATGCGGAGGAGACCTGGTACCAGCCATCTCTCGGTTCCTCATCAGAGAGCGCGGGATCTTCGCCCTCTGATTACGGTATGGGACAGACCTACTCCCTTGGTCAGGATCTTGCCCTCCAGGGACTCGGCGGTAATGGCGATATCTCTGCCATTGGCCGCGATGATTCCTTCGTAGTCTCCACCGGGCCCGCTCGCCGATCTAGGTCTGAAGGTGAGACCGCAAGGGACCACGACCTCTACAAGAATGCCGCCCCTCAAGCGGATGGCCTTTTCCATTGTCCCTGGGAGGGAACCGCAGAGTGCCACCACAAGCCTGAGAAGCTGAAGTGCAACTACGAGTAAGAATGCCCCCGATTCTAAAAAAGAGCTTTTGCAGCTGGCGTACTAACCTTTGCTGCTTCCTCTACAGCAAATTCGTCGACTCTCACCTTAGGCCCTACCGCTGCAAGGTAGAGTCGTGCGCTGAAGCCCGCTTCTCTTCCACCGCCTGCCTTCTCCGACATGAGCGCGAGGCCCACAGGATGCACGGCCACCAGGCTTACAACTGCACTTACAAGGGATGCGAACGCTCCCTCGAGGGTAAGGGATTCCCCAGGGCCTGGAACCTTAAGGACCACATGAGGCGTGTCCACAACGACCATGGCACTGGTCCCAGCTCCGGATCCCAGCGCGGAACTGAGGATCAAACCAAGGCCCGAAGGAAGAGCAAGACCTCGACCTCTGCCAGCAGCAGCCGCAAGTCCTCCAAGTCCATGCCTACGGTCGATCACGCTGCCGATGAAGCCATGGACCGAAGGCAGCAGGACTACATGGCGTGGGACGACTACTACAAGTCCCTCCAGGGTGCCGTTCAGCAACTCGGCAAGCCCGCGGATATCGAGGCTGGCAGGCAGCTCAAGAAGGCCCAGGAATACCTCAACCAAATGTCCTCGGTGTTTGACCGTATCCACCCCAAGGCCGCTGGTTCTTCTCGCCGCCACACTCTTGGAGATTGAATTGACTTGTGAGTATTTCCTCCACAACAACTTACATCATAACACATTTGGAAAACGGTGAGCTAATATGGTTGAATGATAACAGGTAGTTTGTGAATATTATCTACTACTTGAAAGATTTGGCCGCTCCGAGATTCTCCTGCAAGTGCAGAAGGATCGCTTCCGGTTCCGGCATTCAAGGCCCGGGGAGGAGATTCTTGAATGCCGAGATGTCCAGGATCTCAAAGGCGAAAAACTACCTGGAAATGACTTCCTTACTCTCTTCTATCTGGTCCACTCTTATCCAGCTCGACAACATTTTTCTTGGGAGGTCTTTTTCCTGCTTTTGACGTTTACTGCCGAGACAAAGGACTTTTTGAGGCTTCTCTCCACCTCGCGCCAGCCCTGGCCGGGATGAGAGAACCGCACCTGACTGCTCGGAAGGTTTGAACGACGCGTGGTACTCTGGTTTTACCAATTCCGTTCTTTCCACTCCGGAACTCCGATGGGCAGAGAGCCTTTTCGGGGAGGTGTCTACTGACATCTGGGTTCCTTGGAGTCATGCGAGTGATAATGGAGACCGGGGTCTATGGGAACCCCAGTCTCCCGACTCATGCTACTTTGGATATTCGGGGAGGAATCCTATCTAGGATTTTATCCCCGACAAGAGGTGGACATGTATGGCATTGTGTGTGATGAGCTCCTTGCCACCGAAATCCTGTATTGTTGAGATCGAAATCTGTTTTTGGTGTGCTGGTCAGAGATGTGTCTATGTTTCCTCTTGAAACATGCTCTCATGGCGTCCATTCCCTTTATTTCCTTTCTCAAATATTTTCTTGACTCATGTATTGGGCATCAGCTACACACACATTCGTTTGGATCTTTTATATCTTTGTTCTTCGTCTTATTTATTCTTGTATGGTGGGGAGATTTGTTTTAACAATGGCAATTTTTCTGTTAAGCGTTTTGTCCATGTTGAATCTTTTGTACCGGCCAGAAAAGATGCGTAATTTTCTTGTTTTCTTTCTTTCACGATATGAGTTCTATCTTATGGCATCTTCATTGAACCGTCTTCATTTTTAAAAAGAGAAAAAAGAAAAGAAAAAAAAAGTTTTAACGAAAAAGAGCGAGGAGAATCTGTCTTTCTTTGCATATTCATGTGCGACGCTAGCATTACTTCCCTTCATCTAGATGGCATATTACTTACACCGGAAGATGCATACCTCGTCATTAAGCCTTCTGTTTCCTTGTATAATTCCTATTGGTGGCTCTAGAAAAACTAGATGGTAGAATGAAAGTGGTATCTTTTTCAGACCTAAACCTTTTAATGAGAGTGGTATCTTTTACGAGAACGCCAAAATCCATAAATATGCGAAGACAAACAATGATGCCACCCCCCGCGTAATCGTACAAAACATATCAAATATTGTAAAATGCGCCATGCCTAGCCAGCACGACGCTTGTCTTTTAGGTCCCTTATGCCGTTTGCTAATGGCGGCAACGGCTTGTTCAAATCTGGAGGCAAACGAGGTCTTGTCTGAATCTCCTTGACGAAGACGATAGGCACCTCGTTCTCCGACTCGGCGTTCTTCGTAGTTCCAGTCTCTAGGTTAGATCGAGGAGACATGGAGTCAAAGAGGCGAGGGACGTAGCGGACGAAGAATGGTTTGGTGGCGGGAATGGAAACACAAATCTAGAGAAGAGGGGTGCTCGTGTAAGCGGCGATACACACGAGGTAGGGGAGGGGGAACCAGAAGTTACAACTTACGATTCCAAGAAATAGCTCAATGGCACTCGCAAGCCAAGAGATCCACGAATGCCACGTCATGTCAAAATCCGCAGACGTCGTCATAATAAACATAAGATACGTCCTCACAATCCCAGCAAGACAAGCCACCCAACCCGTGGCGAACAGCGCCATAACAACCATCATTTGCCTCCGGGGCAAGGTATTAGATCGAAGGACAACGAACATGGGCAGTATGACGAGGATGAAGTCCATGGCGGTGTTATAGGTTCCGGCGATGAGGATGCCGCGGCCCTCGTTGAGGCAGTTGCGCTCGTCGGCGGGCTTGAAAATTTCCCAGTAGTCGGAGATGGGGCGGCATTGGGTGAAGAGCACGACGAGGTAGCTGATCATGCCGAGGAGGTTGAGGACGATGAGGAAGATGACGAATTTGCGAATGCGGTTGGAGACGGGGGTGGCGAGGCGGTAGACTAGGGCGAGGACGGAGAGTTTGGTGAAGGTTGTTGCGAAGTCGAAGAGGGAGAAGCTGACGAGGCTGTATGTTAAGAAGCAGTGGGTGTTAGCTACAGGGCCGAGGAGCTTGGCTTTTGTCTTTTCCCCTACGGCGGGGTTCTACTACGTGGAAACGTACGCGAGCTGAAACCCCGTCACGACGTCATCTACGGGGATATCCCAGATATGTTTGGCCCATCCATAGCCATGTTCGACAATGATGCCAACGATGAGAAAGGCAGTGGCCGTAACGTAAGATGCCGTGACGAGGACATCATCCCAGCCGACTCTTCGAGAGATGTATCTCCGCGTATATATCCTGAGAGTAAGGATGCCGGTAACGATGACCCATAGTGTAATGGTGACAATGTCCTTTACTGGACCGCGGGTTTCCGGGTTGACGAAGTTGGGAGCTGGCCAGGACGCAATTACCTCCGGCGGAGGTGTTCGCGGCATTCTTCTTGAAAAGTTCGTGCATATATATCCGCGGCGGTTGAGAGATGGCGAGGTGAATCAGATGCCCGCGGAGCCTATAAGCCGAGAGGGGACGGCATCCACGGTTGAGAGGACAGGACGGTCTCGTTCAACATCCATTCCCACCGATCTGTAAGTCGATGTTGGTTTGGGCGAGCATCAGAGGCCCTCGTTTTCCGCGCAGAGCCTCATGCGGTGGGAACCACGGACGTTATAACCCGGAGCCAAAGATCTTTCTCTATTTGAGCCCATTTCGTATTTGTATTTCTTCCTTTGCAGCTTTTTAATGTACTTGCCCCTCCTTCATCCTCTTATCCCACAGGTGAATGCCGATTTAGACTCGGTAGCCCTCCGAGCGGTGTCACAGGCGAACCAGGCCCCCCAAAGTTCTTCTTGGAAAGGAAGTTGGGGGTCCCTCCCCGCACTGCACAGATGCCGATCATGACTCTCGCTTCCACTGTGGGTGAGAGAGAGATTTACATTTACAGAAGCCCTGAACCTTGAAGATTTTCCGGGTGGTCAAGGATAACCTTGCCAGTTCTGAAACACTTAAGAGCCTCCTTTCCAGGTCCTGGAGCGGGGTTGACTCTCTTTGTGGCCCTCCCCAGGGAGTGAATGACGGTGGGATGCTCCCTAGAATTGATATGGAATACGCAGGAGGGATCGACTTTGGAATACGAATTTCTATAGTAAGCCAAGATATCATCCACTCGCAGGGTCAAGATGCGTGGGAGCATGGGTGTGGATGCATGGGAGCATCATTCTCCTAATGGCCGTGCAGCGTAGTTTCCAGAAATGCGAGTCTCGATGCATGGAACGCTGAGGATCCGAGCGTCATGGCGTAAACTGCAGGCATTGGAACTGTGTGTGAGAAGATATCAGCTAGCACGAGTAAGAAGATGAGTTTACCCCCATCGTGTTGACTTGTAAACTACAAAAATAGAGCAGTGGCGTGGTGGCCATCGAGGATCGGAGCCCAAAAAGGCCTATAAGGGTCTAGTGACACGCAGCATTTTCAGGTTTGCTTTCTAGAGTCGCGGATGGTTGTTCCATTTTTCCGCTTGTCTCGCCATTGAGAGTTCCATGTCAGTGCGCGGAGGATGTCGGCTTTCAGAGCCGGATTTCGGACCCGGTCTACCGTAAGCCTCAAGAGAGTACGAAGTACCCGTGTATACAAACAGTGTATCGTGTGGGAGACCAGAGGTACAATTGGAGTGAACGGAAGTAATCAGAGACAATGCGGCAAGCATCAATCAATCTGGCGGACTTGCATTTGGAAGGTCTTCGGCTCGGTCCCGGAAGCCGCATTCTTGTACATGTGTAAAGCCACGATTACAATTGTACGGAGTATTCTCTGGAAGGAACCACAACCTTGTGAAGCATCAACGGACTTGCAGATCCTCAAACACAAACTTCCCGCAAACACATTCCACAACCGAGTTTAATCCAAATCCATAACCCCTCCTTGCGCGATTCGATCTTGCCTACGAATTAAGCTCCCCTCAATTTGCACAGACGTTTACGATTCAGAGTCGCACCAGTCCAACTCTCGGGATCCGGGTAGGCATCCCACCCACCATCTCCCTTCCTGGGTCCTGGGTCTAGGCGTGAGCCTTTGCGCGGACAGGTCTCTTCCCGTCACAAGTATCAATCGCCAGCCCGTGGTTGAGACCGCTTCGTGTGGCTGTGCCTGGCTAGTTGAGTGTGGAATTGCGGATTCCATATATCAACGGGAAACTAACTCTCCGTGTGCACATGCGTACGCGCACACATTTACCGCCCGGGAAAGACTGCCCCTTCCTTCTATGAAGGCCGGCTTTTCCTTCCGACCCTTGTTCGCTGCTCGGACTTTGCAATCAGTCTCGAATATAATCCCGCAGCCATGGGGAAGGAGGGGGGGGGAGGGGGGCCTGGCCCTGGGAATGTTGAGCCCCCACGGAGAGTTCTTTTTCGCTTCGAAGACGACGTTGTAGTTTGCCGAGTTCTCTTCTCCGACATACCCGACTATACACGATCCATCGTTAGAACACGCGAGCTATCGTTGTTCATGCGCCCTGAGCGCCGTTGTCGAAGGATGGATATCCTGGTAAGCGTTAGCTACGAGGACGGCTTCGCCTCGATGTTTGTCACCAAATCCTGGTCCCTGGATATCCTGTCTCCTGCGTAGTCTGAGGAATGATATGTGAGCAATCGCGGCCAAGCCTTGAACATCTCCATCACCATTGGCAACTTGACCGGGCGCCCACCGAAGCACACATAGATGCGAGCCTCTCGGAGTCAGTCCGGTCCTCATCACAATCAACACCATGGGATAGTCGTAGACAAAACTCCCACGCAGCAGTCGTCCGAGATGACGCACACCACGCCCCATAATGTTCCTAAATAGTGATACAATTCATCCGTGACTATATTCTTGGTATTGTTGTTACAAATCCACATCCGAGCCACCTCGCCCCTCTCTCCTTCTACACCGTCATCCCCGTTCCGTGGTAAGGGCTCCACACGCCTCTGACGCTGGGGTTGATACTCGACACAGGCTTAGTGACCTTCTTAACCTTCTCGCCGTTCGCATCTCGTAGTAGTTCCGCCTTCTTGAGCACTTGTAGAGAGTCTAGGTTCCGTACGCACACGGGCTTCTGTCGGCCGTTAATGTAGTGGGCGACGATTATCGGGTGCTTCCCGGGTCGGGGGGATACCGTGATTTCAACTTCGGGGTTCTGGGAGGCGAATTTCGAGAGGTGAGACTTGATGAAACCGCTGTGCCTTTGTTAGCTCTGATCATCCGGATTCCCGCGATGCCTGGTCCTCGGTAGTGAGAGGAGGCGTGTTACTTACTTCATTCCTTTTGAGCTTCCTGCCCAGTCGCAGTAGTGGAAGTCCATCTTCTTGCATTGGAGAATGAAAGCTCCGAGGCCGTTCTTGAAAAGGTGAGTCGTCGTTAGCTTGTGCTTGAGGTCATCCGATTGACGAAGAATTGGGGCTTACTCGGCCGGATGCTATTCTCCTCAATCCAATAGGCATTTCGTATATTTGACCGCCGACCTATGCTCCCATTAAAGTCGTCGTAAAGTCGTCACCCTGCGTTTGTCGCTTCGTTTTTGAAGTTCGCATCGGCTCAGGGACACAGGGACACGGATTGTTGCGTGGGAAATTTTTAGGTGAGAGATCGATGAGAGGCGGTGTGGCTGGTGGCTTCATTAGCCACAACATTTCATCTTCAGGATCAATTGATCGATGTCGATCAGCATGCACGCACTGTGACCAGGGGGTAAGACGCCTGGCAGGAACTCAGAACTTTCCCATCAATTCTACAACTACGAAGTACTTCATTCTTCACAGACATACCGACGATACACATTTAATAACAGAATACTAATGTAAACCATCAAGACGATTTTTTAATCTTATACCTTTGTAATTTAACTTTTCTATTTTGTCATCCCATCATAACCACCACCTTGCTATATGCTAGATGGCCACCATCATGCTGCCAGACAAGTAGCATGATTTACTGCTTCTTGCAGTTGATGATGTCGACGAAAGCAGGCTTGAGGGAAGCACCACCAACAAGGAAGCCGTCAATATCGGGCTGCTTGCTGAGCTCACCGCAGTTCTTCTCATTGACGGAACCGCCGTAGAGGATGCGGGTCTCGTCAGCGACCTTATCGCTAACCTCCTTCCTGAGCCAGCCACGGAGAGCGGCGTGCACCTCCTGAGCCTGCTCAGTGGTAGCGACCTTGCCAGTGCCGATGGCCCAGATGGGCTCATAAGCGATGACGATGTTAGACCAGTCCTCAGTCTGGGCCTTGAGAGCGGCGAGCTGGCTGCTGACGACATCGATGGTCTTGCCGGCCTCGCGCTCGGCAAGGCTCTCACCGCAGCACCAGATAACGCTGATGCCGCCGTCGGTCGCGAACTTGGTCTTGGAGGAGACAACGGCGTCGGACTCGCCGAGGAGGGTGCGTCGCTCGGAGTGGCCGAGGATGGTCCAGTTGATGCCGGCGTCCTTGAGCTGAGAGACGCTGATCTCGCCGGTGTAGGCACCGCAAGGCTTGTCGTAGGCGTTTTGGGCGGCTACCTCGATGTCCTTGCGGAGGGTGTCGCGGACGAGGAGGAGGTAGAGGGCGGGAGGGGCAACGACGACCTCTGGAAAGGGGGAGAGAAGAATGATTTGTTAGCCGGGGGGCAGCCTATTCGCCATGGGTGAAAGGGAAGGTGAAAGAAAGGGGGAGGGAAGCGGAAGGCGGGAGGAGCAAGTTTCTACCCCGCGGCTAATGAAGGAACCATAGAGGTGACGACATACCAACTTCGGGGTCAAGAGTGGCATTGTTAAGGTTGCTGACAATCTCCTTGATGGACGAGACGGTCCCGTTCCTGTTTCAGTAGGCTTCTGGTTAGAAATTTCATATTTTATTCGGTCTGAACGCGCGAATTGATGAGCTTTTTCGAAGCTTCATCCCCTGCCCCCCAAAGTCGATGGTGGGGTTAATTGGAGGGGTGCGGGGTTGAACATAGATAAAAACTAACATCTTAAAGTTGCCTCCAACGAAGAACTTGCGAGCCATGGTTGCGGTGTTTTTTGGGTGAGGTAAAGAATTAGGGGAAATGTGTTGTGTTTGATGGCGATGGTGATGCTGGGAGGAGTGGACTTGAGGGTTTTCTTTTCAGGATTGAGGTTGTGATGGATTTATTTGATCTTGTCGAGCTGGAATTACATTGGATCAATCCGATGCTTCGGCCGAGCTCCACGAAAATAAATCGCCTGATGTAGCGTACGAAGCAGACAATGGACCAACTGAAGCCGCGGGTTGAGCTGACCTCAATCAAACGCTTGGTTTACTGTGGGCCAATAAATGTGGCACTGTCTGGACTTCAACTTCCTCGTTCACAACAGAACATCGCATCTCTGCACTTCTCGTCTTATCTTACCTCTCTCCCTGTATTCAACAACTTGGATGGCTTCTTGCCAGGACCACCTGCATTCTACAACATGACCTTCATTACCTTCAATATTAATTCCCACTGGAGAGCTCGAACTGGCCGGCTACGCCATTGAAGGCTCGGCATAAGAGGAGGATCCACTCGTAGAGAAGCAGCATTTGATTGTCTTCTCTCGCCTCTTGTCCCACGCGTGGCGATGACCTTGATGAACAATTGAATTGACTTCGCCGCCAATTGCGCCGCCGTCTTTTAGTGACTAAGAAATAAAGGTACAAAGGTACAAGTTCCTCAAGGATATTTCTCGGGTAAACAAGACCGTGTACCCACGTACCCAGGCAGCCTCGACCTTCCTTTCCTAATCCTGAGCTTCGTGTCAAATTTCCGTCGTTCGCCTCTGTTGCGACTCTCTCTTCATTCATCAACCCGACCCTGCCACGCATTCCTCGCTTGTCTCCTCGACGGAGTAATCAATTGTAGTTAACCCCGGAAGTTGATATAATTCAAGTTTTCCTTCATCCCGGGGATGCGCGGTAGACACGATGACTGACAAACTGCCCCCCAATCTCCTCGCGCTTTTCGCGCCGCGACCACCCCTGCGATACCTCGAGGCCCCAGACCATCCTCCCGAGAAGCGTAGAACCCAACCTATATCGGGAGTTGCCGCGTTTCTCCCCGCGCTGCAGGCCTACAAGGAGACAGATGTCTACGAACCGACGGAGAGTTGGCTGGAGATGAGGGATCGCAAGAAGTTGGAGCGGAAGGCGGAATTGGAGAAGCTGTTGACTGAAGGCCCTAAGCACTGTGAGGAATATCCTTCCCACTTTTTCTTTTTCTTTTTCTTTCCTCCCCTCTTTGCCCCTCGCTTTCCGATATGAGCTGTTACTGACACACTTCTGAACGATAGTCAAGCCTAATGAGGACCCTAATGTCCGAGGCGATCCTTTCAAGACCCTGATCGTCGCGCGGTTAAGCTACGACGCGACGGAGCAGGACTTGGAGAGGGAATTTGCTAGATTCGGTCCTATTGAAAGGGTACGTCGACCTTCCTAGAGTTTGTCTTCTCCTTACCCTTATGCCCATGCTAACCTGGTTTATTGCGCAGATCCGAATCATTACCGATACCCACGCCCACCTACGACCTAAGAAGAAGAAGAAGCCCCATAGGGGTTACGCTTTCGTAGTATTTGAACGAGAGCGAGATATGAGAGGTAATCTATTCCCCAGTCCCATCCTAATCCCCTTGCTAGTTCTGTCACTTTCCTGGCTACGACGCACAAGCCTGGTTGCATCCCAGTGTGTGGTTAGGTAACACCTAACCTCATGAAGTTGTGTTTTCCGCCTTGGCCCTATCTACCCCCCCACACTTGACGTAATAGCATAGCAAAATTTGGTAAGAATTGACTAACGCGTGCGCCTTGGCGCACTGACGGGCAGCTGCTCTGGAAGCCTGCGATGGCATTCGCATCAGAGACCGACGTATCAAGGTAGACGTCGAGAGAGGCAGGACCGTAAAAGGTTGGAAGCCAAGGAGACTAGGCGGTGGCCTGGGCGGTCGTGGCTATACTAAGGCAATGCCTTCCCGCCCTGTGGGCCCCGGTGGTTTTGGAGGTGGCTTCAGAGGTGGATTCCGCGGTGGCTTCGACGGTGGTAGGAGTCGGGGCGGGTATCGTGGCGGCGGTGGCTTCCGGGGAGGTGGCGGCTTCCGAGGAGGGGACCGTGGTGGCTCTAACGGCTATGGCGCTCCCAGTAATGCGCCCTCAGGCCCTGGTTCTGGTTATGGCGGCCGAAGTGGCGGCTATGGCGGTGGTGACCGGGGCCAGGACAGAAGCCAGGGCGGCGGTGGTGGGTATGACTCACGTGCTTCGGGACGCTCATATGATGACAGACATGGCGGTGGCGGCGGTGGCTACCGCGATCGACACGATAGAGAACCGCGGCGCACTGGAAGCAACATGGAACCCATACGACCTAGGGAGAATGGTGGGTATCGTGACAGAGACTACGACAGGCCCCCCCGCGATGATGACAGGAAACGCCACTATGAAGGCGGCAGCGGATATGACGAACCCCGGAAGATCCGTCGCTACTAAAGCTTACGGAGTCTCTCTAATTCACCCCCATTCCCGTTCACTCCAGTGGTGGGTATTTCACTTACAGCCGGCCTACGGTAACGAGACCCCCGGCACTATTGTCGCATCACTCTTCTCTCCCCCTTCCTTGCCGAGGGTAAGAAGACAGCGTTACAGGGCATGCCCTTTTGGGCACTTCGATCTTGTGTTTTTACGTCACTTTTTTTTCACTACCTACTTGGACCACTTGTCTCACCGGCTCTCAAAACGTCGACTTAGTTGCCCGAAATGAAGCTCATCGGATGGAGCGTCGACACCTCAGCTGTGGAAGCCCGGACGAGGGTTTCTCTCCGAAAAGAACACGGGCCAAGAATGTCAGGTCCACCCGGACCTCCTCATGCGCTCGAAACGGACAAAACAGGGAGTTTTACGGAATAGGTAAAATGTGCCTTTCGTCATTTTCTTCTTCTTGTTATTCCTCCACGTTGTATTTTATAATCCGGTTCTTCGAAAATTTGGCAAGCGCCTTACAAGGTTGGCGTTGTGTCGAAGGGACGAGGACAAACAAACAAAAATACATGTATACACAGGTAAGGTCAGAGGTAAGGAAGGATATTCTATTGCCTACTGACCTGAAGATGGTTGCATAGCGTACTAGTAGAAAGGGGGGAGCCAAAAAATATGGGATGGTAGGTTGTTTTGCCAAGCGAGAGCGCGAACGGAGGCGCAAGTTGTCCTCGAGATGCTACGTTGTGGTGTGAATGACTCTTCGAAAGACGAATGCGTAAAGACAGGTACGGGATGGGACCCGCCCCTTCCTGCCCACTTCGTACGTTGGACCGCCTCGCTTTCTTCGTCTGGGCTGGAAATGTTTACTATCATCAGTCAAGCTTTCCTGTCTCTTATCACTACCTAATCCATATTCCGTTGAACGTGAATCCATGATAAATTTTTGTCGCAAGAAATAGTCAAAACCACCAACGCCTAAAATTTTGAATCTGTCTTTAAGAAAAAGCCAGAAGCCTCTACCGATGCCGCCGAATCCCGGTGTCAACCTCCAAGGGCGTAAGCAGCCTCCTCGCTGTCCACCCCTGCAATTGATCCGGTTCGATTCACTTTGCCCAGAAGTATGTCCGTTGTTCTAAAAAGATCCGTGACGATTTCGTTTTTTTCCTTTTCCATTTTCACTCGGTTTCCGCATCCTCGACCTCCATGGCGGATCCTTCCACCACGGTGACCTTGCCATTCGAAGAAGTCCAGTACCTAAACCCGACCCACGTTAGTTCCCCAAACGAGGCAAAAAAAAAAAAAAAAAAAGAAGAGAAGAGAAGAGAAACCACTTACGCCAATACCTTGACCCTAAACTCACTCAAACAAACACTAAAAAGCTTCAAAAGCCTCGTCTGCCTCGAATCAAGCACATCCCCCTCCCTACAAACAACATACCCCTCCCCCTCCCCACTCTCCTCCCCCAGCACAACCTTCCCCTTGACCATCCTCGTCGGCACGCCCAACCGCCTCAGCTCCGGCTCGATGGTATGCTCCATGGGCACATCGTAGTCGGCGGGCACCTCGCCGCCCGTGGCGTACACGACTCCCGCGGGGATGACGAACTCGCGGGTCGCCACGGCTCCGGCGCGGGCGAAGTCCACCGAGGTCAGGGAGGCGAAGTAGGCGAGGATGGTGTCGGGGGCGCGGTTCGTGAAGAGAAGGCCGACTTGGCCGTGGATGTAGGGGGAGAGGGCGTCGATTCCGTCGGCTTGGGCTTCGGCGGGGGTTTGGCCGAGGGCTTTGGACATGAGTTTTGTTTTGCCGAAGAAGATTCTGCGACGATTTTGAGGGTTAGATTTTGTTTTTCTTTGATTTTATATATGTTTTGGGGGGGGGGGCTTGGGGGCAAAGAAGAGGGAAAGAGGACTTACTTGCTGTCGGACAATTCTTGCCTTACGCTCTGGAGGTGCGTATTCCTGCTATTCTCGACGCTGAACACGAAACAATGCATGTATTCCCCCACGGCCTCCCTCACGTTCTCGAAGAGCTTATCCTTGTGCTCCCGGCCCTTCTTGGCCACCTGCGTCAGGTGGACGAGCCTCGCCCTCTTCGACTTGGGCATTGTGGCTTGTGAGTCTTGGTGTTTCTTTGGCGGGACGAAGGGGATGTGCGTTCTAGATTTGGCGGACTTGGGCGGATGTCGAAGGATGGCCTGCTTTCTACGACGTTGGGGTAAATTCGGGAGCCTGGGAAGAGTGCGCTGAGATTTCGGTGGTATCTCGAAGTGCGCTTGGCTCTCGAAGGCGGTGATGGTCTTTTTACCTTTTTTTTCTATCTTTTTTTTGGCGGCTCTGACCGCCCGAATTTTTTTTTTCTTTGTCCCTTTCGAGGGGCTTTGCTTGAATTGGGGGCTTTCATGGAGGGGTCCTCTGCTTAATTTAGCCGTGGTTTTTACGACCCCTAAGGTACGTTGGTACTTCTAGCCTTGGCTTGGAATCCATCAAATGCGCCCCGAGAGCAGAGAAAGTTTGTTCTGCATCACACTTGGCCTACAATAGCAACATCCATGATCATTGCGAATGCCATTTTTCGGTACTATCCTAAATCTCAAATAGTTGGAATGAGAGAAAAATTGATCAATTCCTGGCTCTATCGGCGCCGAGTAAAATATGCTTCCCTGAAGCCCAAATCATTATCCTTCAAACGCTCCTTGCTGTCCATACCGAGTAAACGCCGCCTTGTCCCAAAGATATTCTCGATCGAGCCCAAATCCCTCCGTTACGGAGATGTTTTTTCATTCTTCTTTTTTTTTCTTTCTATTTTCCCCCTGATTTCCTCCATGCGTTGTATCATGTACCATAGCTTCTGGGAAATCTCTCTATAAGAGTGTAGAATCAGATTTGTGAATGAGTGGAGTGGTTGATGCCCTCGACAGCATCGAAATCGCTAATCTTTCCAATGTTTCCAGTTGCAAAAAGAAATCAAAGTAAGTCCGTGTCAAAGGCCAGGTCCGCGGCAGGTCTATAAACGCCCACCACTCCGGACACCCCGGAGATGAACCTGCCGTAGTTTCCGAGAAAAAAAAGCACATGCAAAAAAAAACCCCATCCATCATGTCCAGGTAACGCCTCCGCCCCGGTTTTGTGTCTCACACACACCGACTCACGCTATTGGGTCGGATATGTCCTGCAAGGCCCCAATCTCATTCATGATTGTCTCATCTGTCGTAATCACGCTGACCACTTCCCCTTGCGTTAATCCCGCCCAATAGGACGGCTCGATCTGCCGGGCCTTCTTTGTGCGGTAAATCTCCTGCGCTACGCCCCGGACCTGCCCCGCCGCCACTGCGGCCGAACTCCACATGAGACCGAGCCGGTCTAAAGCTCCGATGTTGAGTCGGATTAGTTGCCGCAAGTCGTCGTCGTCTTGCGGTCCGAGAAGCCATTGCGCCCAGCGGCTCAGATGGACGATCGAAGAAAGGGATACGACGCAAATAAAGAAGTGTGTGTGAGAGAGGAGAGGTGCTCGGTGCGTCACTAGCCGGCTAATGTCTGCGGCCGACGAGAGCGTATGCTGTGTGTGTCTGTTGAATCCTGGCCCTCCGGGGATCGGTCTATGAGGCGTGCAGGACGTAACGCTCCTTGCGGGAGATGAATCGAGTTGCGAATGAGGTTGGTGCAGCAATATTGATGTCCTATACCGGTTCCAGTTTTAGCTTTCGCCCCGACAATCCCTGAGAATATCACCGCCGAAGAAAAGAAAAGAGCCAGCTGGGAGGGTGTGTGGTAAAAGTGGGGAAAGGTAGGCAGGCACTCACGCGTGTGTTACCATATGGGCTTGGAACATCATCTCGTCCACTTTGCAATCCTTGTTCAGTGCATCCCGCTTGGACTCGGGTAAGTGCACCCTCCAGTTTGTCAATAGATCTTCGATCCGTTCCACGGTCTCGATGGAGCCTTCGAAGCCGTTAGTTTCTCTTAGCAATCGACCTAGATTCCGGACCGCGAGGATGCGGTACGCAAACGAGGAGAATTGCCGATCGTCTCCCGAGAGCTCTTTATTTTCCAAGTCCTCAAGATATGCCGGGCTTGGAATGTTCTGTCGGATTCTCGTTAACCAGCTATTCTTTTTGGGAATGACACTCCTTTCTGAATATAATTCGTAGAGGGCAGAGAGGTAAATTGAAACAGACGATAAAAGAAACGGAAAAAAAAAAAGGTCATGATGAGGAAGACTTACCCCTGATAAGTACTGGTGTTCCTCACAGGGCAGAGCCGTGTCGGCCTGGAAATCGAATAGGAGAAAGTTTGTATTCCGGTGAACACCGGCGATCATCCCGTCGACACAATAGAGCTCCCACCACGTCCTCCTCCAGCTCTCCTCCAAGACCGGAATGCCCCTGCCATGCAAGGTTGCGTAAGTTCTAGCGTTAATACCCAGTTGTAGGGCAAGATTTTCGGCATCGGCAAGCATCTGTCTAGCCTTTTCCCGTTGGCAGTTTCCATCGAGTCCAATTAAAACCAGGAGCAAGGCCTGCAGTAAGAACCCGTCGCGTGGAGCGGCCGGATCGTATGCTAGTTGGAGTACTTGGTCGAGAAAAGTCGCCCTCCACCGGCCAACATCCAGATAGAGGGATCCAATCCACCGAACGGCGGCCAGTAGGGGTTTGATTCCCGGGTCCTTAGTACTCCGGAGGAGAGCGCTCGTGGGCAGGACGAAAGGATGGGCCGGATGAAAGTGATGAAAGAAGGATTCAATGCAGCGGTCTGCGATGCTTTGTTCCTGAAGGTGCATCGGTACGGCACCGGCAGAAGTCGAACCATCGAGAATCAGCCCTGTGGAATCCGTGGCTGACCCATTGCCGTTGGAGAACGGCCTGTACACTTGCAGGTTTGGACTGAAGGATGCTGGTGTTGCAGCTCCTGCTTCGGGTGAAAGCAGGGCCGCACGGAATTGCGGCGTAGACGATCCAAGAATCGACTCATCGTCAGGATTGATACCACCGGTGCCTAGGGAGGTCAAGGAGCCTTGTCTCCTCGGCCGGTCTCTCCCTGGGGCTTGCGTCTTCTTCGGCTTGTAGCCGCGACGCGAAGCAACATAAACGCACTCAGAGTTACTGCTTGTGCATCGAGCACAAGGGTTAGACCCGTCACATTTGAGATGTTTGGCTCGCTGAAGAAAAAAAAAATAATGTTAGCTTGGCTTGTCGAGGGTGATAGATTTTGAGGAATGCCGGCGTCCAGATCACAACCTGAACAATTTCAAGAATGGGGTGAGCACCCAAATAGTGAGGTGTCACTTGCGTTTTAGGGATAGTGGGTCGCGTCCATCCAGGGTGGCAAACAGGAGAACAAAACGGGGCTCGGGGCTCGGGGCCTTAGAGAAGGCTACGAGGCTAGGAGAAACAACAATGAAGATGATTTCGCGGTGGCGAGATGGACGCGGCAGGCAGTAAACGGAAATAGTCATGGGCAACGATAATGAGTATTGCTTGATGAGCTTGGGAGGATTTCACCTACACATGCCAGGCATGCCGCAGCGACCGTGGGCTGCTGAGCTCGCGTTTCATTCCTTGAGGTCGAGGACAAGGCAGGTGTCGCGGCGGTGACCGGAGGATCGGTATCAGCAGGAACGGGAGATCCTGGTGAGGGGCTGCTGGTCGGGATAAAGGGACAGAAGGATTCCATTGTTGATAAACTCCAGGATGTCTGCTCGCAAACAAGAAAGTTGACAATGCCGGGGCCGGATTTTGTTGTCGCCAACGCGTAGGAGCACCGAGAGTCTGAGGCAATTTGATCTTTTGGTTTTGGCGGCTAGGTTCAAGAACGGGATGAATTTATCTCACAGGTTGGAGGGAATCAGGACCGTAAATAAGTTCTGAAGGGGATGGGTTTTCTTGACTTGGCAAATTGTTGTAAGAACAATTGAATGATCAGGATATCCGATGACTGACAAATCAGGTCGAATCTAAATCCTTCTTTTTTGGTCCCTGCGACTTTGCCTCCTCAGCCGATTCCAAGGCGACGGCGTGTGTGGGCTGGGCCGCTATAAATAAGAAACAAGGACTGACCGTGCTGTGTCTGGGCTGTCAATGCCCCAGGACGCCTCACCAAGACAGCGGAATAATTCAGTTCCCGGATGCAAATGTAGTGTCGGCAGATGGCCTTACCTAGCAAATCATATTTGCATCCCGATCTTCCTCTTTCTCTGCAGCAGCAGGAGCAGCGGTGCAGCGGTGCAGCGGCGATGGGCCTGGTCCGAGAGCCGAAAGATGATGGGCTGGTGGCAGGAATGACGGAGAAGCCGGGGGCGAATGGGGAGAAGCTCAATTGGTTTTTACGGTGGCGCGCTAAGCCTGATCCCACGACACGACCTTAATGTAGGAGCACGCACCACCGCATTTGGGCAGACAGCTTGAATGTGGGGGTGGCAAGGGGTTGCAAATATCAACCACTTCAATCTCCTATGTAAGTTTAGAAACGAGAGAGGGCTTGATAGTTTACTTGATTCGGGCTAGAATGGGTCGAAGCTGCCAGAGGATGCAGTTGAGCCCCATCCTAGAGACCGCGGGTTATGAGGGCTCCGAAGCTCCGAAGGAGAGAAAACGCTGTTGGTGTCAGTGGAGTGGCTTGGCTGAGTGTCGTTGTTGGTCTCAACATACGAGTAAATCATTGAGACTGGTTCTGTTACACCTCAGCACAGATTTTGTGTCTGTTGCAGTCACTCCCCTGTTCAATGTTTTCAACGTTCTCACCCCGTCAACTCTGACGCCTTTGCCCTTGCTTTCAGGACGCTAGGACAGTGGACCAATGTGGAGGATACAGAGCGCTAGGAAAGACGTTGATTGTTTAAACCCTCTCCCTCTTTACTTTTTCGTGCTCCTCTTCTAGCTTCAGCTGACAGAAAGTCGACATCGTCTTTCTTGTTACGCTAGTGTTGGTTCCAGATTCCAGCCAGCCATCGAGGACGGATCATAACTGGAAGAGGTCAGGGTTATTTCCGACCTCGAGATAGATGACCTTCGTCCCAAGACACTTGCCTAGTTCCCTGCAAAGAGAGGGCGACATCGGGTACCGCGAATCTCAGGGGAAGTGGAAAGAGGACGAGGACGAGGGTATCACTTGCGTCGGCCCGGGGTGTTACAGGAGAAGGTCACTTGCTGGCGACGAATGTTGGAGAGATACCTCACCCTTAACGCCATAGGTGAGGGATAGGAGCGACTATTGCACTATCCTGCGTGCCCTAACTGTCAAGCACACATCGGGATTTGAATCTCCGAAAGGGGGGCGTCCTCTCACCGGTCCGTCACGTTCCCTTGATGCTCCAGCCTGGGCTTGGAGGCATGTGCATAATGGGTGGGAGATTGGCAAGTCGGTCAAGGATCAAGAGGCCAACTCAATAATTCTGAGAGTGGGTCGTTCCACACACAGGTACTGCAGGTGATTCAATGTTCGCACCATGTTGGAAACGGTGAGGAAGCCAGGCTAAGGGGGTTGGACTATCTGGTAGGGCTTAGAGGAGACATGCCATCACTCAAGATGCGCTAGTGAGTGCAGCGGCCGGCATTACCAGCCATCAATGACTCGTAGGCCAGTAAGCGATTGACCATACGAGGTCCAGTTGATGTTTGGAGACACGTAACTCACTAGGTGGTGGATACAGTTGAGAAGACAAGATGAGGAGGGTGGAGAAGGTTATGTCGACTTACATCCCATCTGCTTGTGAGACCTGAAGAAGAAGCTATTGGTTGCACTTCGGATGGAGTGAAGACAACTGATGAGTGATGAGTGGATAGTTGAATTACAAATCGGTGAAGGCAGGTATTACAATCAGAACGCCCAGCAATGGGGGAGGGGCAGGGGGCAGGTGGCAAGCAGCTTTCATGGCTGAACGAGGCTCGATTTTCCTAAACATGCTTTCCGAAGAACAATGGTGCTATCTGTCTACTTAAACGGATCATGTAATGAGATGAGGAAACCGAGACTGCTCGTGCGGAACAATGAAGAAAGTCAAGGCCAGGAAGGCATGACTGGTACAGGTCTATCCTGGGAAGGTTATATGCTGGTATTGATTTGATAATGGCATTAGGATGGGACTTGGTCGACCATCCCTCATCTCCTGGAATGTGTACTGCAGGGAAGAGCCTGAATAACTTCTCCAAGTACCTGGGTACTCACTCAGTACCGGGGCACAGGAAGTCGATGACACTTTCCTATCGATCAATCTTGCAGCCACCTAATATTGGTTACAAACATTGAACGGGGAGGTGTCACATCTGCCTATGTATTGGCTCAGTAAGCGTACATATCCGGGTAGGTGAAGCAGTTGAGCCCTCTTCTTTTCTTTCTTTATTCCTCTACCCATGATCATGGCTGGATATACTTGAGGTAGTTGAGGGCAAGGTAGTTAGTCATGTACTCCGTGGTTGTCCGAGTGCCAACCGTCCACCTCAGTAAGTTGTATTCTTGCCCTCATGGGTACTTCTCTCCGCAATAGACAAGAGCACCTCAGGAAGGCATAGATCAGAAGCCAAAGCTTCAGCACGATGTACACCGATGTAGGCCCGTTTGGTTGTCTGTGCTTTCCAATTCTAGTTGGAAGGCTCCACACATAAAGCAAAGGAGGCAGTCCCGTCCCTGAGGCAGGCATCATTGTATCCGTGCAGGCAGGAATGGTCTTGAGATGTTTCGAAACCGTTCCGACTGAGGGAAGCCGACTTACGTTGTTTCTTCTCTTCTATTCTGGTCATCTATCGATTAGCAATTATATTACTATTTTTCGCGGTAGGAGTTTTGAAGCTTCCAGCTGGTGTTAGCGGACGTGGACTTCGGTGTGGATGAGATCAAGGTAAGAGAAACAACTCGAAGCGGCATCAAATCCTGAGGCTTCTATGCGTGAGTACTTAGTATATGCATCGTCCGTCCCTTCGGAGTTGACAAATACAGTCTGCGCTAGGTCCAGAATAACACCGAAGTGCCAATGCTGGCCCAGGTCCAGGCCTGGCAAGCTCCTGCCTTCAACTCCCACGACCACTAACACGAAGCGTCTGGCAGCTCCAGATGCAGCTCCCCCGATGCACATGGCAAAAGATCTAGTTATATGCGACGGCCAGACATTGCCGCCACCGGCATAGTCCCACCAACAGACCACTTGCCATCAATCTTTCTAATCTGGTCAAGCCTAGATCGTGGGATCGTGGAAGAGGGGTGGCACGAAAGCCACGACGAGAAGCTTGACATGCTATTAACCCTTTATTCGATAGTTTTATTCGTCATTCACCAACCAGGATGCCAGCTTTGCCCGCTACCCTGGTCGAGCTTAATTTGCCCTACCAGGCAAGGGTTAGCTGGGTAAGTCGCCTCCACTCCTGCACCTACCCGAGGGCCCCATACATCTTCCGATACAACTGCTTTCGAGCCCGCCCAAGATAGAGGATGCCCAGAGTAAACTAATTGGCATGTGTCGATCTGGCAACCAAAAAGCATTACAAAGAAATTAGGAAACCGCTTGTTCAAAATAGGCCATCCGTGCCACGCTATGTCGCACGTGAATACTTAGATCTCGGGACGGTACTTAGATCTTCATTCGAGATTACCAGATCCGACCTGGTTGCGGAACGGAACAAGGCATCAGGCCAGTCCCGCCGCTCCCGCCTCCTCCCTGTCCCAGGATTCGAATCCTGGGAGAATCAACAAGTCCAAACATACTCCCTCTACGAATACCAACCTCACTAGCTTCAACGATCCAGAGTGTTCGATCCTCGACAACAAGGAAGCTAGGGCCATGAGTTATCCACATCCTGCCTGGAGATACAGGCCATCTTCATTGCTTTTACAGCCACACGCTGAGGCAATCGTACTGCCGTTTTGCCGAGTCCAAGCTAAGCTTTGCTTGCCAACCTATCAATTAGGTTTATCGACTGGGAGCCAGGATTTTCACCCTGCTCAGCTGTGGTGTAATATCGACCAACCACAAGTACGTTACTTTTTTCCTATACCACATCTAGGAAAGAGGGAGTCTGGCAACGATGATTGGGGTAAAACTGGACAGGCGCATCCACCCTCATGCCCACTCCTACTTTTCCCTATTGTGCATGCATATTTGGCAGTATGCTTTGTTCAGCAAACGAGGATGAGGAAGCTCCTTGTCTATAAGGGTGGCTGAATCACTCTCTAAGATCGAGAGACAAGAGATCGGTCTCGGTAAGTCTCAGATCTACATGTGTTCGATTTCACCGATCCTTGTTTTAAACCTTGCTTCTTTGACCTCAAAGCGAAGTTAGTCTTTGGTTTTCGTTCTTCTCTCCCACATTACCTGCCAGGCGTCCATTCCTCGTCACCAGAGGACACTCGAATAACAGACACCAAGGGCTGTGTGGCGCTCAATACTGCATACACATCATGGAAACCAGAAAGAAGCAATAATAACGCCTTTTCTTTATCACAGCAAAATCTGTCAACAAAAGTCACCGTGAAGCAAGAGGAGCGTCAAACCTGTTGCAACCTAGGAGAAGGAACTTGTCGCTCATCTTCCTTGCAGCTTGATCTTCTCGTCCCGCGAATCTTTTCTCAACATCTTCCACGGCAGCCACATGTAAGAGACCCCTGGCGACGACGGGTACCATTACCCCCACCTCGCACTAAGCTGTTCGTTTTGCTTCTTCATTACTTGCCCATGTTCCCACATTATGCTCTGTACCTGTGTGCGCTACAACTCATTTCGTGTAATATCATCTGTGGACGCTGTCCCCCCCAATCCCCAGCACGATGCTCCCGATCTAGTCATGCTAAACATACCCAGTCCCTCGGTGTCATATCGTCATCACATCTCACATTTTCCCCAACATCTCGTACAACCTTGTCAGCTCTTTGTAGTGCAGAGGCAGTCGCCCTATCCATTCAGCCTGGTCCGCGCCCTTTCTTGGGCTGACGCCACCGGGGGAAGACGCTGGGGGTAGGGAGGGTAACCAAGCAGTTGCACTGACTTCTTTTGCCTAAGGGCTTAATGTACCCAGGGCGGGATGCAAGACGTTATGGATTGGGCGGTTTGCATACTGCAAGAGTTTTTGTTTCTGTTGACCTTGTGCCAATAAAGAGGAGTCCAAGCCCCACAGGTCATATCGATCATATCGACTCCCGCCCAACCAGGCGCATCTCCGAGCTGCTTCATTTCCACCAGGATTGGTCCCGAAGGCCTATGACGAATCATTCTATGGGGGTCAGCATTGTGAGGAGGGGAGATCATTCAGGTTCCAATAAAGACACAGCAACCAATATTACCTCTACTTCCCAACTCTACTTACAGCGCGCCTTTGCGTCAGAGGCAGAGGCGAGTGGTCTTCGGTAAGAGCAAGGCTCTGAGGGGTCTGCCTAGAGAGAGATAGGCAATATTTCGCAGTGCTTGCAGGCGGGTATAAGGGTATGAGACAAATTAATCCTTTGTCAACTCAGGCAGCGTCAACTGGTCCAAATCTGGATGGCAATGAAGGGTGTAGATATCGTCGGCATGTGTTTCCCGGAAGACACTCTCTCATCGCATACAACATGCAATGAAGCCGTAACCGAGTTGGAGTTATCGACCAGAGTCGGTTAGGTTTTAGGCTTGCTATGTACCTGCGCGCATTAGGTTGGTTCTTGGAGCACGCCGAGGGGATATGAGGAGGGTTTTGTCGTCGACCGACTCCGAATCAACACCCACTACATTAACAGCCGAGTTTTTATGCCACCTACCAAAGGCAAGTGCCGTCATGATCCAAGGGATCAAATCGACCAACTTCATAATGGAGAGGTCCGAGAGCAATAAGAATGAACTCGGTAAGGAGTGGAATGGCCGTCGAAATGGGAAATGTGCCCGTTTGTGGGATAATCAGATCGCGAACTACGGCGGCGGTGGCCGACATCTGAGCCAGAAAAGTCCTCTGGGGATCGCCGTTGAACAATGACGTCTCTTGTCGACCTAGTTGAGGAAGTAGTTGATCTGCACCTGCTTGCTCCTCCCCTTGATCACTTGGTCCCTTTCGTGTTGGCAAGAACTTTGTTTGCTATAAAGCAGCAGGAGCCTTATCCGAGCAGCTAAAGCACCGGTACCTTGTGCGACCAATGACTAAGTGATCAATGGAGCGGTTCTAAGGTCGGGGGAAAAAGGGAAAAAAAAAAAAAAAAAAAAAAAAGGAATTTTCGTAGCTATACAGCAACGACGAGCACCTCGACGATTCGAGACTGGGAGCGAAACCAGTGATCTTTTTTTTTTTTACCACCTCGCGCCCCTTCGTCCCCCCTCCCCCCCTTCTCTCTGTTCAATCTAAAAGATACCCCATCTTGGAAGCTGCTACGTTAACTCTGAGGCATTTACCTTCGAGGAAACTGGTGGTTTTGTTATATTCAACATTAGATGCCTCTTCAATGACTCGGCGGAAATGATGATGCCAGAGGTGTAGATCACGCGGGACAAGGAGCCACGCTTAGAAACATGATTTAGGGTATTGGCCCTTTCAATTCATGGCGAGGGAGAATGGATTATGGCCTCGGGGACTTGCGTTGGGGAGTTGGCGGGCATGGTGGCCTCGAAAACGAACCGAGTCGGTGACACCCTGAGCAGGGACTCTGAGCTCGGTGTCGAGGTACCCCTCGAGATCAGCAATGTCTCCCAAGGAAACAGGAAACATCAAGCCTGATCGTCGTCACAAAGGTACTTGGCGGTGGGACCGATTCTCGCCCAAGCAGAAAGACCTACTCGCAGATGTGCTGGTGGGAAGGAAAAAGGAAGGGAGGAAATAGGAATCGAATGCAATGGAAGGGAAACCAAGCCAGCCACTTTTTCCAACTAACCGACATCGCCATAGCCAATGGCCGGTGCCCCTTCTCGGATAATAGCACGCCTAGGCCTGAAAGCTCCGGCTCACGACGTCAAGGTGTGTCTCTAGGCTCTCCATGTCCTCTTGTCTTGATGGATTCGAAAAGGGGTACGGGCACTACGGGAAGGCAGTTGACTAACTGCCGAGCTGGCGTGTCTTTAAGATTTCTTCGATGGAGACCATCTGACCTTGGGCTGCAGCTAGCAGCTAGCCAGAGTCGGGAGGATGGACGTGATCCAGTAACATCAGGACGGTATGAGCTGCTCGGGCAGGTCTTCCAGAGAAGCTACTTTACCTAGCTCCTCTCCATCCGCAAGTGCCTATTTATTGGAGCATGGTATTCGGCACTTAGCAGGATGAGATGCAGGTCTAGGCTTGTTCCATGCGCGAGATCGGATCAGATCTACAGGCAAATATGGAAACATGATTCCCTTTCAACAGAATGGCGATGGAGAACCCGCGAGGGATTGTTGGGGATGCAGGTCGAGCCTTGAATAGCGACAGAGGCAAGCTGAGCATGGAGCACGACACCACATACATCCGCCGAGGTACAGCATGCACAGAGACAGATCAACTGATGACGATAGTGGTTGTAGACACCGCCAAGCTGAAGAGTTATGGATGGATGGATACTTTAGTTGGCAGGATATCTCTGTCAGGCTCCGTGACTACCAGCTCGCTCGACCTGTGTGCAACGTCGGATCGCATCCTCGTTGGGAAATGCTCGCCCAAGTTGTTGAGATCCTCGGTCCATTCATCTCGTGCGAGCTTTTTTCTCCCATCCGGGTCTAGGCTACATGGGCAAAGGTGTCTCCTCTTACCCAACAAGGGTTAATCTCCGAGTTACATCATCGGGCCATGGCCCTCTGAGACTTGTTCATTCCAGAATATGAATGATTACAAGTAGCCATGGGATGCAACCCTTCAGACCGTGGTGCTTTGCCCAAGCGATCAATGGGCGCTCCCCCTTGCATTACAAGGTTTGGGATCCATGACATCGCGTCCGCGTTCCCGTACCCCGGTCTCAGTTTCTGGCCGACAGACCGCGCCTAAATCTATGAAAGCCTGGCTTCCCTCAGAGAGCTCTAAATCCTACCTTGTCGACTTGTTGGGACAGACACGTGCTAAAAGGCCTAAATTTTTCTCGCCCTCACCCTCTTTTAGGCTAGCTTGTCCGAGGATATTCGGCGCATCAATCCTCCCGCGGCGAGGGACGGGGTCCAACCTCTCCGATTTATCAGATCAGATCAGTTTTAAAAGGCTTCTTGGATAGAGAAACAAGATATTATTTTCTTGGAGAATTGATCTGAGAACTCACACTCGTGCCGTCTGTAATCGTAGCCATCATTGACATCTTCGACGAGGATTAAAAGGGACAAACAAAAGGGAGAGAAAATAAAGCAATCACCGCCCATCATGAGCTTCCTCGCTTTCGACAACAACATCTCCTTCTACACGGTACGCATATCTTGAGCTCGCCACTAGAGCTATACTATGCGCCAATGGGCGGATATTATGCTTCTCTCAAGTTGCTGGGAATAAAGTTGGACCGTTGGACTTGACGCAAGAGCTGACGATATCCACCATCTCAAAGGTTCCGGCCGCCCTCTTCCTGGCCTTCATCCCCCACGCCTATGCGGTCTCCTTGGGTATCTCGAGGTACGACCCAGGCAATCCCCGCAAGTTCGAAGCTACCGTTTCCAGCGATTCCACCCTCAACAAGGTTGTAAGTGAACTCACGCTGTCTCCTTAACTCCCCAAGGAGGTCGAAAGGTCTCCGTAATGCTTCCCCACCTCCCCCGAGCGATATGCATCATTCTCGCTTCTCACCCTAGTCTCATTTTCCTTTTCCCGTTATTCCTATATCCAAAAGCAAGTACTCATCCCTCCCAGATCAAAAACCGCATCCTCCGCGCCAAGGCCGCCTCCACCAACTCCTTTGAAACCCTCGGCCTCTACGCCGCTGCCGTGGTCGCGGGCAACCTCGTCCAGGTCGACAAGGACACGCTCAACTACTTGACGGCGCTGTACATCATCAGCCGCGCGCTGTACGTCTTCACATATGTTTGGCTGCAGGACAACAGGGCGTTTTCGCCGCTGAGGACGGTGTTTTGGGGAGCGGGGATTTGGAGTATTGTTTCGCTTTTCATCAAGGCTGGAAATGCGGTGGCTTAGAGAGAGGGAGGTTCTTTTTTAATCAAAAGTATGTAGGGGGAAGAATGGGGGCGGTTTTCGAAGGGAGAAGAAGTGATGTGTTCGGATGATGCTCGAGGCATGCAAAAAGAAGATCCTAGCTTCTGGCGGTGTACTATAAGTGTGTCACAAAGCAAGAAGGGAAAGGAATTTACTTCTTGGCAAATCAAGCAAGGCATTATCGGGGAATTCTCTAAACTATATTTTCAACGAGGTGAAATGAGCCCAAGGCAAAGTTGGACGGGCCGATGGTAGGCAAGGAGGATATCAAGATTGCTTGAGAACTTCTCCTGGCCTCAAGAGATTGGACGTAAGAAATAGAAGCCTTATTCAGGATGCGTTTAACCCTTTTGTTTGCCTCAATGGACTTGTTCATCAAGTGATTGATGGCCAAGCCTCACGCGACAGGAAGTGATCATATAGGATCTTCTCTCCCTCCAGATGGAGAAGCACTACAACTTACTTCATAATCGCTTGGCAGGAATGCTGACAAGGCCTTTCAATTCCGAATATAGCATGATCGGCTTTGCTGTCCGCCGAGCTGAGCGGGATGCCCCTGAGAAGAATGCTGTCGAGGCAAGGAAGGAGAGGCACAGGGAGGCAGAATTAGAGGCAGGCAGGGAGGATTACTCAACACCAATCTAGCTTCGAGCAGGGAGGACTAGATGGCCGTTGCTAGATGGGTATATAATTCTTTTCGTCGTCGGATTTCTGTTTGCTCCGGTGCTTCCAGTCCACGCAGAGAACTCCTTGGTTCAACAGAGACTTCTAAAAGAGATTTCTAATAGTTTTATCCCACCTTCATCGGCAATCCGGGTTACAAGCCAATTACCGAAAAGAAAAAAAAAGGAAGAAATCTTCCCAGATCTGCTTTAAGCTACACAGGGGAAAAAAAAATGCACTTCTCTACCACTCTCCTGTTCGCCGTCATATCTCTCGCCGGCGCCTTACCCCACCCGGCCCCCAATCCCGACTCCGGCTCCGGCCCCGAGATCCGGACCCCGACAACTACGCGGGTGGCACGAGATGAAATCAAATGCGACATCAGATATTGCCAAGATGGGATAGAGTACTGCCACTACTGGGAGCCGCCGAGCGGAGGCTACGATCCCGTCACTGGACGGTGGGAGCATGGAGGAGAGGTGCGCAAGGCTCTCGGCCCATGTCCCTCTTAGGCAGGCGGTGATTAGGCAGGACCAGGATGCGTTTGTTTCATCTATTGGAAATGCTTGAGTCTTATGGTTTTGTTACTTTTCGGAGATTTTGTTTGCTTTTCTCTGTCGATTGGAACCGGGGACTGATGTGGTGATGGGTGGAACTATGGGGAGGTTAACACGAGAAACCATCCTAACTCTGTTAATCAAGAAATCCAGGATAGAATGAAAGGCAGAATGATAGGAATGCTGAAGTATGTACTCTGGGGTTTTTATAAAATGTATTTACATTGAGAAGATATGCCGTATGTGTCCCACCCCTCCACATGATGGATTCCCGTCCTTCCTAGAGATCATGTCCGTATAAAGATGATTTTTTGCTTGTCCTTTCGTCCAAATTTTACGCTGAGCGAGGAGTTAGTCCACTGTCAACTTGGATACAAAAGCTCATGTGTGCGAGTTCACTTACCCGGTCCGCTGACGTCGGTAGTGATGGTGCCATCCTCAATATAGACGCCCGAGAAGTAAAAGTCCTCGTTCTGGTGGGGATAGCCGTCACGGGGAAGCTCGAGGACACCTAGATGCCAATCCGCGCCGTTGGAGGAGGTGGATGCCGCAACGGGCGCGACTTTTTGGGTGAGAGGCTCGTCGCCTTCGGAGTGCCAGAAGCCGACCTTGTTGGCACCAAAGTCCTATGGGAAAGAGCCGTGTTAGATGTGCCATGAGGTTTCCCTTCCCCGCCAATTTCTTCTTCGCCGTTGGCAATCTTTGCTCATTCCTCGCTGATAGTGTTCTGTAACTCACAATCTCATAGGCAATGTTATGCCACACATCAGGAGCCCACTCCGTCTTCCAAAGCCCCTTCTGCGAAACCATAAACTGCAAATTCGGATTCTCGGTCCCCTGCTCCCCGGAAATCCACCCGTACTTCATCTCCGTAAAATGGCTCTCAAAGAAGCAAATCTGATGCTCCTTATTCACGCTCGGTGCATTCTGCGCCTTCCTCATCATCGAAAAGTGGTAAAACACCTTCCCCTTGTTGATGCCCGCCGTCGTTTGCGGGATGAGCTCGGTGCGCCGCATGGTCTGGCCGTTCCAAAAGGCCGTGCCGTCGAGGGTGAATTTGGCGCCCTTTTTGGAGGAGGTGTCGGCTGGGTTCTTGAAGTCTTCGGAGAGGTTGATGTAGGAGGACGTGGGGCTGCTGCCTTTGATGTACCATTGGTAGGCGCCGACTTGGTTGGACCAGGACCATTTGTCGAGGTCGGCGGAGGAGGAGAGGTCGTTGAAGCGGCCGTCCCAGATGACGGCGGCGTTGACGAGGGCTGGCGCGAGGGCCAGGAGGGCGGATGGTGAGAGCTTCATGGCGGAAGCTGGGGGGGATATCAAATGCGGGAGGGACGAGAGAGGCCGAAGGAGGAAGAAGGAAACGAAGGACACGAAGGGACACGAAAACCAGGGAATCGGATAGTAGATTCGAGTCTTAGGGAGTGCCTCCTCTTTAAGCTTCCGGGGAGATGAGGGGGCGAGATATATATATACCGCAGCAAAAACTCCATATTGATATATTAGATGCATAGATGTAAGTCTTCTCTCACCTTCATATACTCCGCATAGCAATCAATGGACGCACACGCCACGGAAAAGGGGAAAGAAGCCTCAGAGAATGAACTTCTTCGTCTTCCTCACCCTTCCTCCCCATCCCTTCCCCATGAGCGCACCGGAAGACGGCATCCTACATGACGAAACCCAAAGCTTGACTATTGACATTTCTCCAAATAAATTATCAGAATGCCATCCAACTGGCCACGAGGCCGTCCTCTTTTTCGTTCCTCTCTCTCGTCGGGGGCCAGGTACAGGCCACGAGCAATATACACAAAGTGGCATCGCGGTCCGGATGTTCCCACGACCGCAAGTTAAAATTGGGGCCATGGCTGTACCAAGACAAGATTTATTACTTTCGTCGCCGTAGAATTGGAGGAAGAAGGAAAAAAAGGCAAATGAGATTGAAGGAAAAAGGACTCCGATATTAATTAGCCTGTAAGATACTGCTGTCCGCTCCCCACACACGCATTTCCCAGTAATTTGGACGGCCATGGCTCACTGGGGGAATTAATATTTCGCGATGGCTCTCGCTTCCGTGGTACCTATAATACCGGATTCGTCTAAGATCGTCACGGAGGGTGCTGGTAAATCGCGGTTATGGGTACGAGGATCAGGGCCAGGGTTAGGGACGGCATTGGAATCGATCGCTGCTGTAAGGAAAGGCGGGATGAACGCGAACAAACGGGTGGTAGAGTGGAAAATGGGGGCGCTAGGAAATTGGAGATGTGAATCAAAGTGTCGAGAATGCCCAGATGAAATATTCACGAGGCTGATGGTGATGAAGATTTGGGGTTGGAACAGGGAGTTGATGCAATGCAATGCTCTCTTGAATCTATATCCGATACCATACGAAGTAGTCAAGTAGTCGGACTCTGGCATCTGGTCTCATTTACTCGATTGATCTGTCCGCTTTAATCCCAATTACCACATGAATCCATAGTCAAATATATGCCAAACAAATAAACAAGATATAAACAGTCCGCACCCCAAGTAAACCAGCTTCAAATGCTTAAACAAAAAAATGCACATAAATCCTCCCATCCTAGCTTCCCATGGTCCATCCCTTCCTTACTCAGACCTAGCCCTCCCCCGGATCCCCCTCGCCAACCAAACGGCAACAACCCCAGCAACGCCCGAAACGCCCAACAAGATCCCCAGACTCTGATCGCCAGGCGTACCGCGCGGCTTCTGCCAAACCCCAAACACCAACAGCGACACACCCGTAGACGCCAACTGCGCCGTACACATGGCCATATTATGAATGCCCAGGATGGCGCCCGCCCGATCCTGCCGGACGATGACGACCGATTCCCGCACAGCAGGAATGATCCCGTCATCGTCATCGTCGCCCGAAAGAAGAGGCCGTGGGTCGTAACAGGGTGCCTCCACCGCGCCGTCAACCGCCTCGTCGCGCCTATCCGCCCCGATGATGGCAAACGGAGCCCACGCGAACATGGCCCACGTGTATCCCAGCAGCGCGACCAGCGTCGCTGCCAAGCCTACCGTCTCCACGAACGGCGCCGCGAGGAGGATTCCTGCCAGGAGAACTAGCGAGGCGATCCAGGCCCTCTTCAACGTGAGCCCTCGAATGGGCAACAACAACCTCCAGCTCCACCTCGAAACGACCCGGTCCTCATACTCCCCGGCGTCATCGTACGTCGGCTCGACAATCAAAGGCCCCAAAACCGTCGTGCCGAGCATAAGCACCGCATTAGCAAACAACGCCGAAGTCCCCTCCCTCGTGCCCTCCTCGTATAACCGATCGAGTTCGGTGGGGTCTATGTGCGGATTCTCTCTCAGGTAGGGCTCGACGAAGATCTCGGCAACGTACATGGACGCGTAGAATAGAACTGGGTAGAACGCGAAGCAGGCGAAGAGCTGCACCGTGCATAGCGTGCGAATCTGTTTCGAGAGGGCGCCGACTGCCCCAATCGTTTCCTTCAAATATCGTTGGAGCCCCATGATGCCGGGTCCACCATATGGATCTTCTTCTCCTTCTCCTTCGCCCTCTTCTTCTTCTCCTCCGTAGGCTTTATTCGGGTCGATTTCGTGAACGCAGAGAGCTGTGACAAGAATCGTAAACGCCAGTACTAGACTCGCAAAAGCGCAAAGAGCCTTAAACTGCGTATCCCCAAAGAAGTTCGCCGGAAGATACGTCCTCAAATCAATGCTCCCGGCCAAGAATCCAATGATGTTTCCGACAGCAATGCTCCTCGAGGCCATCCCATTCGCAGCCTCCTGTTGCCCCGGCGCACAATCAATAATCAGCGCCCTCAACGTAGGCTCAATAGTATTCAGCCCGAACTCAAGCGAATAAACCGCCAAGAACGCCGCCACTTTCACGGCTACCGCGTCGCCGTTCCCTATAATCTCCCTCACCCACGCGAGGAACATGATGGACGCGATGGCCCAAAAGGTCCCCGCCACGATGAACGGCCTTCGTTTCCCCCACGAGAACCGCGACTTGTCGCTGAGCATGCCGACGTAGGGTTGCACGGCGATGCCCATGACGGGGCCTGCGAGCCTGACGAATGCTAGGAGGACTTTGCTCATGCCGAGGGAGAGGAGGTAGGGGGAGCCGCTGGACATGTCGACGGACCAGGCGACTTGGAGGCCGCCTATGCCGATTGAGAGGAGGATGAGGTACCATGTGCTGCGGAGGCCGTTGACGGGTTCGGGGGACGGCGGCATGCGGCCATTGCGGTTGCGTCGACTTGTCGCGCCGTGGTTCTCCTGGAGGGCCCGGCGATTCGAGAGGAGGGGCGAAGATTCATTCCGGCCCACGGTCATTGTCTCTCTTGTCTTTTATTTTTCCTGGCGTTCGTTTCTTTCTTACTTTCCTCCCTATTTCCCGTGGGTTTTCTCCTTCTCCTTCTCTTTCAGCTCGTCGAGGGCCCGTAGGCGAACGCCTTTATTCGCTCACGTAGTGTCCAAATTACCTCCGAAAAGCGAGCGAGGGCGTACCATCATATAAACAACGATCTCGGGGGGACGTACTGCATTGGCCGGAGGGGATCTTTGGGCGAGAGCAAACTCTGAGAGAATCAACTCTGAAAAGTGTCGCCAACGGCGGCTACCGAGGCATTAACTTAAGAGACTTGGCGCCCAAATCTGGCGGGATGCATCCGCTGCAGCATCGGCAACACGGAGTTGGTCACGTGGGGCGCAGCTGGATCTTGAGAGCAGAACAGCCATGGAAGGCAAGCCTGGAAAATATTCAATCTCGTTCCTCGTGTTACAGTTATTAAACGGTGAAGAAAGAAAATGGTAAACCGTTTACAGATTTTGTGAGTCGGCGATAACGTCATATAGCTCAAGAGAGTTTGCGCTAGGATGACGATCAGATCGCGAATTAATCCAGAAATGCCAATGTCTGGTCCTGGTTCCTGTTCCTGGCCCGGACATTGGCAGCAGGGTCCTGGCTAGCCCTTCAATTCTAGAGTTTGATTGGTGCTCGGTTTCTGCTCATCGTCAGGCTGAATGAATCGAATCCCCCGTGTGCCTATCGGAAGCAGCCCGTTCGATCCCGGATGGAGCTTTGGGCAAGATGGTCAAAGCCCGCACCATATCCAAATTGCAGCAGACATAACGAGTTGAACAGGCACTCATGTAGCGGCAGACGTTGCTTTTCTAAGCCTAAGCTCTCTCTCTACATGCCAGATGCCAAACCAGGATCCAGTCCCAGCACATGATGCCGAAAAAGTAACAACACGGAATAACATCCGACGCTGCCCAGTAAGGAAAAAAAAAGGAAAAGAATCAAAAACTATCGTCATAATCCACTTGGTCCAGCCCCTCCGTTACCACCAGAAGCACCGCCACCAGGCCCATGTCCGTTATTCCCTCCACGTCCATTAGCCCCATCTAAAAGCAGCGTAGGCTTGATATAATCCTCATCCAACTGCCGGAAGAACACACTAGGATCATCAGCCGTGAGAAGCTGCCTAATAGCGCTCCTAGCGCTGACAGCCGGGCTGCTGCCCGAGGGGGTCGTCGCCGCCTCCGCCGAAGGCCACGGCCGTCGGAATGCGCTGTCACTCTCCCCGCCTGGCCTCGGACTCGTCCTCGGCCTAGGTGACCGTCTCACAGGCGGCGGTAGATCCGAAGTATCGATATCGCTACCAATATCTGACTCCGTCGGACTCCTGCTGCCAGCCAAGAGGTCCGCCCTTTCCGCCTCATCGCCGCGCGACGAATTCTTCCTGCTCATATTCGTCCGAGGCCCGTTGGCGCTGTGCGGCGACACCGCATGTCCCGAGGCGTAGTGGCCGTTACGACTGCGATCTCGCGAGAGCCCGAGCTGGTCGAGCGCAACGCTTCCGTTACGCCTTCCAAAGCCGCCTGGCTTGTAACCGCCGAAAGACTCGATGTCGAATTCGTCATCGCTGTCGACTTCTTCCACCACGCCCGTACGGATACCCAGAATTTCCAGCATCCGCGCCGTTGTGCCGCCAAATATAATAACGGTAAGCACGACGACGAGCAGTACAGTCGCCCGCAGAGCAGCCGAGTTCGCATCCCCGGCCAAGAGCGCCGCTAGCGCAACTCCGACGGCTCCGCGAAGGCCGGCCCAGAAAAGCATGGCCTGGTAGCTGTAAGGAAGCTCGTCTGCCACCTCCCCACCGCGGCGCTTGGCCCGGTACCGAATAACGAAGTTGATCAGGCTCGAGAGAGGGAAGACCGCTACCCAACGAGCGGCGCAAACCGCCAAAACGGTGACGATGATGAGCGGTGGCTGGAAGACGAGGGTGCTGTCGGTGAAGAGCGACAGTCCGAGGTAGATGAAGATGAAGTTCTCAGATAGCTGGGCTAGGACTTGGAAGATGTACTTTGTCGTAAGCTGCGTGCGTCGAGACATGTTGAAGTAGGCGTAGTGCTTCATAGTAATACCACAGAAGAGCAGCGACACAATACCTACACATTGTTAGCATTCATCTTTAAAAGAAAATGAGAGGAGAAGCAAAAGCAATAATACCACCTACCCGACATGTGCACGCCATTCGAGAAAAAGTAAGTGGCATACGCAAAAAGAACCACAAGACAGCTCTCAATCTTCGGATACCTCCGAATATACGTAAACTTAAGAAGAAGCGCCGTGCCCACACCCGCGAGCACGCCAATCATCAAACTCCCAAAGAAGACGAGCAAGAAAATACCCGAACCCTCAAGGAAGCTCAGGAACCCCATATCGGGCCCAGACCCATGCTTGTACCGCTGCGCCGTCTCGAAGATGACGATGGCAATAGCATCGTTGAGGATCGACTCTCCAAAGATGATGGTGTAGAGCTTGGGATCGACCTTGTACGAGTTGAAGATGGCGAGGATGGTCACGGGATCGGTGGCCGAGAGCGTGGCGCCGACGGATATGGCGTCGACGAGGCTTAGGTTGATGGCTCCGGGGAAGAGCGAGAAGAACCAGATCAGGAAGCCGATCACGATGGCCGAGAGGAACGTGCCGGCGAAGGCAAAGGTTAGAATCACACCGATGTTACGGAAGAAGTTGGCTTGGTGGAGTTCGTAGCCTGAGGAAAGGATGATTGGTGGGAGGAGGAGATTGAAAAAGATGCCCGAGTTGAACTTGATGAGGTTTCGGATCGAGTCGCCTGGAGTAATGAGAAGAACGATGCCGACAACCATTCCTACGCGACATATATTAGTATTGGTAGAGGAGCCCTGGAAGGAAAAACACAAGGTGTTCGAACCTGCAAAGATGGAGATAACCGTCTCGTGAACTGCCTGAATCTTCTTCTGCTGGAGGAGATAGCTAGTTAGGAGGGCCGTTATAAGCAGGCATATCGAGATGAAGATGGCCCATGACGATGGGATCTCGCTCTGAGCGACGTCGCCACCTAATCAAAGAGTTAGTCCTCATTTCATCCCATTTGAGCCTGATGCTTTTTAGAAATATTGCGGTTCGCTGCGGGGGCAAATCGGAGATTGGGGAGAATCGTACCGCCAGGGTCGGCATCATCGTCGACTTCTCGGCCTAAAGAAATCCAAATCCAAATTAGCATTCCATACCATCACCAAAACGCTGCGTCGTATGCGGAGAGTATCTCGAAGACTTACGCATAAGCTGCCATCCTACTTCAGCAAGACGCAAGGCCATGCCGTGGAGATCCGAGTTCGTGGGGGTGTGTTGTGTTGTGTGTAGAGGTGGGCGTAATTTAAGGTATACTACGCGGGAACGGTCCGATGGTGAGGCTCGAGCGAGCGCGATAAGTAGCAGCCGAGGAACACATGAACTTGCTTGCCTGCAGTGCAGAGAAGGTGGGAGAGAGTGGGTGACTCCAGCCAGAGAACAAGAAAACGATTGTGTTGGGGGGGCGCTTGTGATCCCGAGATGCGGAAAGGTTGGCGTTGGTGGGAGGCTCGAAAGGGATTCGATTCGGGAATTCGACAAGTTTCCCTTATCGCTCTTGCACAATCGCGTACTGCGTCATACTTTTTTTGGTGGTCTGGTACATGGCGGATACTTGGTCCAAGCTCCACAGGGCCGATGTGGTACAATCCATTTGTAGCCGGAAACGTGTGTAGGAATTGAGGTGCCTTCGGTGTCAATTTTCGGTGTACAGTGCCTTGAGAGGGCGAAATATTAGTCATCCAAATTGACGGTCTGCGCCAGCTGATAAAAGAAGTTGCCAGTCGCCCCCCCGCGACATGTGGATTCATAGTTCACGATTCATTTCACAACTCATTTTGGCGACTCTCAAGCGAAGGAAGAATGGAGAGAAGAAAAGGCAAGTCGAGGATTCTGTATCCTCCTCGCCCGTGCTTAATTATAATGGCAAGTGTGTGTGTGTCCTCAACCGGGACTACATCTACAAACAACTAAAAGAAAACAACGCGATAAAAAAAGAGGAGATGTGATGTTCTATCAAATCTCAAAACGACAAGAAACAGTTGATGTCGATGTAATCGTCGCTTAGCCTCCCATTTCCCTTTAAAAAAAAAGATGCCCCTAAAACCGAACCGAAGAACCAGTGCCATCTATTGTGATGAAATGAGAAGAAAAAAAAAGTCTTCACCTCTAGGTTCGTGAATGTGTAGAATAATGGATGAGAATCGAGAGGTTTAGCTGCTGGTGGACGCGTTCTTCAGACTTTGCCTCTTTTTCTTTTTTTTTTGGATCGTTTCAAAAATCTGCCTTACTTCCCCGGCGTAGCGCTCTCACTCGGAGTTCTCTGATGTTGCGCGGCGGCTAAAGTTGGCGTTGCCACGGCAGACTTAGGGGTTCCCTGTGCCTGCTGACCTTGCTGACCCTGCGGCGAGGCCTGAGCCTGGGCTTGAGCTTTAGCCTGAGCCTGAATCTGAGCTTGAGCCTGAGCCTGAGCCTGAGCCTGGGCCTGAGCTTGGGCTTGGGCTTGAGCTTGTTGGGCTTGAACTTGAGCCTTAGCATGGGCTTGGATCTGTGCTTGTGCTTGAGCCTGGATTGCTTGGGCTTGGACTTGAGCTTGGTGCGCCTGCGCCTGGGCAGCCTGGGCGGCTTGAGCCTGAGCCTGCTGCTGCCGAAGTATCGCAGCGTATTGCGCGGGGCTTGCACCGGCGAGGCCATTCGGAATACCGTGCTGCGCTACAGCTCCAGCCGCCGCGTTCATCGCTTGCTGAGACATACTATTGCGTTGAGCGAGAATGATCCGCGTAAGCTGCTCGGTCGCATACTGTCGAGCCCGCTCGGGTGTTGCTCCGGGATTCTTCTGTCTGAATTGTCCTTCAAGAGCCGCGATCTGCGCAGCTACCGTAGGAGACATGGTTGGAGAGGCAGCGGCTGGTCGTGGAGAGCTGGCCGGCATGCTAAGGCTTGCGTTCTGCAGCGCGTTCAGGGCAGCGACGCTGTTCGGAGCGCCAACGCCGAAGGATGCCATGACAGCTTGAGCGTTAGCCAGGTAATTCTGCTGGCTGAGGCCGTTAAGCCCGTTCCTCATGTTGGGCGGAGACCCTTGTCGACCGCTGTTGGCTCGGGCCATGGCTTGCGCCTGCTGTACTTGTGCCGGTGTCGGAGTAACAACATGAGCCTGGGGCTGAGCCTGAGCCTGAGCCTGAGCCTGTTGCTGCTGTTGCTGGCCTTGGGGCTGCGGTGACGGTTGGCCTTGTTGAGCGTGTCCCTGCTGATGCTGCATTTGTACGGCAGCCCTCTGTTGCTCTGATATCCGACGAGCTTGCATAATCACATGAGCCTCCTGCGGGTTAGCGAGCGGCATCCTATGCTGCGATTGTAAGGCGGCCTGCATTTGCGCTTGGGGAATACCATTGAGCGGCATCTGGCGAACGAGGTTGGCAGCGAGATGGGCTGGTACGGGTCCGATGCCGTTGACACCAACCGCTCCTTGGACTGGGACACCAGGGCGAGGTTGACCTGCCATACCAAATTGGTTTGGCATGTTGAGACGAGGGACACCTCCCATTGAGTTCATGAGATGAGCAGCAGCAGCGGCATTTTGTGGCACTTGACCTGTGGCCGCCGCAACTGCAGCGGCATTGGCGGCCATTGAGGCAGCTTGGGCTTGTCTTGCTTGCATGGCAGCCTATTTCCCAAAAATGTTAGTTGGAATGATTGATGTGATGACCATGCATGAACGACAAAGAAAAAGAAACAAAAAAAAAAACGTAAACAAAAATGTGCGAACAAAAACCTGTAAACTTACCCTCTTCTGAGCCTCATGGCGCTGCGCATACTGCGCTATCTTTTCTGCCATTGCCTGATCACGCTCCCATCTCATTATACTGTAATCCCTCGGTGTCTTAACTGGAGCTTGAGGCCGAGGTTGCTGTTGCTGTGAATTCTCATTCGCCTTACGCATCGCAATCATGGTCGCCTGAGCCTGTTGCTTCTGGGCCGTCGTCTCTCGCTTCTTCGCCACCTTCATCATCGAGCCTATGAGGTTGATGTGTCTCCTGCCGTGCCTCCTCTCGACCCTGACAGGCACGCACTGTCGGCGCTTCGGCGGTGGTTGACCGGTGGCGGCCGCCTGCTGCTGTGCTGCCTGATGTTGCTGAAGGACAACGCGCTGCGCGCTCTCGATGCGGTGATTATATGTTCGGAAGTATTGTGTCTTCGCCATATCCGGAGAGAGAGGCTCCAGCTGAAGCCATCGCTCGAAGCACTCCCAGGCGGTACGCCTCTCCGCTCCAGAAACAAAGGCTGACCGAGGTGTGAGGACTTCGGAGATGAGTGACCAATTGTGCTGGAACTGGTTGGCCAGGTTCCTGAGCTCTTCATCCTCGGCTGCTGTCCACTGTGACGCAATGCGATTTTCATAGAAGCTTGGGGGCGGCATCGGATGCTCGGTCGGTGGCCGGAACTGGTGATTGGCATGCAGCCGGTCCCGAATTTGCTTCATCTCAGGATTGAAGAGGGCCACATCGTTCTTCTCAGGCGGAAGCCAGTTCTTGCGACTTGCAGGGGTAGTGGTGCTAGTCGTCGGCGGATACTTCTCAAAGTCTTCGTCATCGGATTCGTCCTCGTACATAAATTTGCTTTGCCACGTGGGCTGGCCCTCGGTAACTAGCTTCATGTCGCCCTCAACGTACTTGCTCAACGGCAAAGCAGGTCGGCGCCATAACGCATCCGGGTCGTAGTCTGGTTGGATGATATCTGAGCTGGGTACCTTGAGGGGGGAACCGTAGAGCGGTAATTCGGATAAGAGTAGGTCTGATGTAGGGGATTGGCGGAGGGGGAAGACCATCTGGTCTTCTGAGAGGGCAAAGATGGCAGAGGGCGAGATGATATCAACCTCATCGGCAAGTCCCGACTCAGAAGAATCAGACTTGACAAGCTGCGGCATGCGTTCCACTGGAATTGCCTCCGCATCTAACATATCTACGTCTTGGCCTGCAGGCTCCTTCGGCGGAGGGCGTGCCGAGACTTGAAGGGCGATACGTTCCTCAGGTGTCGCGGTGTGCCATTTCGCACAGGCGGTAGCCAGGATCCTTGCCGTCGCCATCTTCCACTTTCGTTCCTCGCGGAAGTCCGTACGCATCCATTTCATCTCTTGAAGTAGTACGTCCATGTGGGAAGGGGGTCGAGTAGGTTCGGCGCATCGCTCCCGTTGTCGCAGGGACCATTTATTCGTATGCTGAAGGAGGTATACCCGCTTCAGGATTTTGCATGCTTGATCATCTTCATACGCCAACATAGCATCGGGCGAGGATATGGTCTTGTGCGCCTGATTAAGAAGAGCACCCAGGGGTTTCATCCAAGAAGACCTCGAAATAAACCCCTCAATAAAGAGGGGAGTAAAGTAATCATCAGCGGGCGACGTGCCTTGCTGCTTCGGGGCTGTAACCGACTTGTCGTCCGACCGCTTCGGCTGTTTCCCAAACACCACCGTTGAGACTTGAGTCCTGTCCCTTTCTCGTCGTTTCGGAAGCTGGTTTTTGGGTCGCAGTGCTGACGGCGTCGTCGGGTAACTCTTTGTTGTCGACGCCGCCGCCTTCTCCGCCGCCTTCTCCGCCGCTGGGCGTGGGGCCTTGAGCGATCCAGCCAGGATCTCGGAGACTGACTTTTGACGAATGGCTCCGGAGGATACTCTTGTCACCGCCCGCTCGAGTTGAGGCGGCTCAGTCACCTGTGGCGTCGGTCGCTGGGGTTGTTGGGTTGCAGGCTGGGGAGGAAGAGAGGGCTTGGGTTCCACAGCAGCTGGCCGGGGGATAGTAGGCTCCTTTGGAGCGGCATCGGGAACACGTTGGTTCACACTCGTAATCTCTGTTGGGGTGGGCGTCGCAGGCTTCTCTGTACCTCGGGGCTGAGGAGAAGGAAGTTCCGGGGAGACTAGTTTTGGCGGTTGCGCTGGCTCAGTTGTAAGGGGCGTCGGGAGGGGTTTCGAAAAAGGCTGTTTCTGTTGCTGTTGGACCAGTGTGGCCGCTGGCTCAGGTTTCGCGACAGGAGTTGCGGTGCGCGCCGGCGGGGGAATGATAGCGGTAGCAGTAGATGGTGGTGGAATTATAGGTTGAGGAGGAGTAGGTTTCTGCTCCACGGCTGCAGCTTGGGATTTGACGTCTTTCATACTTTGATCAGATATGACCGATGTCGATAATGGACCAGATGGCCCTTGAGTAGGCGGTTTCTCCGTTGCCAGGCTCGGGGCGTCAATCATAACCGCATCTTGATCTTCGCCAACCTTTCCTTCTCGCTGAACGGGCTGAATCTCCTCCTTCTCGGGACTCGTGGTTGCAGATACATCCTGAACGGCTGGTGTGGTCGCACTTGGGGCCGTCGATGCTGGAGACGAGGCGGCCTCCTGTTGCCGTCCAGTCTCCTGCGGTTTGGCGGCTGGTGCAGACGCATCACTGGATGGAGTGGCAGCAGCGGGTGCCGTCGCGGTTCGTGGCGCTAGAGGTACCAAAGCTTTGGCCTGCGCTGGTACGGCTGTCGGCGCAGATGGGGGGGCAGTCGGAGGTTGGGAAACCTTGGTTCCGGAAGCCGAAGTCGGCGCAGAAGTCGGGGGAATACTGGGAGCCGGAGCACGAGCAGGAGCCCCGGGTTTCACACTCTGTGCTGATGGTACTGGGGTCGCGGCTACTTGGCCCGCGGCGGGCTTCGGCGGCGCTATCTCCGACGTTCCATTCGTTATCGGTTCGGTCGAGGGGCGAGTCGCTATGTTGGTGGTCGGCGTCAAGGTGGATGGTAAAGGAGCTGAGAAAGCTGCCGTCCTGGGCTTCTTCGCATCGCGAGGTTGGACCGGCACGGGAGATGCAGCAGGGAGGCCTTGGACCGGAGCATTCGGGGCCAACAGTGGTCTCTTCTTCTCGTCAGTAGGTGGCGCGGGAGTCGGTCTTGCGCTTGGCACAGGTGGAGCATATTGCATCGACGGTAGGTGGGGTTTTAGTCCGTTCGCGTCGACGGGAGGAGCGGCGGGCTGGCCATCAGGGGTGATGCCCCAGACGCCAGTAGACCTGACGAAGCGTACAAGGCTATTGTAGTTTAGTAAGGGCGCGCCGGAGAGATTCGCATCGCCAAATTTCTTCCCCCTGTGGTTTAAACAAGTTAATATGCAAACGGCGACGACTAACAAACGCCAATGCGCTCCAAAATCATTATGAAAAAGTAGGCAAACGCGATAGGATGGCCGCAGAAATTATTCGAGGGCATTATTGAAACATACTGCAACACTTTGGAATGATCGTAGGCGTTGAAGTCGCCGTGGTTGGCGTTCGGCGCGTTGGGGCTCGCGATTTCATGGTTTGGTAGGGCGTCGGGCGCTGCGGCAGCGGCGAAGAACTGGCTGAACTTCCTCTTCCTCGTCGACAGGATTGAGCTAAAAATTGTTAACATGGCGACTTCGGTATCATTTTGATCGGCGAATTTTTCTCTGTCGCGAGATGGGAAGCATACCTGCGCTCATCCTGTTTTGATCGCAGGAGCCTGGATCGATCGGCAGGCCCGACCTCAGTCATAGCATTCGAGGCCGCGACATCCGTTTTTCATCAAAACGGATGTTTGCCAATAATTATTGGGGTCGTCCGAGATGAAAAATGCAATCAGAAGTGATGGAAATCGTGTTGTTGTGTTGTGGTAATTGATTGTGATTGCCAGAGTCGATGTTGACCGTACACAGAAAAATCCTCCTCGCACCCAGTTATGATTTTGGTAGTGGTGGTGATGGTGCTATGCTGGTGAGAGAGTTAATTTTTTTCGCCAGTGAGAGTGTTCTGTTAATTTTTTTTCCCTTTTTTCCTGGTCTGGCTGCTGCTGCTGTTATCCTCGCTTTTTTTCAGTTTGCAACTGTCAGCGACAGGCTTTTCTGCTCCTTCTCTACTCGGTAATGATTGTGACTGGGGAAAGAGTAGAGCTCGGACAGTGGCTAACTATTCTGGAAGGGCGGGGGGTGACTATCAGTCATCCGCGAGGAAGTGGCTAGGTAGGACTCGGAATGCTAGTAGTACACTGTGTACATTAGCTGATAGACCACTTTTATCACGAAATGCCCAGGGTTTAATCTCATGCATGATAATATTGAGGTACCAATACAGTGCAGGGTTACAATTCGGGTGCCTAATCGTCCTCGCAATGTAGCCTAGTGATGTTAGTTTCCCTCGCACCTTGTTTCCCGGTTGCATAAAATTTGATGCTAGCTCCTTGAAATATTGTTATTCTGGCCTAGTGACGCTACTTCGTATTGCTCATCAATTGCTTCCTGATTCATGTTGAATCGAGGTCTCCTCCTAGCATCAATAAGTTTTATACAACTCGTTTATCCTTGGTCGCATCCCAGATCGTTGATACGCCGCGCGATCTCATCTCCAAACAATACCCTGTCTAGGATAACCAAATTCTACCGAGACGGCCAGGAGATAATGTACTATCTTCCAAGACCGACGAGATCCTGATCAGGAAGTAGACTTACACCTCCATGAAGATAGTCTAGTGTTGATAGGATGGCAAACTTTGATTTCTCTTCCCCGGCGGGCGTTCAAGTGTGAACCTTAAATTCACCACGCCAACGGGGAGAGTGCAGTCTTTGCGATCGGATACCCCGTGTTATGTACACTACTTTTACACACTCGAGAAACTCGCCCGCTAGTGTAGGACTAGGCGCACTATAAAATGGAGATGGGACTAACACGATTTTGATGTGAGGTGGCGGGGATGTGAGATGCAACTGTTTGCCGAAGTAGAACAGAACAGTCCGAAGTACGAAAGTACTTGTCGCGTCTGGACGAAGTAGAACAGTGCGATTTTAATTTGCAACCGTACTCAGGTGTTTCAAACTGTGGCTTAGGCCCTGACAATTCAAGTATCACTAGCCACTGTGGCAGAAACTGCTGGCAGTGACGAAGGTACATTCAACTGTCACTTTTTTCTGTCACCCTTGCAAACATCATCAACCTCAAGTCCCCAACCATCCACCTCATCCCTCCCACCACGCTCTCCCTTATCCTCACGAAACAGGGGGAAAAATGGACCCTCCACACTCCGTATCCTCCGCGGGTCCCCGCATGTCCATAAGATTTAACGCCCCCAAACCAAACGGCACCAAACCATCCACATCCGCCACCTCCCACCGACGCACAAGTCCATCCTCTACGCTAGGCAAGCGGTCGCGCACAAACGCCCTTGGTGACGACTCGGATTCGAACTCGGACTCAGAAGGAAGTAGCAGACGCGGCGGGAGGAGCAGGGACGACGCGCGACGACGCGATAGGAGGGATCGAGATAGGGATAGCCGCAGGGACGATGATAGGGACGGGAATGGGCGGCGCAGGAGGAGTCGCGAGAGGGAGGAGAAGGAGGTCGTTATCGAGATTGGGGACAGGCCCAAGATAATTCGACCTCCCGAGCAAGGGCTGCGATCGAAGATGAAGAGCCGAGTCGCCGAGAGACGGCACGATTCACACCGTCCCGAAGAATCAATCAAAGAGGTGGAAGTCGCAGACAAGGACAAGGATGTGAAATGGGGTCTCACCTTGACAAAGAAACCCGAGCGCATCTTGCCAGAGAAAGAGAAAGACGGAGGGGCAAACCCGGAAGCGCAACAAGAATCCAAACCCAAGACCGTCGAAGAAGAAGCCCTCGACAGACTCATGGGCAAAACCTCCGACACGCCCGACAAAGTCATCGTCCTATCAGAAACAGACGCATACCGCCGCGACGTTAAAGAAGCACCTCCTCCCGATTCTCTCGACGCCGACACGGGCATCGACGTGACCGAGTTCGGAGCCGCCATGCTTCGCGGCATGGGCTGGAACGGGGAATTTTCTCGCCCCGGGTTCAAGGATCCTAGGAGGCGGCCGAACCAGCTGGGCCTGGGCGCCAAGCAGCTTAAGGATGTCGAGGATCTGGGGGATTGGGATCATAAGGGTGGGAAAGGATCGAGGCCGAAGAGGCTTGCGGATTATAACCGCGAGAAGGAAAAGGAGAGACAATCGAGGGGGAGGGATAGGGACAGTTACAAGAGAGAGAGGGAAAGGGAGAAGGAGTGGGAGCGTGATGAGAGGCACGGGAGATATGATCGGGATGATAGGCGCCACCACTCACGAAGGTGAACCATCACCAGTCTGCCTGCAGCTTGAGGTTGCAGCATGATTGATCAACCACATTTGTTGTCCTACGATTACATCCATGAGATTACAAGATACCCCTCCCCCATCAGAAACAACACCAGAAGACACCAAGCACTGGATATTTGACTAGAAAATAAGGGTCAATTCTGCATTTCAAGGAAGCAGTAGGGATATGCATTGCCTACACTGCAGAAGGATACAAAGGTCAGCAGACTCTACACAACACACAAGATTTCCAAAAGGAAAACTTAAAAAATAGATAGATATCAAAACATAAAAAGGTCAAGAAACCTTGAAGCAATGAAATCAATTAAAAAAAATACTTGAGAGCCTGTGAATAGTCCGTCATAATACGTCATGAAAAGGCCATCGTTCTATCTACCAGTCGCATGGAACCATCATCAAAACCCACCCAAACCAGAAAGGGGTTTGCTAGACAAACTTGACATGGCCAGCTAAAAACAAAGGAAAACTCCCGAAACGCCGTACATGGCCTAAGTTCCATGTTTCCCAGATGCAGTCTTATACGCTTACATGTCGTTTCCCCTTCGACGGGTGAGGTGTTTGATTCGAAATCCCACATATGCCATGAAATAGCGTCAGTCATGGCATTAAACTGCGTCCCTGTAACAAGTTGGTTCCTAGGGCTGAGACCTTTCTTCCACTCTATCGGGAACCACCCACCCCTTCTCAATCAAACATGTCCGCGCCTGCACCTGCTTGTTTGCTCACACTCCTCCGTCTCTCGAACCTCCTTCTCCTCCGATTCTCCGCCGCCGAACCCGCTGGTCGGTCGACCGGAGAGGGACTCATCTGGCCACTCCATGTTCCATGACTCTCACTACCTAGACTGGAAATGGGCTGGCCAGTCTGCGGCGGAGTGGTTGCCGAAGGACCCGCCGCGCCTGAATAGTAGGCCGAATCCTTGGGCCGCCTACCGGCGCCAAAGGCTGCGTTCGGCGGGGAAAGCTGAGAAGAGCCCTCGCCTTCACCTTCGGTTGTCTTCCCTGCGGCAGACTCTGACGGCCGTTGGGTCGAGTCTCGTCGGTACCGTCTGCTGGGGGTTTCGGTGCCCGAGATACTGCTAAAGGAGCCATCCCGTCGCCACCTCTGGTCGCGTCTCGACGAGGCGGCCTCTTCGTCCGTCAGCCGCCGGAGATTGACTCGATCGTCGTGAACTGTCATCTTGACGGTGGTCGTGCGCGGTGGTCGCGTCGGCGTGCCCTGGTCTCTCGCTCTCTCCCTTTGTTCTCGGCGGAATTGCTCTTCTTCTGCGGCGAGGGCGCTCGCTGATGCTGCGGCGGCTATTGCGGCTTCTTCACCGGCGCGTCGTCGCCGGGATGAGTCGGTTCTGTGTAACCGATCGCTGGGCGGCCTGTTCAACGAGCTCCTGGAATCGAGTGGGTCTGGAGGCATGGGCGGCATGCTGACGGGTTCAATGACTTCATGAGAAGATGAGGGCTGTCGCTGAGCCCTGCCAAAATCTGGAGGGGGAGGAGGAGGAGCAGGTACAAATCCAGGACCAGTAGGTAGAGGAGGTGGCGGAGGCGGTGGTGCAGGTGCAGGTGCAGGGCCAGGGCCGGGTCCAGGTCCAGGTCCAGGCGCAGGTGGATGGGTGCCGTAGGAACCAGTCAGTGGAGGCATTGGTGGTCCAGCACCGCCACCGGTACGTGGCTCAACAATCGACGATTCATCGCTAAGAATGTTGGAAGCCGCCGGACGACCACCTAGGCGGGACGGCTGTCGAGAGTGCTTCCTGTTGCTGCGGCTAGGAGAGGGGTAACCATCGCCAGTGAATCGAGATCCACTTATACCTGACCTTCGGTCGTCCTCGTCCCTATAGAAACTCTCATCATCTCGCGGTGCTTTCTTCTTCTTACCAAATTTGCTCGCGAGCCAGCCCATCCCCAGCCCTGCAAGAAGCCCCTTGGCAACGCCGCCGGATTTGTCGTCTCGAGGTCGCCGGGAAGGGCTGTCGTAGGAATCGTCATCATCAAAACTATGTCGCGAGTAGGTTCGGGAGTGAGCAGGGCGGGGAGCATAAGGCCGAGAGCTGCCTCCAGGTCCACTCTCGGCGGCACTCATGGCCTGAGCAGCCATCGTCGGAGGCACACGCGGGTCTCGTCGGTATTGGTCGCTGATTTCACTGAGGTCGCTAACGGTATACGGCCCACGACGTGGCGGGTAGCGTTTTGGTGTTTCGGTTGAGACTGCGGAGTACTCATCATCCCGTCCGCCGCCAGTACTCTTCTTGCCCATGCCAGACACCAGTTTCGCTGCACCGAGAGCGGCCCCAATTCCCATCAACTTGGTCATGAAGCCACCACCTTTCTTCTTCTCACCTTCATCGTAATACTTGTCATCATCATAGTAGCTGGTTCCAGGGTGAGAAGAAGCAGCAAGGCGGTCGGGACCTTGACTCCGGCTATACGATCGCGATCGACTTCGGCTTCGGCTGCGACTCCGACTCCGACTTCGCTCACTCTTGCCCTTCTTTGCGGACAAGAAGGCCAGAAGACCGGCACCGGCGAGAATAGGAGCGAGCCAGCCTCGCTTCTCGCTCTTTTCAGTTCGACCAGCATCTGTGACTGGGTATTCTGAGCCGGTGAGTCGGCTATGCGCTTCTGACCTACCACCGCCGTAGTAGTCATCACGTCGCCCCTGGCGCCTAAACTCCAGGATGAAATAAACTAGGACCAAGAGACCCATCCAGACAGCAAACATGATGAAAGTGAACAGCGGTGACCCGTACAGAGTAAGACCAAGGGGTATCTGCACGATTCCCAGGAGTGCAATGGCCCTGCCAGACCATTGGTGCAGATAGATCCTAAAGGAACGGAATTTTTGGATGTTCAGTATGAGTCGACCGCCGACCATCTGAAGGATGTATAGCAGGAAAATCGCAACGCCGATGCCATGGTGAGGATTCGTAAGGCTTCGCTTGCGGCCGACGGCGAAGTTTCCGAGGATAAAGACAATCAGTAGTAGTATTCCTCCAAAGATGTTCAATCTCGCGTGCGTCGCTCGGGCGTATCCCTGTCGTCGGTCGTAGAACCGCACCGTGAAAACAGACAACGGGACAATGAAAAGGAAAACAATAGCTGCGAGGATCCCGTGGGCAATGATGATGGAGTGGTATTGAGTTAAAGTCGAGAAGCGGTTTCCCATCCCTACAAGCAAACGTTTGGGCGTTAGAGAGAGACCAAGGGGAAGTCCGGTGTTTAGAGTGGGCGTATGCTTCTACTCACCATTATATCTCATAGTATCGAAGGGTACTCCCATGAGATTGGGGAGGAGGAATGTGTCTTTGGTGAAATCCCAGGTGCCATCCCCGACTTTAAGCGTATCCGAGTCGTAGGTGGCCGTCCCCGGGGAGGAGAAGTCGTCTGGTGTCGGCGCCATAGTGGCGACGACAAGGAGGTTTGCCCTTCAAAACGAGGCTGGCAACGAAGGAGGTCGCGATGCAAATGCCGGTAATGGTAAACAAAATAACGTCAATCGAATCTCGGGTCTCGATGTCTGTGATTAGGTATCGAGCAGTGACAACAAACCCCACGAGCGGGCAGTATCACATTCTAGTGCCTGGTGATATTGTCTTGATGTAGTGCGTAATTTGTCGTGGGTGGTGCAGGCAAAAGCTTTTGGCCGATACCAGTCCGGAGAGTTGATCGATGTCTCTCACTCTCTCTCTCACAGCCAAGTTTATTTTGGGCCTAAACTGCGTCTCGAGAAATAGTGGTGGTGTGTGAACTTTGACTCACAATGTGTGGGTACAAACCGTAGATGCTTGGACTTGGTAAGGTGTCAAGGGAAGAAAAAAAAAATTGATCCAAGATCCAAAGAGAAAACCAGACGTCAGTGTTCGTGGACACCACCTTGGCGTGAAAGGGCGGCCTCCATGGCCTCAACTTGAGCTGGGCGGTCGGAGATGGTGCTGGGACTGGATCAATGTGTGGTTGCGAGGGACAACGGACCCCGCTACAGCAACCAGTAGCAGCTCGTAATCCAATGGTTGCAGCTGAATTAGGGTGGGGGCCCGGACTTTGAAGAACCACCGCCGCCGGCATCTTATCGCCACGTGAAGACTTCCAGCTGGCTGACTAAGTTATATTAAGATTGGGTATCAAGTATCACTCCATCTCACGGAAACCTCAACCCACCTCAATCATCGCACCTTCCAGCCACGCCCATTCAATACTCTAGGTCTCATACAATTTGAGGAACTAACGAAACCCTTACTGTATCGCCCATATTAATTTTTTTTCAGAGTAATTAGGTGCGGAAAGAAGAGGTTCCACTTCAGGATCCAGTCTCTTTTCAAAGATGAAGCTGATTAAACTACATCTCAGTGGAGACCTCTTACGCCACAACCGCTGAGCTGGGGAGAAGCTGAGGAGACATCGGGGCCAAAACTGAAATGCACTGCAATGCGAGCCCTTCCTCGGGACCATCAGTTCGATCACTGCCAGCAGCCTTACTCCGATGCGATGTACGCATAATGTAGCTCACGTGCTCATGTATCAATTCAAAAGCCAGAAAAGCCCTTGGTAGGATCTTCCTAGTGAATTTGAACCAGACGTTCTGTGCTTTCTGCGATTCTGGATCAAAATGGCCAAAAAGAGAAAGCCAAAAAGGAAAAAAAGAGAGAACGCCGTCCATGGCCGACAGAGTTGAATTGATATTGTGGCTGAATTGACATCCAACTGCCTGGGACAGACCAACTGAAAGTGTGGCTTGACTTGAATGGCTTGTGCAACCAACGACGTCAGAACCCAGCATCATCCAATTTTCTTCACCCAAACTCGTTCAAGCTCCAAACAGACAAACGCCTAACAGAGAAAGCCAAAAGCAACGTCAACATTATAAACCGACGCCCTCTACGAAGTGATACCTCCCCAAAAATAAAAATTTAAAAAAAATTAGCGACGGCTCCTGAGGTGCACATTTCTCCTAATGTCCGCGAAGCCAGTCTCTTCCGTGCTCCAAGCATGGTATAAATGGAAATCTCTCCGCCTCCCCTGGCGGCGTCGAGTCCTCGTCGGTCCGTTTCCACAAACTCCTCCCCATTGCCCCTCCCCACGGAGGAGGAAAGATTCAAAGTCCTTAAACTAACCCAAATATCATTCCAGGCTTCGACCTCAAAGGCAACACATACTGGGAATTCCGCATCCCCGGCACATCCCCCTCCTCCCGCTGGCGCCGCATAGTCCACTACCCCCGCTCAACGCACTACTCCGAAGTAAAAGTCCCTCCCGAATGGCACCAATGGCTTCGCTACATGCGGCCCGACCCGCCTAGCATTGGCGAACAGAAGGCCGAGGTCGCGCGGCAGGAGCGCATCAAGATATTGGCGGCGCAGGCTGATGCGCGGTGGGAGGCTAAGCCTAAGGTTATGCAGGATACCGGGTCGAGTAGCGGGGCGAGGTTGCCGATTGGGCCGGCGGTACCGAGTGTCGAGGGCAAGAGTTCGCCTGGAGAGGCGGTGGATACTGGTGCGACGACGACACAAAGCGTGGAAAGGCCAGCGAGAAAGGAGGCAGAGGAAAGCGTTGAGAGTAAGGCGGATCCTTGGGCGAGGGCGAGAGCGAGAGGGCCGAGTGAGGATTGGCAGCCGGAAGCTTGGACGCCGCCGAGTGCAAAGAGGTGATGTGTGGAAGGGTCAGAGACGGAGGAGGGTAAAAAGAATCTTGCGGAGGTAATGAATGTAAGACTATGGGTAAAAATGAAGTTGCATTAATATGGGTATATTTTAGTTCGTACGTTAAACTCTTCCATGATGAATCCCAGCCCATTTGCGTGTGCCAGCCCCCAGCGAAAGACCCCCGATTCCAGCAGTAATCCGCCCCTGTTAAAACGCCGTTAATCAATGCATCACTCATCATACTCGGACCCGATCCAAAGACCGCATCACAAACGAAGACTGTCAAGAACTTCTCCTTCTAAAGAGCCCCAAGAATCTTCCTCATCATCTCACTCGAACCATCCAACACCTTCTTCGCTAGCACATCGTATTCATTCACAACCCCCACACGTCCCAGACGCCTCACCTTCGCCCTCTTCTCCCGCGCCGCGATACCCGTCTGCACCGCCTCCCGGAGCGAAGCCGTCAGCGTCAAGTCGTCATTATCGAACATGATCAACATGACCGTCTCAAGCAGGCAGGACAGCTTCGCGTTATCTTCCACGGACGAAGTCTCAGCAGCGTGGGGCAAGAAACACCTCTCCAGAATCGCCTGAGTGATCCGGCCCGCGTGATCGGCTTCCTTATCGACCTTGGCGGGGTTCAGGTACTTTGCCGGGAGGGTGAGGTCGAGTAGTTCGCTGAGTAGCAGCGTCATGAAATCCTTGTCCAGAGGATTGATGGACGAAGGTGTTATCATGGCCGTGAACAGGGGTAAGGGGAGCTCCTTCATGGCGTTGGCAAACTCTCCGAGGAGATCGTCAAGGGAGATGAATAGCTTCGGCATACAGTGGGCCACTTGTGCGAGTAGTGATATTATCCGCAGGCGCAGGGGGACGAGGTCATGAAGGGCCTCAGCATTCTCCTCGTAATGCTCAAATTTGGTCAGCGGCTCCTCGTTCTGGATGCGGCGCGCAGGCTTTCTCGGCGTTGAGGCCAGCGACATCAGATCATCTTCCGGCCCGCTCTCTTCCAACTCGTCGTCAGTATCGCCATAATCAGCGTATTTGAAATTCTCCAAATCTAGAACAGGTTCTCGCTTCCGTTTATTCTGCCCTCGTGGGAGATCCTTCGTTTCTAAGGGGAACACTTCGGTAAATAGGGATAAAGACGCCTGGTGGCCATCGGCAAAAAGCGCCTTGACAACCCACTTGACGCCGTTTGTCCTGCCCCCTCGCCGCGTAGCATATCCGACGATGAGCGACTGCTTCGTCATACGATAGTCACAATCACCAGTGCGCCCCGCCAACTCATGGGCAGCCTCGTCCTCCTTGACTCGCTCGAGGAAGTCGGCTTCGAGCACACGGAGCATGAAGTCCAACCAGATGCCCCAATACTTCCACCGCGAAGGATGAATAACGCTACAGTTAAAGGCCCATCCCACTACGGACCAGAAATCGTGGCCACAGTTCCAGATGGACTCTTCGTTGCCAAGCTTGGAAACAATCCTGGCGTTTTCCTCGTCCTCGCCGACATCGCCAAAATCGTGGAGGTGGGAGTCGTCGTCGTCCGAGCCCAGGCCCCTGGATGCTCGCGGGCGCGGTGTGTAGTTGGGATTGAAGTTGAAGGCAGCCACAAAGTTGGCGTTCACCGGCCCGACCATTTTCATTAGGTTTTCCAAATAGATGAGCGCCAAGGCGGAGATCTCTCGGCGCTCGGCGGTCTCTGGCCTCGAGGTGTGTTTGGGGTGGATGATGAGATTGTTGATGAATCCCAGCTGAACTGGGGGCAGGACGAAAGCTGGCGAGACCTTGCCATCGAGTACCGCCGGCCCAGAAGTGAGCAGGCTATTCGCAAGCTCAATGGCGTGCACAACTAGGACGCCAGTTAGGGGCAAAGAAGCGGATTATTTAGGAATATCATACGAAGATGCAGAATAAGCTTACACAGTTGATCCTCCAGATATATGCGACAATGGTTGATTAATGTCCGAGGCAGGGACCGGGATGGGCGGTAGTCGTCGTATTCAGGCTCATCCTCACCGTCCATGGCTTCGGGCGTGAAGGTGGGCGGGTCCTTTGATGACCGACTCGAAGGTGTGTCGATGGGTTTTGGCGGTGAGGATGACGACCCTATCACTATGGGCTCCATCTCACATTGATTCGTCGGAAAATTAATACACCCTCTGTGGAAGTCTTGTGTTGTGCAGTCTTTGCCCCAGCCAGAGCTGTGCCAAAACGCGTGTCTGCCTGCTGCATCACGTCCTAAGTCTCGATAATTTCTCGTAAATCTACTGGACGCTAACAAACAAACCTCTCTAAGGTCATCTAGTTTTTAAAAGATCTTACGTAAGAGTTTTTATTAAAGTCAGTTAATATTTATTTTTTTTTTAAAAAAATTAAATAATTATATAAATAATTTATATTATTTATTTTAATTATTTATTTAAAAAAAATAAAATAAATAAAAGTAAATAAAATTAATATAGAGAGAAGAAAAAAAAGAATAAGTCCTCTGTATAGGATTTTATATTTTATATAAGTTTATCATCTAAATATTAACATCATGATGGCAGCCTGTGGCCAGCAATAAGCTCTGCTTCCGCAACAATGCTGGTTAGAGCTTAGCTTTCGAAACAGACACACTTCCCTCGGCGGGAAGATTCTTAAAATCTTCATAGAGAGAAAGCGCTTCAGGATTGGCCACCGTGCCGCCCACAGCAGCCTTGCGGCCGCACACGATGTGCTTGACGTCGATTTCGCATTTCTTTCCGTTGACGGTGTAGGGGATGTCGGCGACTTCAAGGATGAATTTCGGTACGTGGCGAGGGGAGTACCGTTCCCTGATGGCGGCGCGAATCCTCCGCTCGAGATCCGGCCCGAACTGCATCTCATGCCGCATCTTGACAAATAGCAAAACGCGTTCGTCGCTGTCGATGTCGCGCTTCTGTCCGACGCATATGCTGTCGGCCAGCTCTGGGAACGTCTCCGTGACGGCGTAAACCTCGGCAGACCCGAACCTGACGCCGGACGGGTTGAGGACGGCGTCGCTAGATTGATATTGCGTTAGCAAGCCCCTTGTGATGGGGAATAGTAGAAGTGAGACGGGGGTCCTACGATCGCCCTAGCATCACCAAGCCCCCCGTGTCAGGGATACGTTGGATGAAATCACCCTGACACCATATGCCTTTTCCGAACCGCTCGAAATACGAGGTCCTATATATCTCCTCCCCTCTTTCCCCAATGAAAGCTAGTGGTTGACTTGGGAAGGGCTTCGTGCAAACCAGCTCGCCCGCCTCACCGGAGCTTTCGACTGCGACGGGTTCTATGACTGTCGCGTCCAGGATCTCCACAGCCATACCCAGGGCCTTGCATTGGATCTCACCGGCGTATACAGGAAGGAGAGGAGAACCGCCAACGACTAAGCCAGATTGTTTGTTAGTATTGACTGGAGAGTAGTCATCACCAATCGAGCCAGGAGCGAGTCACGTACAACATCCGGCAATATCGGTACCACCACTCATGGAAATCAGCTGGGCTTGAGAGGGGAAGCCTGTTGAATAGAACCAGTCGTAGATTCGCTGAGAGAACAGAGCCGGTCGAGGTAACGACTCGTAGCTTTCGAAGGTCGAAGCTTTCTCCTGGAGACTGTGAGTATCTCTCTACCCAGTGATTGTCTCGGATTCTAAGATGACGTACGTGGTATTATATGAGGCTGTTCAGCTCTGCGAGATACCGTGGGGATGTGCCAAAAACCCCGACACTGTAGCTGTGTTAGCCACATCACATCCATCAAGATCTACAGGAAATTTCAACGTACCCGATATCTTGTGCAAGCTCGAGGAGTATCGTCGGCCTGGGGTGGAAGGGAGAGCCGTCAAACAGGAGCATGGAGCCTGCGCAGGAGAGATTAAGCAAGTTCAAAACCCACATGACCCAGGATGTCTGTATGAAGTTAGAATTTCTAAGGCCTGTCTGCATGAGGGTGCAAGCGGATAACGTGCCGTTGTGTACTGGAAAACGACGTCGCCTCTCCGCACATCGTGCTGCAGCGACATGTCCGTCTTCACTTTCAGAGCAACGCCCTGAGATTACTATCGCATCAATAAGAGGTTCTGCAGTGCCCACGGCGAACGAATCAACATACCCCGGTGCCGTGGACGATGGATTTCGGTCTACCCGTCTATCCGTCCGGCGTCAGTCACATTGGCAGTAAGCTAAGGCAGCTTAGGCCATTCGACGTTTGCCGGGGCACGAGAACTCACCGTTCCAGAGGAATAAAGAATAAATGCAGGATGCGAGAAGGGAGCGATTTTGAAGCTCAGCCTTTCGCCAGAGTCGCGCTCGAGGAAGGACTGTAGGCTGCATCCCTTGTGAATTCTTTTCAAATCGACCTCGAAATTGCAGTATGGGATAATCACCACATCCATCAACTGACTAGTGTCGCGACCAAGCTTATGCGACCAGTCGACTATGCGGTCTCCGAGCCTGAATGTCTTTCCGGCATAGATATACCCGTTATCAGCGAAAATCATCTTCGGGCTGATCTGACTGTAGCGGTCGACGATACCGGCCGATCCCAGGTCGCAGGACGATGACGACCAAATGGCACCAATAGACAGAGAAGCTAAGCAGATGGCCATGGCATCGACCGAGTTGGAGATTACAGCTGCAATGACGTCGCCGGAAGCAACGCTGAGTTGACCATGGCGCTTCGAGTTCGACGGATGCGCTCTCGGAAATCTTTCCATGTGACACGCTCGACGCCTGGCACACCCTCGCGAGCAAAGTGAATTGCAACGTCGCTGTCGCGGCGATGTCGAAGCATCAGCTCGGGAATACTAAGGGAATCCGAAGGAAAGAACCTTGGTGGCGGGAACATGTCTACTGAGGCGACATCCTGGGCAGACTCGGGTCAGCAAATTTTGGTCACCTTTCTCACCACGTCAATAGCGATATGGGCGGTACTTCGCGTCAGACTCACCGAACCCTCAAGGACGCGACCTGTCCCCTTGGCTCCCGGTGGCGCGAGCTGGAGCCAGTCGTACGCATCGCGCCAGAAGTCCTGCAGAGAAGTTGATGCTACTGACCATTGGTGTAGGTCTTCGTACGTTCGTAGATGCAGCTGATGTTTCTCATTGACGTAACGGATGAACTGGTGGACGTTGGTCTGTTGGACGTTACGAGGCTCCCAGACAGGCGTCTTCTGAATGGTGGCCATGATAACGGGAAAGATCGAGAGTACCGAGCGATTCGACTTGGGTGATGGCGAAAGCATCAAAAGACAAAAGAACACGAAATAGATTCAACCACGCACTTCGGGATGAAATAAACAACGAGCCGGAGGGCATGTTGCAAAGCGAATGAGTTTAAGATTGAGGAGCATCCCAGTCGAACCCAGGAATGTGTTAATTACCTCGTGCAGCCTATCCGCTACAACCGAGTCGAGCCGAGCCGTCCTAGTCCGATGTCCCAAGGATTCCAGTATTTGACGCCGAGGCACCGGCTACGAAAAGCAAGCATCCCTGGGAACTAGAGTCGGCTATGCAATGGAACCAGAACCGGGACTTCGTGGGGACACCCCACCGACACCCATCATCCTTCGGGGGCTGGTTTCCAGGATCAAATGGCTGGTGAAGGCCGGAAGCGGGGAGCTCGGAGCTTAGAGTATGGGACACACCGCGTTGGATATTTCCCTCGAAATGCCACAGGTTCGCCGATCCTAAAAGCTATCTTCATCAGACACATAAACCCATCGCGAGTGCCACCAGCTTTGTCAGTGTGCCACATGTAACAAGAGCCATCATTGATATTTCTTTTAGCAAACTCTGCCTGGTTCTTCTGTGCGTGATACTGCAGCAAATATTCTCTCTAAGATCTACGCGCTTGTCTTCTTACTACTCATCATGGAACAGAAACGTCCTATCATCATCGGTAATGTGGCTGGGGCCATGGAGGATTGCCCAGATGCAATGTTAGTTTTCATTCCCTATTACCCTCGCATGAGAAACCGCTAACAACAGTCTTCCGCCTTTACTCTTCTTTCATGGAATCCATTTTGGGTCATGTACGGATACTTGTCGAACCGTAGACCACTACGGCAAAAGTACAGTGCACACTGCTATTATTTAGCAGGGTTCCATTTCCCATTATATAGGTTCTGACAATACTTACGGTAATCTTTTCATAGGCATCGCATGATCTCTAGCGGACCTCTCGACGCAATTGCTGGTGACTGGCTTTCCGAGTTGAACGTCGCTTGGAACGCCATCCGCAAGTACGACAATCCGGAGAAGGGATATGAGGTCGGCTTTCTAGAACAACTCGATGACTGCATCGACGTTATCGCTGAAAAGAAGATCAAGCTTATCAGCAATGCTGGCGCTCTGAACACTCCTCAGTGTACCAAGCTTGCCAGGGAGATCTGCGAGAAACACGGACATGGCCACCTGAAGCTAGCATATGTCCAGGGCAACGATATTTCTGACATCGTGGCCGACAAGACCAATCAGGCCCAGCTGGGCGGCATTAGACACCTTGACCATCCTGATCGAACCCTGGAAAGCTGGGGTAAGGAGCCACTTTGCGGTGTGGCTTATTTCGGAGCATGGGGGATCGTGGAGGCTCTTCGGCAAGGGGCAGATATCGTCATTTGCGGTCGGGTCACCGATGCCAGCCCCGTCATCGCCTTAGCTGCGTGGTGGCATGGCTGGTCGCATACAGACTGGAACCAGCTTGCTGGTGCTCTTATTGCCGGGCGTTAGTTTAGTCCATTCCCAATATCCGCAGACTGAGGATGCTTTGCCTTCCCTCAAGTCATATATCTCGACTAACGAGTTAAGCTATGCTACAGATTTGATCAAGTGTGGACCGTACGTCACCGGTGCCAACTTCACAGGGGTCAGACCTTACCTAGATGGCCTGGTTGACCTTGGCTTCCCGATAGCCGAAATTGCACATGACGGCACCACTGTCTTGACGAAGCATCCGACCCACGCGGGTATCGTGGACCAATTCAATGTGCGTGCCCAGTTTCTCTATGAGATTCAAGGTACACAATACATCAACTCGGACGTTCTTGCGGATATAGGTGACGTGAAAATCGAGAACACTGGGGAGAAGGACCGTGTCCGAATCTCCGGCGCTGTCGGTAGCCCTCCCCCTCCAAACACCAAGGCCATCGTGGTTTCTATCGGCGGTTACCAGGCCGAGGCAACCTTTTACATGAACGGTCTAGACATAGACGCCAAGGAACGCTTCATGAGACAGCAAATTGAGCACGCATTTGCAGACTCCAACTTCACCGAGTTGAGCATCGAACGCTATGGGGCGAGCGCCGTCAACCCCAGCAACCAGGCCCTGGGCACCGTGTCTGTCCGGGTGCTAGTTAAGGGCAAATCTGAGCACGACATTCGAGAAGATTACTTCCGCAAAAAGATTTATGCGCTGAGAATCCAATTTTACGCCGGTGAGTCTGGTTCGTTCCCCACATGGGTTGACCAGCTGGTCCTGACAGTGGCCGTATGGCTATGAAGGGTATCATATGTCTCTAGACTTCAGGACCATGTCCCCCAAGATGTTCATGGAGCTTTTCCCAGGCCTAATATCCTACGAGAAACTCCCGCATCGCGTGGTTATGGATGATAACGTCATCGACATCAAGCACCATGGCATCACTGCGCCTCCTCCGGGGAAGCGACCCACCTATGAGACGGCAAACCCGGCCGACCTCAGAACGTTTGGCTTCACGAATAGAGTACCCCTGGGAACTGTCGCGCACGCCCGCTCCGGCGACAAAGGCAACAACTGCAATGTAGGTTTCTTCGTTCGTTCGGCCGAGGAGTACGAATGGCTACGGTCGTACTTAACGGTGTCCAAGATCACCCGGCTCCTGGGAGAGGATTACCGGGATTCTGTCACGGTCGAGCGGTGCGAGTTCCCCCAAATATGGGCCGTGCACTTCCGGTTCCTCGATTTTCTGGGCGGCGGCGCCGCGAGTAGTAGCCGAATCGACATGCTTGGGAAGGGAGTAGCCGAGTACCTTCGGAGCAAATACGTTGATGTACCAGCAAAGTTCCTCTCCCAGCCTATTTCTCTGGGCTGAGCAAAGGATGGCGAGGTACGCCAAAGATTTCATAGTTTCTTAGGTCAAAATAGAACACAATTTGGAGTAAAATATGTTAAAATTAGAACAATATTTTCTTTTTTAATTTTAATCTTTATAATTTCTATTAAATCATAGTAATAGACTGAGCAATCCTAATCTTTCGTCTGGCACCGGTAACGAACGCGACTGCCATGCTGTGAGCAATGATGAGCGAATATAGAGTACTTCTTCCCCATCCCATGGCTATCTATCACTACGAAGTAGCTCCATGGCCGAGTCGAAGTGTTTGAGGGGCAGACGCAAGACCAACCCGAACCGGAAACGAGCGTGCCAGGGTCCGGCTTCGTGGCTTCTTGGGGTCCCGAGATTTGATAGCCGAGGCTACTAAGAATCAGGCAGACCGGCCGAGGTGGAGGAGGCGGAGTCCGGACATAACGGCTTAATACCCGAATGGAGACTGCGTTCTTCCCCCGCATTAAATTCGGAGTAAGAAACCGGTTTCGGTCGAACCCCCAATAAAGGAAGAAGGAAGAGATGGAGGAGAAGTTTTTTAACACCTGGAATTGTGATATCTTGGCACTGCTAACTGAGGGCCTCGAAATTGGCTTCCGGAATATCAATATCGTACCTACTGATACCTGTAGTAACCAGGATCCACAATCCCGCTTCACCTTGCTCGGTACGTATTACCCCGACAATATGGTCGACGGAAACGACGTGAAATCTAAAAACCCCAAGCCAATAGCGATGTCTTCGGACACACAGACCGATTCACCCGCAGCGAGGGCTGAACGCTCGACCGCGGGGGACGCAAACCGTAAGATCAGGAAACGAGCCAAGAGAGCCTGCGTTCGCTGTCGTACGCGAAAGGTACGATGCGATGTTGTACTAGCCGGTACGCCCTGCACGAACTGCAAATTGGACGGAGAGGAATGCGTCATTAGGCCAAGCACGCATAGATGGTAAACATCCCCTTCTTGATATGTCAAGTCTTGCGCCTCTCTTGCCAATGAAGGTATATATCGATAACGTGTTCTGTATCTCAGGCGATCCAGCTTGCAATGGGCCTCCCAACAGGAGCAACGACAATCCCAGCAAAACCAGCGGAAGCGGTCGCCGGAACAACATCTGAATTCCTGCACCTCACCTTCGCCTACAGTCCAGTTTTCCAACCAGCCTGATGATATCGGAGGTGAAGTTAACGATAGCGGTCTTTCCGGGTTAGATTACCCCATCGCGTTACCGGATGATGATACAATATTGCCACCAGTTGAGTTCGATCATGCCCGGCTCCTCGTGCCCCAACCCGCGGGGGAGCGCCAAACACCTAACAACCCCGGCGAAGATGGAGGGATGTTGGAGAGATTACTCTTCCCTGGAAACTCCTGCGCCAAACCAAATGCTGCATTCGTTTTGTACAAGTGTTGCCCGTGTGTCGAGGTGGATGACCTGCGGCGTCTCGAACCATGTGCTGTCCAGTTTCTAGGGCAATGCGGTTGTTTCCATCTCCCAGCTCGATCCATCCTCGACGAGTTCATCAAACAATACTTCTTGCACTTCCATCCTGTGCTTCCTCTCCCTCTCCCTCTCAACGAGCTGGAATTCCAGAAAATGTACTTTGCGGAACCCACGTCCCATCCAAAACAACGGCGTGTACCGCTCTTCCTCCTTCAAGCAATGCTCTTTTTAGCTTGCCCCGTATGTCCCATACCCAGAAGTACTTGAATAGGAAGCTAACATACCGTTTAAGTACGTTTCTGTCTCCAAGTTGCGCAAGCTGGGGTTCCAAACCGTTCAAGACGCACGCGCTAAGTTTTACAGTAGAGCCAAGGTTCGTCGGCGCCGTGATTAAGGACTCATCTAAGAATTACGCTGATCTTAGGAGATAGCTTATCTTCGATATGTATCCTTACATAGATGATGTTGCGAGAGCCCAGGGGGCACTTATGTTGACTTACCACGTATCTTCCGCGACTCACAAGGCCGACACTTTCTGGTTGAGTACCGCGATCCACTACGCGAAAAGTGCGAAAGCCCACATGTATACACTAATGCGCGAAGGTTCGCGAGAGGCAAACATCCTCAAGCGCCTATGGTGGTGCTGTATCCTACGTGATCGCATCATGGCTTTGGGATTGCGAGGGCCGCTGCACATAAAGCCCGCCGATTTCGACTTCACCCAACCAGGGTTCGTGGAAGCGGACTTCAGGGATGAGATCAGAGGGTCAATGGTATATGACTCGACAGCCAAGCAGGTCTTGGTCCAGCTCGCCGGTATGCTCTGTGAGCTGGCGGTAGCCTTGAACAACATCCTCGAGGTCCTTTATCGCGAAACACCCTTCAGGCCTGGGGGACACCATAATCCGCCGAGCCCCGAAGACCTGAAAACGTGGTCTCTCGGACTGGACAACTGGTACGAGAAAGCATTGGCCAAACTTCGTCTCCCAACACCTAGAGCGAACAAGTCGCTCGTTCTTTTCACCAATATGATATACATATACTACAAGTATGCTTCGCAACCCCCTTTCCACCTCTAGATTTCATCATTGTTAATTGCAATATCAGCACTGCGAAAGCCTCTCTTTGCAATCACATGCTCCTCCATGCCTTTTCGGCTGTCGACGACAAGACCCAAGACGACCACATGGAATCCCGGCTCCAAACACAACTGGAGATGAATCAGGCGCTGTGTAGGATCACTGACGATCTAGTTGAGCTAGAGCATTTGGGGCTCGCCAAGTTCCTCCCCAATACCTTGTAAGGAAGGGTTCCTTTTGTATTCTGGAATTTGGCCAATGGTGCTAAAGCTCAACTGACTTTTATAGCATTGGCTTCTCTGCTTTTCCATTTATCTGGCACTTGCTCGACGCAAATTTGATCCGCACCGGACCACCATCCCACAGAACAGAAAGAGTCTCAAAAGTCTACGCCGATATCATGAAGGGATTTCGTTCCTTGTATGAGAGCACCGATGAGATGCTTCGCTACGCCGAGAAGATAATCAACTATATCAAAGAACACGAGCAGCTTCAAGCGGAGTGCCTCGATCCCAGTATTCTCGCTCGATCGGCTCAAAGGGAGCACCCCACAACCCATACGCTAGCGCGAGCATCGTATCCAAATAATGGCTGGGTCGACATTTTCCTCAACAGACCGCAGACATCCCTCCGGATTGTTATGACCGTAGACTTTTGTCTCACACGAGGACATTTCCCGTCTGAGGCAGACTTCCCGAAAGCCTTGCGCGCGATTCAACAGGAGAATCACGAATCTGGAATTGGCTTCTCGGGAGATGCGGATGAGATTGCGTGGTGGACACTACTTCAGGAAGCCATGGATGTTGGTTTCGGCGGCTAGGCGCGCATATATATATATGTTCGCACCTTCCTTAGTCTATTCGAATGTCGCCAAGTGGTAAGGTTTTGTACTATGAAGGTTTTTATTCACAACAATTGGCAGGAAAGATACTTATAGGTACATAAGGTCCTATGCGAGGCATATTGGAAGATAATTGATCTGTTTGCGAACACCAAGATGCATCAATGGTGTCAATGATGCAGATGAGGTGACCCGTGGGTGCCTCGGAACCCCCTGACCTTTTTTGGTCTGTTTTTTTTTTAGTATTTCCGTGATATTTCCTTATTTGTAATTTATATAGGAAGTAATATAGACGTTGCCGTATACGCCTCCAAGGTACCTCCTTTTATGAGTATTCCATGAGGAGCAAAGAGCGTAGCGAACATGCAGATGTGGTGGCGCTGGCTAGAAAACAATGATTTCTATTTGGCTTCTCCACCCGGCGAACATGTACCAGTTCTAGAGGGGGGACTTGGGAACCGAGAAGAACCACGATATTCAGTGACTGGAGTATTTCCAAGAATACGCCATAATCTACATGCTGAGCATGACGAGGGAGACTCTTCTTCTCAGTATTATTGAATGCACCACTTTTTTGTCCTCCCAGCATCCGACGCCGGCTCAATACTCCGCCTATTCCTATGACCTACTTCTCCCATGACGTTCTGATAAACTCGTTTGCTCTATCTGCAATAAATAGAGCGATGACTCTAGAGAATCGAATTGTAAGATCGAGGCTCGGCGAATCTATGGGAAGGCCGGGAGGGAATGGGTACTCACGAATGCGGCGCAATTCTCATGAGATATGGCCAGAAATCGCGATAGAATCTCAGCAGGCCTTCCCTCCGGGTAGTTTTGATAAAACAGTCGATGCTACCAGAATAGATGGGTATGCCGCCTGCGTTGGTGGCCGCCAGCGACTGATTCTGCAGTCTGGTTTTGACAAAGTCAAACGGCAGGCTGACGACAGTACCGGCCAGACCAGCAATAGAAGCTGCGAGAGCTGTCCGCGTCCCGGGTGATAGGTCAGTGTACTCATTTATTCGATGTTTAGACTCGGAGAAGAAAGCCAGCTGGCCGAAGTTGGTGGACATGGCTCGAATGATGTTGGGGCCGGCGCCCTTCCACAGCGCGAGGATCCCTTCTTGCCGCGTGATGCGCCGGAGAGCGTCAAACACTGACGAATAGTGCTTTCGCTGTTCTGCCGGCCTCATGCCGTCGGCCTGCATACGGACAAGGGAAACTTCGGTGGGGTTTCCGACGAAGGCGGCGATGCTACCTGCTCCGAGGCTGGCGATTGCCCTCCCACCGAACCCAAGCGTTTGACATCGTTCGTGAGCCCTACGCTCTAGCTTTTGCTCGAATGTGGCGAAAAGCCCAAGTCGTGATGTGCCGTAGATAAGCTGTTTGAGGAGAGCTGCTGAAAGACCGGCATACAAAGTTGGGATCCCGCCCTGGGCCAGAAAACTTCTCGCTACGGACCACGGTGATATTTTGTTGCTGCTTCGATCTATCAGCTGCATCCGGACCTTGACCGTGTCCATGGGCTGGATGCACATGGTGGCGATCATGCCGGAGCCGCAGCCCACCGCGAAGGGCGAGCCTACCTTGATGATTGACCTGAGCCTCCCGGGCGGTTGGTCTTTCTGAACCGTCGCTTCCATCCTCGAAGAGTTGCTTCCTATAACAGTGAAGGGGAGGCAGAGCAGTGTGGGAACTTGTCGTTCGTAATAGGTAGACCTACGACTAACGTCTCCTGTGTGTGTTTTACAGCCCAGCAAAAGTACGCTCCCTAATATGTCTACCAGAAGCCCTTTCTTACGAATTGACGTGAACTAATAGTATAATAAGCGCCTACAGGGGCATTATCTAGGCAGAGAGGGTGTGGTTGGGTTCTCGGCAATGCTTGGTCCCCTCGGCTACTAGGACTCCAAGGAGAACACCTGCTGCGGCCTGTCTGAGAACATACCCTTTAGTTTGTCCCGCAAATTACTAGAGACGGTGGATTCGCACCAGCATAGACCACTTCGAAAGTTGAAGGTTGCATTTCAGTCTGAAGCGCGAAGCTCCATATATATGATATGGTCTTTGGCTGCAGGGATCACTCGAGAGAATCCAATCTTCAACCACCCTATTATTAGCTCCTTCTTAGTTCATTTCCTAATCTGCGTTCAACCTCCATAAGCCAGCAGGATGCAGAAATTCGTTTTTAGCGCTACTCGTTTCCCAAAGGGGCTCCTCCTATGCGAAGCGGTCCGGCCTGCCACCTCTCCACTACGACAAAGACCTTCTTTATCTGTCCCCAGAATCAGCCGTGTACATTCAAGAGCTACAGATTTTCTCCCATCCGACCTGCCAGGGTGGACAGAGTCGCAGCGTTCAGTTCGCGAAGCCGTTGCTACTATCTGTGCCAAGTACACGGACGAGTACTGGCTGGAGAGGGATAGCGAACACAAATTCCCGTGGGAGCTGTACAACGACCTGGCTTCGAATGGATGGCTGGGGATTTGCATGCCCCAGAAATATGGCGGTTCCGACCTCGGCATTTCGGAAGCGGCGGTGATGCTGCAGACCATCTCGGAATCCGGTGCGGGCATGAACGGGGCCTCGTCGGTCCATATGAATATTTTCGGCTTGGAGCCCGTCGCGAAATTCGGCACCGAGGAGCAGAAAGAACGCTGGCTCGTGCCTCTCATCCAGGGAAAGGAGCGCGCCTGCTTTGGTGTCACGGAGCCCAACACAGGCCTGGACACGCTACGGCTGCAGTCGTCTGCAAGGCGAGAGGGCGACCACTACGTTCTCAGGGGCTCTAAGACATTCATCTCCACGGCCCAGGTCGCCGAAAAAATCTTGATTCTCGTCCGAACAACGCCTCTCGAAGACGTGAAGAAACCAACCCAAGGCCTTTCTCTTTTCTACACAGATCTCGACAGGTCCACCGTTCAAGTCACGCCGATTCCCAAGTTGGGCCGAAATGCGGTGGACACCAATGTTCTCTTCTTCGACGGATGGAAGGTGCCAGCCGAAGATCGGGTTGGAGCCGAAGGCGACGGCTTTAAGATGGTTATGCACGGAATGAACGCCGAACGCATTCTCGTGGGGTCCGAGGCATTAGGTTTGGGATATGCCGCCCTGCGACGTACTTCTCAATACGTCAATGAGAGAGTCGTGTTTGGCCAGCCCATTGGGAAATACCAGGGAATCCAGCACCCCCTAGCCGAATGCTGGATGAACTTGGAGGCCGCAAGATTGGTCATCTACCAGGCTGCCCACCTGTATGATGAGGGCTATGGCGATGGAGAGTATGCCAACGCAGGCAAGTACTTGGCAGCAGAAGCTGCATTCAAGGCTGCGGAGAGAGCTGTCATGTCACATGGCGGCATGGGCTACGCAAAGGAGTGCCATGTAGAGAGGTACTTGAGGGAGTCGACGCTTTCAAGAATTGCGCCTGTAAGCGCGGAGATGATCAAGAATTACATCGGGCAGAGAGTTCTGGGTTTGCCTAAGAGCTATTAGGTATATTCGCCGGGTAGATTATTCAACATACGTAGACATAGACACCAGGGTAGACCTATCTGCATCCAAAAGTATATATCCACTACGACTTCCTTAGTATAAACACAGATGGTGATGAGATTCACGGATCGGAAAGAATATGGATGACGACTAGTTTCTGAAAAGTTCAGCTGATGTAGCTTTTCCGAGACGGCACTATGACTAGGCGGCTTAAGTTGACAAGATACTCAGTAGATACTGAGTTCGCGTTCAAAGCTTCGAATGAAATGAATACATGTAGTGGCATTGTTGTGTATGGCTAGAGGCCATCAAGATGGATCAAGATGGACCACCCTCACGTACCAGGATTGTTATCAACGAGTGAGCAACGACCGAAGTCACTATTGGCTATGGTGAACGGGAAAATCACTGAGAATGTTATTCGCCGAGGTGACTTGCTCTAGTGTCTAGTGAGGGCCATGAAGGTTGATGGAACGTATCCGAGGTAATGTGACTTGGGGGGGATGATCGTGAAAACCCCAGACGGGGGAGTAGCCGCATTTGCAGTCAAGTTAAGAGAGTACATAGTTTATTAAGCTCTCCCGCGTTGGCCGCCGTTTATCTGGCGTTGCGATATAGAGTTGAAGAGTAGAAAGCTGTACAGAAAAGAAGCCATGCCACGCTACGTTTATCAGCTGGGTCAACACATTGGTAGAGTTGGTACCATGACCCTCCAACCCTTGGCGCTGCAACCCACCACTAGGCATGCTATGGTCATACGGCGTTACTATTCAGCGCCAGCTACCGAAAAAGCCAGGAAGGCTTCAGGTCCCTTGAAGGGTGTGACGATTTTAGATCTGTCGCGGGTCCTCGCCGTGAGTTAATACTCCCGTTCAACTATACTTGTCATTGAATGCCCCCAACTCACCTCGAATCCTATCCAGGCGCCATTCTGTACACAAATTTTGGCCGACTATGGCGCGGATATCATCAAGGTTGAAGCTGTCGGCAAAGGGGTATGTGGCCCTCTAGCTCTGGAAATCGCTTTTCCGTTCGCACACACAAGATCTGACAGCAACAGGACGACACAAGACACTGGTTGTTACCAGGAGAACAGGCAAAGTGGAAGAAAGATGTCGGGCCAATGTCAACCTATTTCTCATCCATCAACCGGAACAAGAGGTCCCTTACACTTGACCTGAAGCATCCCAAAGGAAAAGAGATACTCATGAGGCTCGCGAGAGGGGCTGATGTATTGTAAGTAACTGGATCCTTCTCTGAGATCCGTATCCCGCGCAAGTCTATGAAAAAGGGCTATGTTATGAGCAGTGGTTGACATGATGGCACTCCTGGTGTCGATGCGTTACAGGGTCGAAAACTTCAAACCGGGAACCATGGACCGCCTGGGGCTTGGGTACGACAAGTTGAAGGAACAGAACCCAGGACTAATATACGCCAGCGTTTCCGGTACAGGCCATGAGTCCTTCCTGCGCCGGCCCCAAGCCGACATTGCTTGACGGTAGACCACTGACATGTATGATGTGTGTAGGCTACGGAACCACCGGCCCTTACGCCAGGCGCGGCGGGTACGATCCTATCGCTGGAGCCGAGGCCGGGCTATTACATCTGACAGGCGAACGCAACGGCCCTCCAGTGCGCCCAGGTCTCGGGATGGTGGACATGGCAACGGGCCTCTACATCCACGGGGCGATTTTAGCAGCGCTGCACGCCCGCGCGCGTGACGGCATAGGTCAGAGAGTAGACGCCTCCCTGTTCGAGACGCAAATCAGCCTGCTCACCAGCGTTGGGCTCTCGTGGCTCAACCTGGGCGCGGAGGCCGAGCGATGGGGATGTCAGCACCCGAGCATCGCGCCGTACGACGCATTCCAGACGAAGGATCTGTACCTCGTCTGCGGCGCGACCAACGACGCCCAATTCGCCGACCTCTGCAAGCTCATCGGGCTAGACTCCCTTGCGATCGACGAGCGCTTCTCGACCAACCCAAAGCGGGTGGAGAACCGTGACGAGCTTGGTCCCCTGTTCAATGCTGTCTTCAAGACGAAGACGACGGCCGAGTGGATCGAGGTTTTCACGGGGTCTGGCCTACCATTCGCGCCGATCAACAACATGGAGAGGACGTTTGCGCATCCGCAGACACAGGCGAGGGACATGGTTGCCGAGATGCCGCTGGGCTCGGCGGTGTCCGGCAAGTTCCGTCTCATCGGCCCTGCGGTCAAGTTCAGCGAAACGGCGCCAAGCATTCGAAGTGAGCCGCCGCGTCTCGGTCAACACACATCGGACGTGCTAGCTGAGTTGGGAATGGACGCTGGAGAAGTGGAGGCGCTAAAACAGGAGGGTGTTGTGTGAGCCTGTGCGAGGTCATGAGTGTTAAATTGACAAGATCATCATCATAGCCGAGGCTATTTAAAAAAAAAAAAAAAAAAAAAAAAAAAAAAAAGAAAGAAAAAAAGAAAGAAAAAAAAGAAAAAAAAAGGTGATGGAGGCTTCATGGTATGAAGCCATCTTTAGTTGCCGTGTTGCTCCTGACTGAACAAAAAATGCCATGGAACTCGTTGCCTTTTACCTGTGTATGCTCAACACGGATCTGAACTACCCAGCTAAAAACGTTTCCTGTTTCAAATCGGATTTTTATATTTTATTCTATCAATCCATCAAATGTAAGTTAAGTTGCGTTGCTCCTACCTCTGGCGATGGAGTGTTTGTAGTGTTCTTGGCTTGGATAGTGACAGCATAGCAGCTATTCGAGAAGGAGATATGGCAGAACGTACTTATTCTCAAGGGTTGTATGGTCTAGTGCTATCGAAGATATAACGTAGAGCTTGACGAGGACTTTATCGACTGATACATGAAATGCCCGGTTTCGTATGAATCGTATTGTGGTGGCCCAGTTCACGGACGGACCGATTCAAGCCCGCTTGTTAGTTAGCTTCCGGAGACGGTTTCTTCGAGGAAGGGTTCCTCTTCCTATACATCATCTTTCCCCGCTTGAGCAGAAGGCCATTTCATTTTTGATCCCCTGCAGCAATGTGCCGCCATACCTTGGCACTGTTATTTAGCTTGTGGGGTGAGCAGAACCAAGCTGTTGGGATCGCTGGGGTTCTCCGCACCCTCACCCGACTCCCGAGGAGGCGTCGCGCCCCCGCATGTCCAACCGAGAACATGGAATCCATAATTGATCTCTCTTTTCTTTCGCTTTTTGCTTCATCCTGATGGTTTGGTTCCCCTCGGATCTATCGCTCTTCGCAGACGCTTGGGGCCTGTCTTACCGTCCTAGCTCGTGGCATCTCGGCTTCCCTCATCCTAATACAGGTTCCTGATGTCCATGGCTTCGCCAACTATGACCATCGCGACGCCTACTGGCGGTAGCTCTGATGCCCGCAGTGCCTCTCATATGCAGCGACGGAATAGTACAGATGATCACGGCATTAAGCGCCGAGCGGCCAAAGCCTGTCTGTCCTGTCGTCACCGCAAGGTCCGCTGCGACGTGGTGACCGACGGTCCCCCTTGCACAAACTGCAGACTGGACGGGGTCAACTGTATCATCAAGAAGTCCAATCGGGGTAGGAGGCCAGCGGCTCTTAACCCCAGAGCTGCTCGGCAAGTACAGTCCCCTACACCGCCTGCCCCGGCAATTGCCCCGTCTCCGTCCCCCCAGCTTCGGCCCGCAGTAGTAGCGACAGGCGGCGTACCAAATGAGTTCTTTCCCTCGCTGTACTTTGAAGGTAAGCCGATAAGAACCCCCCCTCAAAAGCACCACTACAACGATTGTGGCTGCCGAGGAGCCGTGGTAATGACTAGGCCATGCAGCTCAACGCCCATACACTCCTCGCTCTGAGTCTGTTGAAGAGATTCAAGTGGAGATGCAGTATCAGCATCAGGTGGAGACCTCAAACACGTCACCTGGGAGGTTGGGGCACGATAGTGCCAGGTCTGGTGGCATCGACGAATGTGCTCAGCCCGACCTTCCAGTATATATTCGACCACTTCCCTCCCGCATCACTGCGGAAGACTACGGCTATCTTACGAGTAAGGATGCGCTACACATACCCGACGAGGAGCTCCGCGATGAGTTGTTGCGGACCTATGTCGATGTTGTACATCCATTTATGCCGGTCCTAGACATTAACAGTTTTCTCACGCCCGTCGTCCGCTGCGATGGCCACAGCCACGTCAGTCTCCTGCTCTTCCAGGCGGTTATGTTCGCCAGCGTGGCCTTTGTAGACGCCCAGTTCCTGCGGACACGAGGCTACCGAAACCGCAAGGCCGCACGCAAGGCATTCTTTAGCCGCGTTCGTCTGCTCTATGGACTCGACTGCGAGCCAGATCGCTTGGCGCTGCTCCAGTCCCTGATGTTGATGACTTACTGGTACGATAATCCAGACGACGAGAAAGATACCTGGCATTGGATGGGCACTGCCTTGTCTCTCGCCCAGGTCCTGGGATTCCACCGTAACCCGGCGCTCTTGAGGCTTAGTTCCCAGGAAAGGAAGCTCAGAAGCCGGATTTGGTGGTCATGCTTCATGAGGGACCGACAGCTGGCCATTGGTCTTCGACGACCTCCAAGAATTCGAGATGACGATTACGATGTTCCTATACTCACTCTTCATGATTTCAACCTCGAACCTCCTTCGCCGGATTTAGCCAGCTTCCTCGGGCAATCAAGTTTCACCGACGCGAACGCGCGAGAAGTTCTTGCCATGCTATGCATCGATCTAGCCAAACTATGTCTATGTATGGGCCATATCGTCTACTCGCAATATACCCTTCTGGGCAATTGCCCGACCGGGTCCGAAAATCTGTTAAAAGTTATCGTTATGCCGAGGTCGGAGGGACAAGAGGAAACGCTGATTAGCTGTGATGCTGGGCTGGAGAAATGGATTCAGAGCCAGGATGAACGGTGCAAGTACACACCGATTTTACCAGCCTCGCCAGAAAACGGCGATAGTATCGCCAAGCGTGTCATCCGGCTTCACCAAGCCGTCCTACATATGCTCTACCTAACCACGGTCGCCGCCTTGCATCGGCCGCATGTCTTCCGCTCCGAACCCGGTGCAGTTGATGGACCCAATACTCAGAGAGCGTCCAGAAAAAAGGTCACGGAAGCCGCCATCGCCATGACCAGACTAGCCTTTGACCTCCAAAGCAGCAACCAGCTGCGTCACCTGCCATCTAGTAGCATCTCCGCATTCCTATCTGCCGCGCTTATTCACCTACTTGACAGCCGTTCGCACGACGAAGGCATCCGAAATGTCAGCATCGGGCGCTTTTATCAGTGTGTGCAGGTGCTGCAACACTTGCAGGACATGTACTCTTCAGCCGACTATACGCTGAACTTCCTCGGTTCCGTCCTGAAAAGGACCGACGTCAACGTCCCTGGTCTCGGGTTCGTGTTTCCATCCGGTCTTGCGGGCGAGCGTATCCAAGATTTGTCGAGATGTGCTCACTCCTTACCGAACCTTCGTGGCACCGCGCGTATCGACACCGCCTACCCAAGCCCATCTGGTTCTGGGAATAACCAGGCTTCTCGGGAGATCCCCGGAGGACCTGAAAGTGGTTCCCAGGTCGACCCGATCCGGGCGTCCACGCCCATGCAGTATACTGCTACAGAGGCCTGGCCATCTAGACAGGGAACGGCAGTCCAGGACCGGCGAGCTGGCGAAATCATGACAGACATGTCGCAGATTAGCTTGTGGGGAGATATGGACAGTCTATTTCCAGCCTTGTTCAACTTTGATGGCGAAGCCAACGCCTCTACGCTGAATAACGGGCCACGGCCCTCGTCAGAATGGCCATTTCCCTCACTAGATTTCGCGCGTCGGGACGATTACTCGAGGGTTTAATTGACACGGCCTTGCTTCGATATGCGAAGGTAGTCTGGCTTTTCTGTGTATAAGAGTTCCCTCCTAGATAGACGTAGCCTCAAGATTAACGTGGCCTACCTAAATACCCGTCACGGTCCCATGATCCATTCCCACAACAGGAGATTTGAACTGAACGAGAGACGAGTGATCAGTAGCCGTCCTCATCTTCCATGCAAACGACCGCTTGGCGGAACAGAGATGGAAGTTGTCATGAAATATAACCCCCTGGATATACACTAGTCGAAAAGAACCTCTATTCCAGCAATCTGGATCCCCTTTCGATTAAAAGGAAGCTCGTGGCGATATATATGCTCGGAGCGAAAGGATGTTCAGAGAAAATGTGCGGAGCCATCGGCAATCAAGAGTGCCGGCGCGTCATCCAAGTAGCCGAGGCGAGGCAATCAAGCCCAGCCAAGTTGTGCCGACGAGACGATGGGCGCAGAGAGGTGTGCCTGGTTCAACAGCGTTAGAACAGCACCTTATGATAAGAAGCCGTGGATCATTTTGCTCTTTTTACGTTTGCTAGGATTTCTTTTGCAGAATGCTGTATGCGTCTTCCGATCCCATCATCGACGAAGAACGCCTCCCACCATGACCATGAGCGCCCTGGTGTTTAAGAGTTTTGTCGGCAGAACCGCTGTAAGGGCCGTCGGGGCCATCGCGTGCAAGACCTACGCCTTCTCTCGAGTTCGGTACACTCCAGAATCCCGCCGTCTGTACTTTTCCTCGTCGCCAAATGGGAAACCCGAAGTTCGCATCGTCGAGGTTGGGCCCAGAGATGGGTTGCAAAGCATCAAAAAGTACATCCCCACAACCACCAAGTTAGACTTGATCAAGCGGCTGGCTGGTGCCGGCCTCACCGATATCGAAGCGACTTCCTTTGTATCGCCAAAATTGGTTCCGCAGCTCGCGGACCACTCCGACCTCATGCGAGAGATGCTCCGTTTCCGGGCCCAGCATCAGCAAGGACACCTGAACCTCCCTGTCTTGATAGCGCCCAGTCTCAAGTATCTCCAAAATGCCCACGAGGCCGGAGCCGAAGACGTAGTCGTATTTGCGTCAGCAACGGAAGCATTCAGCAAAGCGAACCAAAACTGCACCACTGAGGAAGCGCTCTCCAAGCTTGAGGATGTCGCCCGGGGGGCTCTAAGCCTGGGCCTCCGAATTCGAGGGTGAGTTGGACACCAGGCTTATAGCAGAGGCGCAATTGAAGGTTGCTAACTGGACTGCTTTGTCCCAGTGCCGTGTCGTGCATATTTCAAGATCCATTTTCCGGCCCGACACCCCCCTCGGCGGTTTTAGCCGTTGTGAAAAGACTTCTCGAGCTAGGCTGTTACGAGGTTGCTCTCGGAGATACACTCGGTGTTGGCACACGCAAGGACACCCAGAAACTCTTAGAAGTCTTGCTGAGAGAGATACCTGCCGACAAGCTTGCCGGCCACTTCCACGACACGTATGGTCAGGGCCTGGCCAACGTCATGCAGGCCTACGATATGGGCATCAGGACATTCGACAGCAGCGTTGCCGGTCTGGGTGGTTGTCCCTTCGCCCCTGGTGCCAGGGGCAACGTGGCCACCGAGGACGTCGTATACGCCTTTGAAAAGTCCGATATTAGCACCGGCGTGGATCTTGATAAACTCATCACGACTGGGCAATGGATTTCCAAGGAAATTGGAATCCCTTACGGGAGTAGGGCTGGAGAGGCACTAGCCTCGAAACGCACCTCTACCAATCACTCCGGCCAGGCTCCGAAACAGGATCCCAAGACGGCGAGATCGTGGAACGTGGTAGAAGATACCGGTGAATATCGCATTGCGCGCTCAGGTACGGCCATGAAGATTACGCTCACGCGGCCCAAGAACGGAAATGCGTTGACGGATTCCATGCTGGAGGGCCTGACCAACGTTTTCAAGAAACTGGCGGACGACTCGTCCGTATACCATGTCGTTCTGGCGTCCGAGGGGAAATTCTTCTGCACGGGCATGGATCTGAGCGGTAACACGAACACTTCAGATGCGTCGCGCGAGTCCAGCTACTACTCAAAGGTGGTTGACTTGTACGATGCCATTGACCATGTGCCGCAGACTACCATCGCCCTGGTCGATGGGCCTTGTTACGGTGGTGGTGTCGGACTTACATTTGTGTGCGACGTGCGGCTGGTATCTACACGCGCTTGCTGGACCATGAGCGAGGTGAAGATCGGCGTAAGTCCCGCAGTCATCTCCAAGTACATGGTTCGCGAGTGGGGGCTTTCGCTGGCGCGCGAAGCAATGTTATCAGGGCGAGAAGTCAGCCCTGACACGTTGGTGTCAGTTGGAGCCGTCCACGCCGTCGGCACGGACGCAGAATCCTTGGATCGGGTGCTTGACAAGTACCTCGCCCAGCTGGAGAAGTGTGCACCTCGATCGGCTAGTATCAACAAGGAGCTGGCGAGATTGGCATGGTCGGATCCGGAAGGCCGGTCACAGGGGGAGGCTATAGCCAAAACCTTTGCCAACATGATGGTGCAGGGCTCGGAGGGAGAGCATGGCATCAAGCAATTCCAGAACAAAGTCAAGGATTACAGCTGGCGAGAGTTTTGGGGAGAACGGAACCCCTTCAGCGATATCCGTACCAGCTCTACTAGAGTATAGATTCAATCAGCCAGGGAGCCAGGCACGTTGTTTTGCAATTCTCCGATAGACTACAGGTAGTAAAATTGAATCATATATATATGAATGGCCCTACAATTTTCATGTCTCAACGACCGAGGAACATGGTGTGCTTCTTGTCGGCGGAACGACGGTTGAGCTGAAGAAGTGTTTGGGGTTCGCGCAACTACCTGTTCCAATAACAGCGCAAGGAGGAGATATATAAACAAAATAAACTGCTCCGGGAACACAAAGAACGTACAATACATGACCCAAGAGACAGTGTTTGTATTTCAGAAGCCCCTCAAGAGAAAATTGAGAAAGCATCAAAATAGAGGCAAGCTCCTAGTAAGCTCCTAGTAAACTCCTACTACTACATCTCCCGACTCTCACCCACTCCTGAAACGACCCAGGTCAGTAAAATGAACGGAGATCCAGAAAGAAAGAAGGGCCTATCGCTTTTCCTTGGCGATTACAAAACATATCTGTAAAGAGGAGAACGATCCCCAAGATCAAGCAGTTCCTCTGAAGATTGATGTTAGCCAAGTTCCTTGTGGTGGTGATAAGGTCGTCACTTACGCTCCGTGTACCTAGCTCTGACCTCCTCTTCAGAGATCCTGTCTCTCTTCTTGTTTTCCCTGTCCCAGACGTAGCGCAGAACGATAGTGCAGATAATGCCGACCGCCGTGCAAGCCAGGGACATGCCGTAGCCGGTCCAGTATCGGGGCGCTTCATGGGCCAGGAAAATGTTGGAGCCGACAAGACCGCCCATGTTGCCCAAGCTGAGAGTCAGGGCCATGCCAACGGCTCGCTTCCAGGTTGGTGAAAGGTTGTTGGACACCCAAGATACGAGGGTAATTACGGCGGGGTTGATACCGGCGGGAATGGCAAAGAGAAAAGCATACGTCAGGCCGGGCAGTCTCGGGTGGGGGATGGAGATGAGAACAATGAAACCACACAGAGCCACTGCGTATGGTCCAACAATGAAGGGCCAGCGCCGTTGCCGCCGGTCAGCAAGCCGTGAGACTCCTATCGTGGTGAGGAAGCCGGTCACGTAGATCGGGATCGTCATCAGCTGAGCCTCGGCAGCAGTGTACCCTAACTGGTGGATAATAGTCGGTGCAATGAAGATGAAAGCATTGAGCGGAATACTGTTAGGACGAAATGACATGGTCAGTTTTCGCTTCCAGAGAAGAGACCTGAATGATCGGCAGTGGCAAAAAAGACCTACGTGTTTCCCCAGAAAATGAAGACAGTGAACCAAATCTTCCAGTCGAACAGGGCGGACTTGACGAAGGCCCATTGAAAAGCTTCTCCTGTTGAGACTTTTCCAGCGGAAGTGCCAGAATCCTGCTCCAATCGGTGCTTGATCAAGGCCTTCTCGTCAGCATTCAAGAAGCTAGCTGTGGCTGGCGAATCTGGCAGGATCCAGGGAACAGCCGCGCCGACCACCACGGTCACGATACCCTCTATGATGAAGATCCATCGCCATCCCTCTAGATTCCCGAGACCGTCCATCTTCTGCAGCGCGAAGGCAAGGAGACCAGAGAAAGCCCCGGCTAGAGAGGCGGCCGAGAAGAACAAGCCAAAGCGCCACTGGATATCAAACCTGCAATACCAATCGCCAAGGAGGTAGCTAGCGGCGGGGAAGAAGCCGGCCTCGAAGACGCCCAGCAGGAGTCTAGTCGCAATGAGACCACCGGCGTTTTGTACCAGGCCCTGACAGGTCATGACCTATATAGGAGATTCTAAGGTGTCAGCGCTTCGCAAGCTTAGTCTAGGTGTATTAACAGACTCACGGTGCCCCAGATCACCACCAAGATACCAATCCAATTTGATGGCTTCATGAGTTTCAGGATCATGTTGCTCGGGACCTCGAAGAGGACGTACGGGACGAAGAACATCTAAGATACCCATTAATAGCCATGACTTCGGTACTAGTGAATGAAGAAGAGCTTTCTAACCGTCAGAGCCAGGCGGTATTCCGTATCATTAAGGCCCAGGTCTTTGTTCATACCAGCGACCCTGGCGTTACCGATATTGCCCCTATCCAGGAACGAAAGGACATAGAGCAGTGTCAGGAGAGGAAGAAGCCGCCAGTCAATCTTGCGTAAAATTCGCTTCGTCTCGTAGTCGCCATAGAGAGGGAGGTTCTCTTCCTCAGGACGGCTACAGCTCTCAAGTTCGGTCAGAGCCGCAGCCTGCTTGACATTCTCAACATGGCCGAGGTCAAGGGCTTTGCCAGTGGTAAGAGTCATGATAATGACCACCTGATTCAACAGGATGCGCCGGAAGACTTGGTTTAAAAAGACTGAGATAAGAAGATGCAGAGGCGAAATGGGCACGAGCTATTGAGAAGCGCAAGTCAAATAGTCTATCGGTGGAAAGTGTATTGACAAGTCAAGATGTCCCCTACGAGATCGGTGTCGAGGTCTCTGGGCCTGTTGGAGGCCACCGGAGATATAAGAGCTTATACACAATCTTCGGTCAGACGAGGAGAAGGTCATTTTCCCCAACTCTCCCCATGGGGTAGACCCTGAGGCTCGGGACTTCCCCGCACCCTAGCCTGGATGCGGAAAGGCCTCTTTGCCTCTTAAGCAAGGAATAAGTGTTTGACTCGTGTTGCTGGACATCAAAAGGGGAACAAAAGCACAGCTCTATGACCCAACGGTTGGTCAATGAGCGTGATCTTGCCAAGGTGGCACGAGCGCCGGCTATACAAAAATAGGCCAGCCAGGTCGCCGAGGCGAACTCGCTCTAACCACCACTTGCCTCCTGGCTTATTGCCGTTTGGATTGCGAGGTATTGGCTGCGAGAAGTGAAGGGATTCTCACGAGGTAGCGGTTTTGAGACAGACGCAACGCCAGAGCCGAGGCCATGGACTCAAGTAACCCCACGCTCTCTCTTTGGACGTCATCGTCCATCCACATCGAGGGTCATCATGATGGCGCTGCTTCCGGTACGATTCAAGACTGGACTGGGCCAATGCCGAAGATATAACTCTCAAATGCATGGCAACTCACTTACACATTTTAAAGAGTTTTTTGGTTGGAATCACAGAATGAGGATTGTGGTTGTGGATCATAAACCATGTATCATGTATTTCGCCTCTATCACGTTGCCTACACTTACACCCCAGATCAAAGATGTTGTAGATGCGAGAAATTCCTCATTCAGAGTAATACACTCTTGTCGACCCCATGAGTCCACTACCGAGGTTCCTCAGCCGAGAATATATGCTCTCGTTGCTCTCGGCCACTCTCTCAAGACCCAAGCCGCGGGCCGGCAATATCCATGACCTGCGCGGATCTTGGCCTAACGTGTGCTCCCCCTGCTAAGTTTCTTGTTTATGCATTCATACTGGAGGAGAGTCAGTATCCAGGCGTCCGACGGATCCACGGCTCAAGACTTACTTGATCAGTACAGTCTTGGGCTCCGTAAATGCACGAAGAGCCTAATCATCCGTATGTATCAGCATAAGATATTCCTCACATATGCTGGGGATAAACCAGCGATGCGGAGCAGAAGCAGATGTGGGTGGACGGATACTCACATATTCGCCAAATTCCCTCCCAATACCAGACTGCTTTCGGCCGCCGAACGGGGCTTGCATGCTCGTCTGATCAATGTATTAGCACCAGCTCAGCAATGCCTTGAATTTTCATACTCACAACGCTAATGCAGTTGATGCCGACCAGGCCAGAGTCTACCTTGGAAGAGACCCTCAGTGCGCGGGCAATATCTTTGGTAAACACACCAGCAGTAAGCCCGAACTCGGTGTCATTGGCGGCCTTGATCACCTCTTCTTCCGTGTCAAAAGTCATGACGACTGCTACGGGCCCGAAAATCTCTTCTTTCAGAATTTGAGCATCGGGCTTAGGGTTCAGGAAGACTGTGGGTTCGATGAAGCAACCGTCACTGCCGAACCTGGAACCCCCGACAACAAGTTCCGCTTCTTGTGTGCCCCTGGCAATCATAGCTTTGACTCTCTCGAATTGCCCCTGATCGACTAGAGGGCCAACTGTTGTGCCTGCTACTTGGGGGTCACCCAGTCGTTCGACGGCATCAGCCATCCGCTCTCTGTAAGCCTGGATGAATTTGCCCGCGATGCCCTTTTGTACGTAAACTCTCGAGGAAGCAATACAGAGCTGGCCACATCTAGTCAAGATCCCGTTGATAGTCCTGCAAGCACAGAGTTAGTTAGTCGCCCTCCTCGTGGTGCTTGGCCCCTCACCAGGGCCAGCTTACCAGGTAAGTGCATTCTCAAGATTTGCGTCGTCAAAGATGATGGCCGGACTCTTGCCGCCTACCCAGGAATTAGTAAATCATTCTCCCACTAACCTCCGCGGATTGACTTGGCAAATTCTTACCGAGCTCTAGCGTAACACGCTTTAGGTTGCTCTGTGCTGCTGCTTCTTGAATCTTCTTTCCGGTGAGGATACTGCCAGTGAAGCTGATCTACACGTGGAGGCTCAGCAACAACCCGCATATGAAGGACTGGGACCCAAGGGGGCAGTATGACATACCTTGCGAATACGCATATGCTTCGCAAGTAAGGCGCCCGTCGTACCATCGCCGCTCAAGACCTGTACAACGCCTTTCGGAAATCCGGCTTCTTCAAATAGAGTGGCTATAGCAAGAGAGCCCAGAGGAGACTTTTCCGATGGCTTGACGATCAGAACGTTTCCAGTCGCAAGACAGGGAGCGGCTTTGAGTATAAACGAGGCCACAGGGGCATTGAAGGGGTTGATGGCCGCGCACACACTTATGAACAGGTCAGCACGCATATCTATATCGGCCTAGCAAAGCAGGCGAGGATCTCCTACCCAAGTGGCTCATGGCGAACTAGTTTGACGAAGCCGTCATCGTCGGGGAAGTAATCCCCTCGCTGCTTGTCAGTCCAGCCAGCTACCGAAACCTTGAGTGTTAGTCAATGGCGACGATATTCCGACGGCTCAAGTTGAGACAAGCCCCGGTAGGTAGAACGAAAAAAAAAAAAAAAGGAAGAAAAAGAAAACAAAGACAAGGAAACCCGACTCTGGACTCACCGTAGTACAAGACACAACTCCGAATGTAGCCCTTTTCTCGCGTGGCCATCAGCGAAACCGGATTGCCGGTGGTGAGCGAGTCAAGGTACATGATGTCATCTAGGCGAGATTCGAGGAGTTCAGCAAGCTTCAAGAGACAGGTCGTTCTCTGACTTGCCGAGAAGCTGCTCCATGGACCCGCGAAGGCGTCTTCGGCGAGACGGACGGCGAGCTCGACATCCTCCTCTCCAGCAATAGGCACATTATCCGCCACAACAGTGTTGTCCTTGGGGTTCAGAAGCGTCAACGTCTTATCGGATCGCGCCTCGACATATTCTCCGTTGAGGAAGAGCTTGCCGAAATCTTTGGGGTTGAGGATTGGGGTCGACATCATGACTGAAGTCTCTCAGATCAGTGGTGATACTAACGAGGGAAGCTGAGGGTACGTTGTCACAAGAAGGATGAATATGGGATTCTTTCCCCATTGATCCCTCTCCGACAGGTAGGGCGACTAATATTTGGATAGTAAATTAGGTGAACTATGACGCGAATCTAGGCTATCGCCGACTCGCTCGGCATCGAGGAGTTTCGTGGGAGGATTCATCGGCGGCAAACTCTCACTGCTTATCTCCGGAGTCCGCACCTTCAACCCCTCAAAACAAGCCCAGCACCCGCCTAGCTCTAGTGTCCTCGGCATCCGTCTCAAAATGTCGGAGAACGCTCTCGGTTATACTGTCTCGGCTATCAAGGCGTCTTGGGGGCAACTACGGTGCCGGTGGATTTCGGGCTCGGTCGAGATTATCCTGGCAGAGATAATAACACCATGAAGGCAGTAGTGCTCCGTGGGGACTTTGACGTCGTGGTTGAGGATCGTCCGAAGCCGAACATAACAGCGCAGACAGACGTGATCGTGAAGGTGATCACTTCGGGACTATGCGGCTCGTGAGTGTAGCCCATGGACAGTGGGTTCCCAACATGCATCACCCTGCTGATATCTGAACCGGTCAGTGACTTGCATATGTACCGCGGACACCAGAAAACGGGCGTTGGCCAAATCATGGTATGCTCCCTTCACCCCATAAACTCCTTCTGGGCTCGTGTTGTGCCTGTCAAAATTGGTAGTACACAACTGATTTCAAATTTCCACCCAAAGGGACATGAGTTCGTAGGTACTGTTGAATCAGTTGGCCACAAGATCACCAAGTTTAAGCCCGGCGACAAGGTGGTTTCCGTTTTCGCGACTATCTGGTGAGTGCTTCGCTCCCTAATGTCCTGAGCGCAGCCCCAGCTTATGGGTGATGTACGTACGCCTCGTGGAAAGTTGACATTCGCGCAACCGTAGCCAGGAATGTTGGTTCTGCCGCCAGGGCCTGGAAAGCCGCTGTGAGACCACACTAGCTTTCGGCAGTCCCGCACTCGACGGTGGGCAGGCTGAATACGTGAGAGTCCCTCACGGCGATGGGACCCTACAACACGCACCTGCCCATCTAGATGACTCCCTCCTCATCATGATGAGCGATATCTTTCCGACCGGATACTACGGTGCTATGCGAGCCATAGGTTTCTTGCAACGACCGTTGCTCCCCCCCGCAGACGGAAGCGGTATAGGGTTTGGTACACAGAAGCTTAGCGAAGCCGTCTTCGTCGTCCTAGGATGCGGCCCAGTAGGTCTCTGTGCTCTTCTGACGGCGAAAACAAAAGGTGTCAAGACCGTCTACGCCGTGGATTCTGTGGATCAGCGTCTAGAGCAAGCTCGATTGTTCGGCGGCATTCCCTTGAAATTCGGCGTCGACGATGTTCCGCAGATTATCAAGCAGGCTACTGATGGTCGCGGGGCCGATGGCATTGTTGAGGTCGTGGGCAACAAGGCTGCTTTGCGATCTGCTTTCTATCTAGTTAGAAAATGCGGCGTCTTGTCCTCGATCGGCTTCCACCATGGGGATCTACCCTTCACCGCTACCGAGGTGTACGCGAAGAATCTCACGTACGTCCGATGGCGAAGGCCGCCCCTTCTTCTTCACCGTTTCCTAGGGAGTTGCCTCTCTTTATCTCCCAAGTTCGATTGCTGTTTCAGTAGGCTGACGGCGATTTCTGCAGTGTAAACTTCGGTCGTGCCGCTAGCTCAAAGGTCTTCGACGAGGCTTTGGCTTGCCTCGAGGCCAATAAAGATAAGGTCTCTACCATTGTGTCTCATACCTTGCCTTTGACAGATGCCCAGCATGGCTATGAGATATTCGAGAAACATGAGGCTCAAAAGGTCTTGTTCAAGAGCTGAGAAAAGCTGAACGACGGGCGAAATGTAAGTTTCAGCCGGAATATGAATACCAAGTCTCCATTGCCCGTGAGAGATTTGGGATTTGGGCTCAAACGTGCCTCATCCAGCGAAGGGCCGCAAGCTCTCAGTGCGTGCTGCTTTCGTGCCACCTCGTCGCGTATTTTGTCGTCCCATCACGCGGAGCCGTGCCCGGAACCCGAAGTCCAATGAGACCACAATCTCACATTGTCGCCTCTCTTCAAGGACCCCATTTTGATTTTGCTTGATCATGGCTCAGGGCATGCTCTCCAACGGTTGACGAATATCACTGCAACAAAGATTGTCTGGGAACTCTTAGCAATAGTAATTTCAGTTCGTTTTACTTATTTATAGATGCCGCCCGTTGGGGAATGTCCTCCCGTGTCTCCTGCATCCCGTCCGTGGACCCGCATCCCCGTACCAAAGAGCCGGTCTGTTAGCTAGAGCTGTTATTCTCGGCAGTGAAAATGGGCCCAATGGTCGCATCATTCTTCCGTTCCCCATCTCGGTAGAACACCCAATGAGACCGGGCAGCATTAGGCCCTGCCCCAGGGTACGGTCCCAATCCTTATATTGGGACGGTATTCCCAGTTTACAGTTTCTTCAAATGCCGCCGCATCATCAATAAACCCTCCAGCGCTATGACGGCAGTCGGCCCATCGCCAACTGCAGGAAACACCTGATATGCATTCCTATCGCAGCATCAGGTTACATCAAATTTTAAGATATTGGACGCCGGGCCGGGAATATCATCGAAGTGCTCCCGTCGTTGATGATGTGGTTCCCAAGAGAGCCGGGATGACTCCAAGCGGTACAGACAACGGCGGCTTACGACACCTAAAAGCAGCATATAACAGAGCAGTCTTCCTACGTGACGGACCGCGGAGGCTCTCTGCGCGATGTTCTGGCACGGTAATCGCCCGCTTCTTTGCTGCTCCCTATGCTGTCTTCTCAGTACAAGTCTCCCTCCCTCACTTTGGCTTACACGGTAACATCCATCATGGTTGATATCCAAGAGGGACTCATCAACATGGTTAAAGACTGGGACACAGCCCTCTTCAAATCCAACATCATGGCCCACAGCGCCCTCGCCCAAGTCTTCAATCTCCCCGTGATCATTAGTAGCAGCGCGTCAGTGGGGCCCAACGGCATCGTTCCAAAGGAACTCGTTGCAATGCACCCCAATGACACGATTATCGACCGCAGCGGCGAGGTCAATGCCTGGGACAGCAAAGACTTTCGTAATGCAGTGCAGGCGTCAGGTAAGACGCAGATCATCGTTGCTGGGATCATGACGGATATCTGTAAGTTTTGCTTCTTCTCACGCATCTTACAGACTAAGAAACACGACCGCTGATGGGGAGACCTTTGTGTGCAAATCAGGGCACAACGTTCCTGTCCTTTCTCTTCGTGAGGAAGGATACGGTGTCTAGGTTAACGCCGAGGCATCCGGAACAACTTCCATCTTCGTCCGCGATCTCGCCAATCTGCGAATGATGAGTGCTGGCGTCCACGTCATGTCGATGTTATCAATAATGTCTGATCTCATGCGCTCCTGGGCAGACACCCCGGGGTAGTCGCAGCTACGAAGTACTGGTGGATATCTTAAAGATCAATGGATTCGCAGAAGCAAGGCACCGGCCTTTCCTCAGTGACGACACGAGCCAAACCAAGGTCGGGCTTGATACGAGGGTAGAGGGAGAATGGCCTCGATGCTCAGGGTATACTCCGCATCTTAATGCAGTTGAGCTGACAATTGGGTGCTTTCTTTTGGACTCGTATTCGGCAAAAATAGCCAGGAACCAGATATCTTGAGAAGGAGAGCTGGACAAGAGAGAAGCCGACTGACAACAAGTGCTGCCTACTTCCTAGTGTGTGCCAATTGACCTCGGGTTGCCGAATCTTGATATCGATTGTAAACTCCCTTTGTACCTCCGTATCGACCTCCATCGATGATAACGGAGGATATCAAATCCTAGGTTTATTATCAATCAGTACCAACGCAGTCCTCATCTTCTTAAGAACTGCCTTAAACTGCCTTGGAGATTCAATGAGCCGATCTCTTAACACCCCCCTCTTAAGTATCAATTTTTTCTCACGCATTGTTTATTGCCTTCTTCCCATTATAAAACTCTTCCCATTATAAAACTCTCTGTCAGGGACTTCCATGCCTCCATCGCTTCCGATTGATCCTTTGGCCGTCATGGATCGAAACCGATGATTTTTGCCTCGGCAATTTGCCCAGAGCTCCGAACCCCAGTGAACTAGTGGCATCAAATGGATCAGCCTAATGCCCCTGATTCTCCGCGCCCACCCCCGGTGCCGATGAGATTTACCCCAGCACTACCAGCAGTGGGGTAACGTGGGCAATCCACACGCAGCCATAGGCACTAATCCAACCCCTACAGCTCATTCGCCAGCAGTACGTACCCAAGCACTGGGACGATTCGCACACGATTTCCCAGGGGCTTCGAACGGCTGCCGAAATTGGACTCCAGCCCCAAAACGAGCGCAAGCCCGACTCCGCGGCATTTAGGAGCGGCTCGAGGCACGAGATTCAATAGAACTCAGAAACACTCGCCCTGCAGGGTTCGGCGTAAATTGCCCATATTAAAAAAGTGTTCCCATGTGCCAAACCCCCCAAGCTCCAACTTGCGCCTGAACAGAAAACGTGGAAACGAACCCCCCTGGAGAATCTAATTTACGGATCGATCCATCTTCCTCTTCTTGTTCCTTTCTTAATTCCTCATATTTTAAAGTCGCGAGCGAAGTCTCTCTTGAATATCCAAACCGAGTTGTCCGGAGCATCGTTGATTTTTCTCAAAGCTCAATATCTAACTCGAAGAAGAAGAAAAAAGTTCTCTCCGAAATCGCCATGACCTCCCCAGACAAGAGCTCCGCGCCCTCCAAGGCCAAAAAGCTACCCCTCAGCCTAATCCTCGCCCTCACCCCCTCCAACATCGACGCCTTCCTCTCCCACCTCAACCGCTGCCTCGAGACCCCCTCCGGCATCGACACCGTCCTCCTCTTCGTCGGCTACGCCTCCCGCCTCGCCGCCTCCCTCATCGACTCCGCAACCGACGGCACCGTCGAGCAGCACGCGCGCCGCCTCCTCTCCCTCGTGCCCCTCGAGTCCGCAAAGGCCCTCGCTGCCGTCGCCGTCGTGCCTTCGAAGAATGCTACGGCTTTGAGGGCCGCGGCTAGCCTTAGGGCCATCTATAGCCTCCTTACCGACGTCCGTACGTTCATGCGGCTTTGGGGTCTGTTGGGCATGTACATGGCTCTTAAGCAGCTTATCCGCAAGGAGATCGCTATCCGTCGCGGCGACAAGACCGCTGGTGCTGCTGGCAAGGAGGAGCGCATCGACCGTGTCATCGCCTGGACGAAGCTCATTGGGGGTATTGCGTTCCAAGTTCTCGAGAACGGCGCTTTCCTCGCCCAGAAGAACATCATCGATTGGACACCCGCTACGCAGTTCAAGGCTATGCAGTGGAGTGTCCGCTTCTGGGCGGTGACCGTCGGTGTCGAGCTCGGAAGGCTGGCCATCGAGAAGGTGCGCAAGGAGACGGGCGATATCACCACCGCCGAGCACCAGGAGTGGAGGGCCAACTGGAATAGGTCCGTCGCGAGGAACTTGGCCTGGGCGCCTTTGACGGTGCATTGGAGTATGGATAAGGGCTTCGTGAATGATACCATGATTGGTGTGTTGGCAACCATTCCTGGTCTCATCCAGATTCGTCAACTCTGGAAGGCTACTGCTTAAAAGTTGGATGTGGGTTTCGGTGAGGGTAAGTGGGGATTGGGGATTCGTGACATATCTCTCTCATGAGACATGTGGAACAAGGGACACTCGTCTCTTTTCGTTTTCATACGTTTTTTCTTGCTTGGTCTGGATCAACTCGATGTGGGATGTGCTGTTTTTGTTTGGAGTCACCTAGTCACCTAGCTGGTTCGATAACAATGGGCTGGTTAGGTATTTTGGGATATAATTTTTGGGTTGGGTCTCATGTCAATTGCCTTTACAACTCTCCCCTTTTTGTCTGTCTCTGTTTTAGATTGTTTTTTTAAAGCTGGGGATTAAGTTTTTAATGTACATAGATTAGCTTGGAGGTGGAAACGTATATATACTTTGATCTTCTTTTGCAATCACAGCCAACCCGTAAACCCTTAAAAACTCAAGATTTCCCACATCTCCTCAATGCTCCAATACTTCCTCATATTCTCCGCCCGCAACGTATGTACTTCCTCATCCAAATGCCTCCATAACACATCCCCCCACGACTCCATCTTCCCCCTCAACGCCTCCCAATCCAGCTCCTCCTTCCCGTCCCGACATGCCCTAACATACGCTTCAAACTCGACCAGCCCCGCGTGGATGGCCTCATGCTGCGTCAGGAGCTCCGCCTTGCCGCTTCTCCTCTCGCCGTCTTCGTCGATACCCAGCTCGGCGCGGAACTCGGGCATCTTTTGCGCTAGGACGGGGAAGACGTACGCTTCCTCGATGTGGTGGTGCATCTGGAGTCTTCGGCAGAACTGGATGGCACGCGTGAGGAAGTGGTCTTTGCTGGCGCCTGTTAGTGGGCGTTTGTCTTGGCAGGCGGTTTGGAACGATTTCCATTCTGTGCGGAAGTACTCGTGCTTTAGGGGAGTTCCATTTTCCTCTTGTGTTAGAAAATTTCTTGAATTCTTGGGCTCTTGAGGATGTGAGAGTCAAGGAAGGCGGGTGAGAACGCATACAAAGTTGTTCATCTTCACTGAGAAGGCGTTGAAAGTGCTGAATTCCTCAGCAGTCATCCCATGTCCCTTCTCATCATCACCAACTCCACTACACCCGTCCGGCTGGGCAGAGGTAGACATGTTTCTCAACGATACCGCCAGAAGCGAAAGGTTTGTATTCGTAGCCCTCACGGTGGGAGAGACGAGGTATCGGGTTCTTCTCACAGAATTACCGCCTAGGGGAAGCGTGAACTTGGGAGGAATGCCCAGCCAACGAGGAGAGGGCAAGAGGTTCGAATTTAAGCTCCTAGTCGCTAGTCGCCTCGCGTGAAAAGCCATGCTTTGATTCTACGGTGAAGATTTGGAAAGCTACAAGTAGATACTTGGCGCGTCCGCAGTGAGCAAGCCGATGTCGTCCAAAGCTTAAGCTGGGACACGGCGCGCCGAGTTCTCCACCACCCATTCATCGCCTTTTACTCGGTGATCCCTGCGTTAGATCGTATTCCCTCGTATCCCATTTGCAGCCGTTTTGCGTGAACTAAATCCAAGTCCCGTCCTAAGAAAAAGCTGTCTAAGCCGATTATTAATTCAAGGGTCCGTTTACGTCAGCGAGGTGCATGAGGTCTCCAAGTTCAAACGACGCAATATTGACTTGGAAGACATCAGGCCTCAAGCATCACGTAAAAGGGAGTCGCTGTGAAGAGGGCGCTCTCCTTCCATGTGCCTAGAAGTGTGATATCGATTGTGGGGGCACGGATTCAGCTTTCGTTGGCGGAGTACCACTGCAGGGCTAGGTATCCCATGCGACCCAGTAGATAGACCTCGCTCTTAGGCTTCGCAGGTTTGAGGATAGGACATGGACCGACACTCTACGCTCGACTATTGTCGCGATGCCTACGACTCCGTTACACCAAAACGTAGGGAGAGAGACCATACATTATAGTTATCCGCTTTATTCCGAACTACCTAAAAACAGGCCTGGCAATCACATCGAGTTTATACGAAGCTCCCTCTTGGAACGAACTACCGAACCCAATGCAAGGCATGATAAAAAGAAAGAAAAAGGGAAAAACAGGAAAACGATGAAAAGTGAGAGAGAGAGAGAGGTCAATAGTAGTAAAAAGACATTTAAAAAGAAAAAACCAAGGCATCCATTTTCCCCCGCTTTCGTTATACCCCAATTTCTTGCATTTTCTTTATACCGTTCGTTCATCAGAGCTTTTCTTTCATCCTCGTACCGCCGCGCCCAACGCCCCACCAGTAAACTGCGTACCGCCCGCCTGGCGCTGCGTATGTCCGCCCGTCCGGGCCCCGCCGCGTCCCGTCCTCTGTCCCTGCCTAGCACCGCCCCTTCCGCCGCGGCCGCCTTGCCTCTCGAAGGCGTTGGCCGACCCTTGCGTCCTCTGCTCGAGGGTCCTCTCGTTGGTCTCGATGAGGGCGCTGGCCTTGTCGGAAAGCGCGAGCGAGAGACCCTGAAGCCTGCTGAGCTCGACGCCCTTGTGGAAGATGATGGTGGAGGCGGTGTTATCGAGAGACGCGGAGAGCTCCTCGTGGCTCATCATCTTCATCACTACGGCGGATACCTTGGCGCCGTCTAGCTCGAACATATCGCTGAGCGTGGATACGGAGAGGGTGTCGTAGAAGGGCGCGTACGTGAAGAGGTAGGTCCGGAGACCTTCCTCTTGGATCTGCTTGGCGAGCATGGCCTTGATGTCGTCCGTGTTCGGCATCAGGTCCCAGATCTTGATGTTGTGGATGAAGGTGATGGCCTTCTTCCACTCGCCCGCCGCGAGCGCCTTGGACGCCTGCATGACGTGGTCGCGAGTGTTCTCGGGAGGCCCCGTGAAGATTTGTCGCTCGTGGTACTCGAGCATGCGGCGGTACGTCTTGCTGATGACTCGCTTCCTTATGTCGGGAGAGGAGCCGGTCTGAGCGAGGAGGGGGATCTCAAGAAGCATGCTGCACGTAAGGTAGACGCATTCTAGAAGCTCCAAGTTGATGTGCATGTGGAAGGGCAGTTGCCTCTGCTTCTCGAGCTTCTCCTGCTCCGGAGAGATCTGGCTGTGCCTCTGGATGATGACACCCTGGGCGAGGAACTCCTTCTGCCGTCCGCTTCCGCAGACCTCTTGGAGAGTGTTCTGAGCGTCGTACACGAGGCCCTTGCGGAAAGCGCAGAGGCCGACTTGTACGATGGTTCGGTTGTAGAGGATTTGGGTCTGGATGTCGAAGTTGGGGATGGTCTCCTGGAGATGGGACATGAGAGACATATCCCTCGCCTTGTAGTAGTCACCATGGAGAGCGAGGAAGTAGACGTGGCACAGCATGGCACGCGCCCTGATGATACCCTCGCTGTTGTTGAAGAGGTAGTTGGAAAGCACTTGGACGAGATCGGTAGGGTCGGCAACCTGGGCTCTGGGCGTGATGGTGGACTCGACATCCTTGCCAGCCGCAGCCCAGGAGTTGTCCTCGATAATCTTGACAACTTGGGCAGGCTTGAAGTAGACGTGCTCTAACCGCCTCATGACAATACGGTTGATACTGTCTTGAGGGACATTGAGAGACTCATCCTTGCGAATGGTCTCGTAGTAGAGCATGCCGCGGAAGATGATGTTGTAAAGGTCACCCTCATCCTGGAGTCGCTCGATGTACTCCGAAGTGTGGGGATCGATGCTCTGGAGCGACCGGACGAGCTCATCGTCAAGCCTCTCAATATACGAGACAACACTTCCGGGAACCTTGATGTACTTCTCGCCCTCCTTGAGGGTCGGGGGCTTCTCATCGTCATCCCACTCTTCGGCGTTCTCTACAACGACGTAGTCGGGGTTCTCACCCAACACGGTGAGGAGGAGCGAGAGCTCCTTCTCGGCAGCCTTCCAGTGCTCTAGAGGCATGGAGGTGGCGGCGCCGGAGCCGAGATCGAACCTGGTGGAGACGATCGTGAGGAGGACCCGAATCTTCTGGTAAGGAGTGTTGGCAATTTCGAGGAGCTTCTCCATCACCTTAATCTGCTCCAACCGATCGGTGTTCTTCTTGCCACGGCTCTCCATGATGCCTCGGAGGTGCTTGAAGATGCTCTCGGGAGTGTACTGGACGGCCTTGCCACGCCTGTCGACAGGGGCGAAGCCCTCCTCGTCGGCAACCTCGGTAGTCTCGTCCAAGAGCTGAACAGCCTTGAACTTCTTGACCACGGGCTTCACCTCCTGCTCCTCCTCAGACTCCATAAACGCATCATTATCGGCCCTGTAGGCATCAACTTGCGCCTGGTACTCCTTGTTCTGCTTTCGGATCTTCTGCTTGACGGCGTTCAATCCACGGGCGCTAGTGGCGTTCATCTTCTTGGGAGTGACCTTTTGCTTCGCGATGGTCTCGTTCATGTAGTCCTCGAGTTCAGCAACCGCTCTGATGTACGTCTTGGGAGCCTTTCCAGCCTCTTGGAGCTTGACGACTTGTCGGTTCAGTTTATCGTATTCTGAAAACGAGACAAACGCGTTAGCACTTTTCTTCTTCTTCGCAAATGGCATTTCTCAGATGGGGCTTCATCAGAATCCTTACCTGTCGCGATGGAACCCCAATCATCAATCTTCTTCGCGTTCTCAATAAGCTTGATGATTCCCTCAAGCTCCTCGAACCGCTTATCCTTGGCACTTAGAACTTTTCGAGCCTCGCCCTCACTCTCCTCGCTCTCCGATTCATCGCCAACCAAGAAACGGGAGGCACCCTTCTTCGCCTCCTCGCCATCACTTTCATCTGAACTCTCCTCCTCCTCCTCTTCCTCGGAAGATTCCTCCTCGGATGATTCTTCTTCCTCCTGCTGCTCTAGCTCCTCCTCCTCGGAGTAGAGATCTTCCTCGTCAGACGAGGAGTCGCTGGAACTATCGTCCCGGCCTCGGAAAAATCGCGACATGTTGGGCGTGCGGTCGGATAAAACTTGAAACGGAAAGAAAATCGACGTTCGTTGACGGTGTGTTGTCGAAAATTTCGGGGGAAGAAAAAAACTGTCGCCTCGAAATCGATAGGTTTTTTCCTTTTGGCCGTTTCCGAGTTCTGGGCGGCGACCTGGAAATCTTGCCTGGAGGGGTCAAGCAAAAAATCGGTAAAATTTGGTGGGGAGGGCTTTCATGTGTGTGCCTGTGTGCAGACGGCGTTGTGAGGGGCCCACAAAACGGCTGCCGATGATGAGCCGGGCACCTGCCAAGTCAAAATGCCACCTGGCGGGAGGCGAAAAAAGTTCGTCGGCTGCTGCTCCACACGCTGACAATTCAAACCTTTCCAGTGGTAGTTTCTTACTGACGTCGTGGAACTGGTGAGCCATTGACTTGATCCCTCGCTCTTTCTCTCAGTTCCACCATGACTAAACTCCCAAACTGAAAACGAAGTATCTTGATGGCTTCTGTTTGCTTTTCGAACCTTTGTTACCAACACTAGTGATAAAGCTAGACGGCCTAGTTACTGAAGAGTTCAAAGACTCCAAAGAGCAAGGGGACAAACGCTGCCATGGCCACAATCCGCTGTGTCGCTTCGTGCTCTGGCGCATCGGTAGCAATCAGACCAGCCACCACACATATCTCTCACAACATCCGCCCTTTATCCACACAGTCATTCGGCACCATTCCTTTCACACAAGCGACCCTCATTCGAAGCATATGGTCGGCTCATCAGCCCTCAAAGAGACTACAAAGGTTCTCATTCCAAACTCAACCCTTCTCAACCTCAAGCTCTCGACGGAAAACGATATCCCTCACAGAGCCTCGGCAAGATGACGATGGCAAGGAGATGCTTCTCGAGATAACGCCCCGCGCCGCGCAGGTATGTCTCCCCGAACCCCCAACGCCCAAGCGCTTTCTCAATTGTTCCTGACAAACTTCCCCTTTCGCAGAGGCTCTCCCAGATCATGAAATCTAGCAATGATCCGGGCTTTGCCCTGAGGATCAAGGTCCAAAGCGGCGGCTGCCACGGCTTCCAGTACCTCACCACCAATGACTCCGTAGCCGACTTGTCCGGCCTAGAGGAAGACGAATGTGTGTTTCGCTTCGTCGAGGACGATGCCGCGGACGTTGACAAGTCCCTTGATGGTCCCAAGATCGTCATCGATGAGGCGTCTCTCATGTCGCTGCAGGGAAGCAAGGTCGACTACATCCAGGAACTTATTGGGTCCAGGTTTGAGGTCACTGATAATCCCTTGGCGGAAAACAGCTGCGGATGTGGCAGCAGCTTCAGCATCAAGTTATAGTCTGGCCTCTCATCGTTTCTCTCATGAGCCTACTCTTTTTCATGCCCACCCCTCTTGGTTTGGCGTCTTACCCCTCCATGTATACCTTCCAAGAGCTGGAACCCCTACACAAGGGTTTGAATGTACATTACATTGCCGTCGCATATAGACACATCCCCCATTGCATCGCGAGGCCTAATGATTTCAACGAGGGCAGGGGTTATGTTCATCAGAAACCCGCGTTGACCCTCTTCACACATGGAGCACAGTCACATACACAGTCGTACGAACGTACAGAGCACATACGCATAAGCGGATACACACACATGCACACGGACAACTATAATGGGACATTTCAACGATCTTTGTGTCATAAAAAAGAGTTTGCCCTGTTTTAATTTACGTCAAACGCCGATGCCCTGCCCCCATGCTAAAGTCATAAGCACGTATGAAGAAGATAAACTATTGATTTTGTTTTTTTTCATAACTCTCTAGTTCATCTGTCGGATGAGAGCGTTAATCTTCTCCTCACGGTTACCAAGGTCACCACCCTCGATCCAGTGCTTGAACTTGCGGGTCCTGAAGCCGCCAGTGGGGTTGCTGAGCTTGAAGGGCCAGAGGAAGTTGGAGGCCTGCTTGAAGTTGGGGCCGACGGTGTAGATCTCGTGGATGAGGTCCTCCATGCAGACAATGCCGTACTTGCCGAGGTTCTCCTCAATGATGGAGTTATCGGTGAGGGCGATGCGCTGCTTGTTGACCTTACCGTAACCACGCTTGTAGATGAGGTCCTTGACGGTCTTGAGGTTGGGGTAACCGTAGGCGACCCAGGGCTCGACAAGCTTGATCATCTCAGAGGTGGCCTTGGTGATGCGGATGAAGACACCGTTGTTGATCTGGAGAAGACGGAGAAGCTGTAGGATCTTGCGGGGCTTGGGGGGGACCTTGGAGACACTATTGCGAGTGGTTAGAAGGAGCTCAGAGTAAAAGCTGTTGGTGGGATATAATCTTACCCCTTGATGCGGATGACGAAGATGAGCTTGGCCTCAGCAGGGATGTAGGCGGCATCACCATCCTTGGCGACACGGGCGAGACGGAGCTTCTCCTGCTCAGCCTGGCGGTACTCCTGAACGTACTTCTCAGCACGCTTGAAGATCTGGGCACGCTTCTCCTTGTTGGCCTGATTGACATAATGATGTTAGCAAGCTGGAGCCCCAGTTGAAAAATAAACATCCAAAATATTAATCCCATTCCAATGGTATAGTGTCAGACCCGAAAGAAGGTTAAATTGTATCAACAGCATAGACTACTGTCTAGTTGATAGGTTTGTTATGCATCATAATCACCACCTCCATAAAATGAACAAGACGAAAGAGATTGACACACCTTCTTCTGCTGCTCGATATCGGCAGCACGCTCGGCGCGGGCCTTCTCCTGGCTCTTCCTCTTCTTGAGGAGAGTCTCAGGGACGAGGATATCGTCACGGGTGGGGACAGTCCTGTACACGGGGGAGGAAAAAGCCAGATTAGCAAGTAGTCCCAACATACCGTGGTATGGAGCAGAGCGCCGGCGCGAGAATTGTAGCTTGTGCGACATTCTCTGCTTTGGCTAACTCGAGATATATTTTATCGGTGAGAGCGGAGCTAACAAGATGTGTTCTCGTTAGAGAGCAGCATGTCAAGGACATGACCCATCCTTTGTTTAGCAAAAATTCTCATCCAACAACACCTTGGCTTGCACGCATTTGGGTGCTCCAAGAAAGTATTGCGCGCCTCTAGATGACTCTTAGTGGGCCATTTTCAGGTCTCTAAGAAAAAGCCATCCTCGGCGGCAATGGATTTAAGGGCGAAGATGGTAGCTGAAGCCGAAGCCACACACAAAATCTTCATCCCCAACACCCCACTCAACATCTCTCAAACAGCAGGGCCAATTCTCAGGCGATGCAGAGCTTGAGGGAGAGGAGCAGGAGGGATCGAGCTGGCGGCCATGCTTCCTCTATCTTCATCCCTCCGACACAGAGCCGGAGAGAGAGAAAGAAATGGTGGAAGGCTCAATTGGCTTTCAGCGAGAGGACCACGCAATCTGCAATTATTCGGACTCGAGCGAACTATGCCATCCAGGCGTCTTTATCAACAATCAGGGGAAAAGGGAGTCGTACGTGGCGGCGGAAGCCATTTTGTTGGGCGAGGGCTGTCGGCGTTGGGTGAAGTTGGTGATGGGAGGTTGGATGGGACAGAGAGGGAGAGAAGGGGAAGAGAAGCAAGAGCTCTAATTAAGTGTGTGTGGAAATGGACGTCTCAAAAAGAATTTTTTTGCCATGTACCCTCGTACCTTTGGGAAATTCTGGCGGTCTGCAAACAATTGTTAGGACTTAGGGCTTAATGGATGCTCCCCACTTTTCAGACTCACCGCCTTCTTAGATTGGGCAGTGTCTTTTCTGCCGCTTCCCACACTAAATCCTGAAATGCCCCAAACCCTCACAATTGCAGTCAATTAAGCCAAGGTGGAGCAGACCCCAAGTCAGCCGAAAAAAGGTACATCCCACGACATCTTCGATCTTTTTTTCATCTTCACTTCTCCATCCCTCAACATCCCCCATCAGCCCCCCCCCCAGATCACACAAAATGCCTCCCAAGAAGACTCAGAAGCCCGCCCAGGAGAACATCTCCTTGGGCCCCCAGGTCCGCGAGGGTATGTGAATTTTTATCTCGATACTGGTCGCGAATTCGCGATCCAGAGGAACCGCCTGCGAAGAAACGTGCTCGCTAACCTTTACCCCTCGGCCCACAGGTGAACTCGTCTTCGGCGTCGCCCGTATCTTCGCCTCCTTCAACGATACCTTCGTCCACGTCACCGATCTCACGTATGTATCCACCTGAAGCGTCTTCTGGGCACTTTTTTTTGCGACACCGATATCAAAGAAGAGAGAGAATCAAAAACGACAAGAAGAAAATGGTTTATAGGCTAACATGGGTGATTCCAGTGGCCGTGAAACCATCTGCCGAGTCACCGGTGGTATGAAGGTCAAGGCCGATCGTGACGAGTCCTCCCCCTACGCTGCCATGTTGGCTGCCCAGGACGTCGCTGCCCGCTGCAAGGAGCTCGGCATCACTGCCCTCCACATTAAGATCCGAGCCACTGGTGGTATGTTTCCCCCTGTCCCTCAAAATTGAAAGAACCAGAGCAAAAATATGGATCAAGATGGCTAATTCAAAACTGTAACAGGTACCGGTACCAAGACCCCCGGCCCCGGTGCTCAGTCCGCTCTCCGTGCCCTCGCCCGTGCCGGCATGAAGATTGGTCGTATCGAGGACGTCACCCCCACCCCCTCCGATTCTACTCGCAGGAAGGGCGGTCGCCGTGGTCGTCGTCTGTGATTTCGTTGTTACATCGCTTCCATTCTGGGCGTTCGTATCACGTGTGGGTGTTTGGTTCTGGAACAACTATTCTTCAGGAGTCCGGACCTTCTTTTTGGTACTGTCGGGGCCATGATGGGGAACTCAAAAGACGCGGGGAACGGCCTTGCTGCCTGGTCTCCATCCTTCTGCATCGCTGTGATCACGTATTTAGTATGTTTCTAGGTAGATCAAAACATCAGCTGCAGCTCAGGCTCCCGGAATCATTGCACATGAATGAAGAGAGAAAAAAAGGTGGAATTGGAAGACAGTGACACAATCTTTCCGAAGACTTGCTCAAAACCCTTGTGTGAATTGCGTATATTTAAGTGCTCATCATCGGACGATAGGTCGGAGGTATTTTATAGACTCGTCAACAGTCTATTTAACTTTGAGCGGCTCGTTTTAACTATTATACACTGGGATCCATTCCCCCCTCAAGATCCCATTATTTATTGATCCAGAAGCCCGTATTAACGAAGAAGCAAAATCCGAGCCCAATGCGACCGTGTTAACGCCAAAAGTAGCTCATCAAATGCCAAAACACTTCACAACCCCGGCTTCAACTTCCAAACCGACCTTCCGCGAACCGCCGACTCATCCTCAACGCAGACGGCATACAAAGCCTTCTTAAACAAATCAGATGGGATACCACGATGCTCCCTATTGAAGTAGGTCACAAGATCCTTGGTCTGCGTCTTGCCACCCCTCCGCTTGACGAAGTTGACGATGGAGGCCTTCACCTTGTCGAGATTCCACTTGGACTTGTCAGGCCCAAGGGACATGGCCTTGATCGGGTTCGGGGTCGGCCTCGCGTCTGACGGTCTACCGGACGACCGCGCAATATGCGCTCTCGACGACTGTTGGCGCAGGAACTGGACAGTCCGCTCGTTCAGACGGTGCGCTTCCTGCTCCGTCAGTCGCTTCTCTGGCGGTTGGCGATGCCGGGCACCCACGACGTCGTCGTGATGATATACCGCCTCCGCGTTGCTCGTAACAACTGCGTCGAGGAGGTCATTCTCATCCGCGACGGGATCCTTGTAATCCTCAACACCGCCGAATTTCTGGACGGCATTAAGGGCTCGGCTTTCGCTCTCTTTCGACGCTCCAGCGCTGGCACCGGCCCCAGCTCCGCGATGGGCTAGAGTCTGGGTTCTAGCATCCACTCCTCCCCGAGATGACTTCTGGGGGGTAGTAGGCTTCACGTTGTCAAAGAGAGGTGCCTCCGGCGCGTCGTACCCGTAGTCAAAGAGATCACGGAGGTTTGTTGAATCGAAGTACCGGTTGGTGTTACCATCCTTGAGCATGTTGTCTGCAACAAATTGCTTGTACAGCTGCTTTCGATACATTTTCTCCTCGATCGTACCAGGGGTCAGAAGTCGGTAGATCTTGACGGGTTTTGTCTGACCCAGCCTCCAGGCACGCTCGATAGCCTGTCGGTCGACGGCGGGGTTCCACGCAGGGTCATATAGGATCACGCGGTCGGCCCCGGTAAGGTTCAGGCCGACACCCCCAGTCTGCGGAGTTAGGAGGAAGACGTCCAAATCCGGAGACGCGTTGAATTCATCAACCATATGCGGCCTCTCGGTATTGGGTGTGTTGCCGTCCATGCGCAGAAAAGACATGTTCTGAGACCGCAGGAGTTTCTCAATCATGTCTAGGATGTCAAGACTTTGGCTAAAGACCAGAGTCTTGTGGCCGAATTGCTTGGAAATCCGCAGAAGTTCTGAAAGAACCTGCATCTTAACCGACCGGTCAATGTGCCCGTAATCGGGCAACTCGGATCTATTCCGTTTATAAAGGAGGTCAGGGTGGTTGCAGACCTTCCTCAACATCTCGATGGCCGAAAACAATGCCCGGCGTTGAGACTCTGCAATTCCTCCGAAGTTGAAGGCTCGTTTGACTTCAGGAGTATCCAGCGCCTCACGATAGATCGTCTCCTGTCGAGGCGTCAACTTGCAAAAGAAGACTTGCTCCGACTTTGGCGGTAGGCTGTTAGCAACATCCGCTTTGATCCGGCGAAGCATATACGGTTTTATAGTATCCCGCAGGGTCTTGGAACACTTGTCGCCCGTGGCGATGGAGAGGGTGCTCGCTCCTTTATGGTGGCCGGCCTTGATTGGAGTTTCGAAGAATTCCATAAACTGACGTAAATCTCCAAGCAATCCAGGATTGACAAACTCAAAGAGTGAGTAAAGCTCTCGGAGGTTATTTTGGATGGGCGTGCCAGATAGGATGATCCTGTGCCAAGTATTGAGTTGTTTGCACGCCTTTGCGGCATCCGTAGTTCGATTGCGAATGTGGTGGCCCTCATCAAGAACAGCGTAGCCCCAATTGATTTCCGAGAGTTCGTCCAGGTAAGTATCCAAACCTCGATACGTTGTCAACAAGATATGGCCGCCCTTGACCACATCATTGATGATTTTGCGCGCAGCGTCAGATTTGGTGGCGGGTTTGGACGAAAACCTTTCGTCGTCCTCGAGCTTAGGGTTCATCATTCCCGTTCCTGTGGAGTGGAGGATGGACACTCTCAGGGGAGGCCACCATTGATGGAAATGCCTAACCCACTGGGCAATGAGAGTGGTAGTAGCAAGAATGATGACTGGGCCGTCGAGTTTCTTGCTGAAATGAAGCGAAGCAATGAATGAAATGAGTTGGACTATGCAAGGAGCAAGAAGGTTAGTAAAAGGAAAGTAAATAGCGGGAAAGAGTGGCATCATCGCACATACCTGTCTTGCCAAGTCCCATCTCGTCACATAGAATTCCGCCTTCTTTTCGAGAGTGTAACTCCGCAAGCCACTGAATCCCAACTCTCTGGAAAGGAAATAAGAAATCGTAGACTTCCTCGGGAAGATAATAATCTTCATAAATCCTCTTATTCGGTTTTCCCGGTGTTGGTTTGAACCACTCTTCTTCTTCACCGTCATCTTCGCGGTCCGCATCGGCTCGGGGGAGGCTAGCACGCAGCTTCTTTCGCTCGTTAACCCATTTGGATAACCTTGCCTTGTATGCCGATTCCTTGGCGTCGTCAATAACGGACAACTTGACAAGGTGTTGTTTGGTGCCATCCTCAGCAGAGGATTCCACAACATCAGATTCTCCATCGACGCCGGCGCTGTAGTCTTCATCCTCATCTGCCTGCCGACGTCTTGGCCTCTTTGCCTTCTTGGAGCGGCGACTTTTGCGAGGGCTTTCATCCTCCTCTTCCTCGTCGGTAGCTACTTCTCCCACGCGTTGTCGCTTTCGAGGCCTCAAGCCAAACTCCGTCTCAAGATTGGCGGCAGCTGGGTCCGTTGATGCACCATCATCAATAGGGGGGCGGAGAAGTTGGGTTCCAAAACCAGGTTGCCGAAGGACCTGGTGGGAGGTTTGAATTTGAGGCTCATCGCCGCCAGCGACGTCGGGAATGTTGATCTGACGGGCAACATCATTTACTCCTGCCTCTTCTTCTTCTTCTTCTTCATCCACCTCAGGGACGGCGGCGAATGGAGTAATCTTTCCAGTGCGGATCAAAAAAGCACGCCTATCCTCGCCCTCTTCCTGCGTAGGACCGGCACGACGAGTTTCCTGCGTTGTTGTAGCCGAAGAGGCAGCAGCAGCCTCAGCAGCAGCGGCATCCTGCTGGCGCTGTTGAATTCGGCCCTCGAATGCAATAATCTCATCGAGATTGTCAGCTATCTTCTCGGAGCAGGAAAGAATCTTGTCGACGATGGCATTGATTTGACTCTTTGGAGCTCGAATGCGTTCCTTCGTCGTCTTCTCGATGGCGAGTGCCTTCTTCTGCTCCTCTAGTTTTGCGATCTTAGAACGGAGATTCGCAATGCGGTCCTCGTCCTTTTTATTCTCCTTGTCGATGGCCGCTGCCCTAGCCTGAGCGGAAGCATCGCGCTCGATGTCTGCGTGGTCTTGGATATCGACCAAGCCTTGGAGCGCAGAGGCGACATCACCGGCTTCTCCATGATCAGAGGGTTTATGAGGATCAAGGCTCGAGGGATTATCTGTCGGCGGATGCCTTGTATCCGGTTCTTGGGAATCAGGCATCTTGGGACGACTTGCTAGCAGCTTTCCGTGGTTGTGGCAAGATTCACAACAGGGAATTCGGAGGATTGGGGATCATGTGTGGTGTGTGTTTGTGCTTTTGTGTGGATTGGAGAAATCAATAAATAAATAAATAGAAGCACGAGATTTCTGTGTAGGGTTCAGATGTCATATGAACCTGGTGTTTTGTGAATCACCACAAAGAAGCAGAAGGAAGGTGCAATCCAGGTCTCAATAAGAACCCTTCACAGATCGATCCTGTCCAACATTCTCAACATCAACTAGACTACCTTCAAATTTGGTAGATCCTAGAATTAACACCCTGGTATGATTAGTGTAAACTCAGTCTACTCTAATTTAGAGCATAAAAGTGCCTGGGCTAGATGCCAAGGCCGTCTTGATGAGGTTGAAATCCGAGGCAAGTTCACAATCGTGAAGGCGATTGCTCCTTCCTCTAAGTAAGGGAGTGACGTTCCAGGCAGACATTGAAAGTTCGGTTATAACGATTCCTGCTGATAAATCTGTAAATCTATAAATCTGTATGAAGTAATGGTGGCTAAAATCCAATCTCACGTGATTGCGACTGCCATGCATGCATGGAAGACTCTTGCCAGTCTTAAACTAGAACAGCGAGAGCTTGACAGGCTAAACCGGAACGGTGCTGTGTCGATCCTTGCCCTGAAGCGCAGTCCCTCAACGCCACCAGTTTTGACTCGGGTAGGTGAGTGTGCTAGATCAGTTTCGGCGACAGCCAGCACCTCCTTCAAAGTGCCGGGTCTCGGACACCCCACCTTTCCGTTCGGCGTCGGATCCCCGAGTTCGTGACGAAGTACTTCGTAAATTTTACGGCGCCGTCAAGTTCAATCGCGTAGAAACATAACTAGAACCGGGAATCACGGCCATTTGCAGAGACGGGCTCTATTTTAGAGCCCTCCCCATCATCAGTACTTAACTAACATAACAGCATTCCATGATTCCTAGTTGAGTCGTTGATCCTCCCCTCATTCTCAGTGATGCAAGGAGGTCTTCTCTGACGCCCGAATGCAACGGTGGTTTTCTTCTTCTTTTGTATCTGCCACTCTGGATATGCGCGCCTCGAACTGTGAGACCCTGTTAGGTAGCATCATCCTGCGGTCGTCCGTGCAATCGCAAGCAATCGCAAGGAACCCCGCCTCTGCCTCAGCATTCCTTGCCTCCCTCGTTGTGGAAATATCACCGTCATAATTCCGCCCTAAATCAAGTCCCATGCATTCGGGGACGGAGGTCGAGTGAAGCGAGATCACGGCACATTTACTACTGAGGTACCGAGTACAATCCGCTGAAGCCGAGCTCGATCTCCATGCTTACTCGTGCTGGATCTACGGTCGAGGCCCTCCGCCCTCCACACATCTCGTACATTCACATGTCCTGCATACCAGATCAGCCATGGCTAGCGATGCGCCAATAAAGATATCATGGAAATACTTAATCCCCCGCATTCAACCGCCAAAACTGTAAATAACCAGCAAGAGCGCGTAATCTTACTAGCGGCCATCAAAAAGGGCCTCGCCGATCTCCCTGCCTAATCGCCTGCTAACCAGACGGTCGGGTTTGGTGGCGCTTCCGGGGCGTACTCTCGGACTTACGAGTGTAACGGTAACGGTAGCCGGGCATGGAGATAGAGTGGGAAACCCGGGGCATGAGGCTGAACGATGGCCGGAGAAATCCCATGTCCGGGAATTGGCCTTTGCATGACGCGACGATCCTTTCTTACTTGCGATGTTCCACATATATCATTTTAGAGCTGTTAGAGAAGCTCCATTTGCAAAGTCAGCTTGAGCCCTAGCCTAGAGAGAAGAGTTCAAGATGCTCACTAATAAAGTCTACAGTATCAGACGAAGAAACATGCTAGATATGGCATATAACATCCGGCTTATGAGATCCTAGTGAAACCCGCTGAACCGCAAGCCTCAGCACTTTCCGAACTTGAAACAGGAAAGTACTTCTGTCCATGACTCCATGACCCCCAGCTCTCTAAGGCAGAAGGCAACGACAGCTCGCAAGACCTCGTCGCGGATGCGACAGCTTCGGTCCGACACAGATCCAGCAATCCCCGTTCTTGCTTGCATAACCGTATCAACCGCTTCTCATGAGTTAATAAAGCGAACAATGAAGCCATTTCAGAAATAGATGTGCACTGACTCGCAGCTAACACGCAGTCCTACACAAAATTACCTCCCTCAACCCGGGTCCGTTTGTTTCGAGGTGTGGTGCAAAGCCGTGACTGGCAGAAGCTCACCTATATCACGGCTGATATCAACATTCTGGGCCAGGGTTAAAGACAACGCATACCTCCCTGCCGCGGACACCGCCCTACCTAGACAAACCGAGGCCACCACATGCAACCCTTTTTCATACAAAGCAGCAGGTACTTCGTAGTACCCCACTGCCACGCCCATCCTCGTCAAGCGGGATAAAGAGGAAAGGTGGGCGAATCGGAACTGACTACCGCCAACACACGCTTTTCCACCAAACCATTACCACGTACCTATATAAGCTATCTTATACCTCAATGCAGACAACCACCCAACCGAGGACGATGCTACTAGATGCTTCCCCGAGCTCCATTGACACTAACTGCATCTCTTCTCCGCTTCCGCGACCAATACTAGCCCCCACTTCGAGCCGTCAGGTCTCCCCCAACCTTTCTGCGCTGTTGAGCTCCATCCACTCGCCTCCTCGAGTCGTCGAGTGCCATCAGGCACCTGAAACTCATGTACGCACTGCCACACTCGAGTAAACGTAGCAGCGAAACTTCGTCCATACAGAGAGCGGTAATCTACGAGTTCCGGGATCTAGTGAGACCTTCTAAACTGACGTACCATTACACCGAGCATAATCAGGTTTTCATTATAGGCGAAGAGGAGCATAAGTCTATAGAAACGAGAAAAAGAAAAGAAAAAAAAAAATACGAGAATCAGATGTTGAACCAGAAGGTTGAACCAGAGGAATGAAGCCAAAAGGAAGAGCTAAAACCGAGGCCTTTGAAGTCGAAAATATCGAGAATCCATTGGGCCTCGATAAGAAATGAAGAAGAGAAAAATTCGACAAAAAAGAGAAAAGTGAAACAATGAGAAAGGAAAAAGAAGCCGCGGAGAAAACAGAACAATATGGCGCGCAAAACACACTCGCCAGACAACCAGAAGAGAAAGAAACTTGCAAGGACTCGATCGACCACATGAGCAGGCCCCATTAACGTCCTCAGCAAGAGCTCCAAGTCTCCATACCCGGCAAACCGAAAATCCGCATCCTCTCAACGCCGAATTCTCCGTCGTCGAAACCCACCCTTCTATTTGATTCCACCCATCTTCCCATCATCAATGCCGTTTTACCTAGTGTCATCAACATTATGCTCGCAAGCACGTTAGCTTGCTTCGTACAGTCCCCCTGCGTCAATTTGCCTCCATGTGATGATTCTCCTCCGCCACAGCCTGTGCCATATATAAATGACAACGCATCATTCATCCCCCTGTGAGCGATGCTGGCGGAGAACAGAAAGGAACGAGAAGTCTGCCGGCAGACGGGGACACCGCCTTCCTAGCTTGTAAGTCGACTTAACCTTCGCTTGGGCATGCCCGCACACTTGCGGCAGATAATCAATCTGATTCAAGGGGAGGTTGGGGGTTTCCCTCATCTGCTCAGAGTGCAAAGTGGCAGCCGCCCACACCACACTTCTCTGTAATATCAAAATGCTCTGGTGCCGGAACCGGGAAAAGGATTGCCAGTCCGCATCGGCACATCATTGGTCGTTATTATCCGAAAAGGCTCCCGCTGTCTTCTCTTCGATTTGTTGTTCGTCGAATTTAATTCGATATGTCTCGGCCCGGCAGTTGATGCTGAATTTGACATTATTGTTCCCATTATGCGTCGCCCCTCACATAGACATTGCCCTTTTGACACAAGCGAGGTCGCCAAGTCGTCTGTACAGCCAGGCCCTTGGCATTCATTGTGGAGGCCTTTCGGTTTCGGGTAGTGCCCGGCGGAAGAGATGACGCGAATCATCCAAACGACAAGGAAAGAATAGGTCTATTGTTCGTCGCATGTCGCATACCGCAAATAGGAAAGAAAAAAAGAAAGAGAGGAAACAAAGAAATCAACAATAGTAGTTCGTCAAGGTCCATGTACATATCCGCCATGCCTTGGCTATCGTAAGCTAGGCCAAGTTGCGTCTTCATAGAAATCAAAAGCAAACAAAGCAAATAAAGGAAAGCTAGCTGCAAACTAGCCATAGGTTGTTGTAAAGAAGGAAGAAAAACCGCGGGCTAAGGCCCGATTGTGGCATTGAAAGAAAGGCAACTAGCTCGAAGGATACCCTGAACTCTGAGCTGGTGCCGAGCAATCGTAAGATCAATGGAGTCCAGATGCATTAAGAGTATTTCTGGTTCGTGTTGGAACACCGCGCCAAGCGTCCGGGGTGAGGAAAGAGAAAGGTAAAGGGTCTCCGCTTGGACATTGCCACATGGTCAGGGAAATACCAGGCAACACAGCCAGTGATCCTTGTCTTCCTTAGGGGCGGGAGTTGGTACACGTTGTTGTGCCCATCACGTAGGTAGACGAATGGACTTAGATCTTTTGGGAAGAAGAGCAAGTCGTCCCCGGTTGGTTATGGGGTCTTGTCGTTGTTGTTCTGATATCGAGGTCTTGGTCTGGAGTCGCCAAACGACACAGGAGGACGGTCGAGATTATCTGTCTTCTGCGAGAATCCTGCACCGGTTCTCTCAGTTGTAGTTTGCCAGTCAGGCTTCCTGGTCAGACCTATCGTTTGGCGCCGCGTGATGAAGGCTCTCCGCTTTCATGGTAGAGCTCCCGCCTCATCAGTGGAGCTGCTGCGGGTATACTGTGTCCCCTAGCTCAGGAGCTGAGACTCCTGGAGGGGACATTGAATGCTATAAGCTCTCTCCCATCAGTTGGGCTGCCCTTTCTCGGCACGCGACAGGAGTGAACCCTGTCCCGACCTTGTTCGCAACTATGCGCCATTTCTCGTTCTCGTAGTCTTGGAGCGCCGATCGTAGTTTTTGATCCTAGTATTCATTAGTCCAAGTACAAGGCAGTGCTCCGTCATCAAAGCACAACCCTCTACAGCCAAGTCGTATGTCCCGGGATCCATGGTAAATCACTTACAGTTTCTTCGGTCCACTGGGTTGTCTTCGCCTTGAGCTTGGTGCAGTACCGAACCTGGAGAGTGCCTGAAGACCTGCCAGGGAAGAAATCCGCGATTTGCTTCCAAGTTAAACTCTTGTTCTCTTTGAGGTCGATTAGGAGTTGATCATCTTCGGGTGTGAATTTAAGCTTTGGCCCTCGCGGTCGCGGGGCTGGTGCCGGCATGCCGGCCTGACCGACCATGCTCGGGGCTCCTCCTCCGCCTTCGCCATCGCGCCTCATCATCTTTGTCGGTGGGCCGGTGTCTGGCAATCTGTGGTGGTGATGTGTGGGAGGCGCCCCCGGAGGCTGCTGCTGCTGCTGCTGCTGTTGCTGTTGCTGCTGATGAGCAGCCGCCGCATAGGCTCCCATAGGGCCCTGCGGCATCCCATCTAAGTCGGGCTGCTCCAAGTCTGTGATGCCGGGAACCGAGAGGTCGAGATCGTCGGGTCGCGGCCGCTTCACGCCGGCTCCGTGAGAGGGGTGTGTCGGCTGGGTTGGTGTCGACATGGACGGATAGAGAGGCGCCACCACCGGGCCCGGCGCACCAAAGTGCGGAGGACCTAAGGGGTGCCTCGGATGGCTCATGTGGGAAGGATCCATCAGCACCTGGTGCGGATGGTGAGGGTGATGTTGCGACATGACGGGGTGGTGAGGATGGTGAGTCGGCGGGTGCTGCTCGGGAGGGTCATGGAGCCCGCTAGGCGGCGCCCTTTGATGGTGGAGTGTGGCCTGATGCGGTTGGTGGTGCGTAGGCGTCTCGTATGCGTGCTGCTGCTGGTTCTGCTCGCCCGGATGCGAATCCTGGGTAGAGTAATCGACATTGTAGTCTCCTACACGATAGTTGCCCGCCAGTGTGCCTCCGATGCATGGGTCCCGCCAGAGCGAACCGCTCTGGACGGCCGCCGGGCTCTGAATGGAAAGAATTTGATGGGAGGAGGCCCTCTGGGGCAGCGTCGGCAAACCGGGAGGCTGACGTTGTTGGGAAGAAAGATGCGTGGGACTCGGTGTTACCCCTATGGCTGCCGTGGTTATGGTTCCTTGGTGGACTCGGGGGGTAATCTAACGGGAGTGTTAAGCGACAACCAGCCAAGTACATAGATATATACCCTCAGCGCTGGCGAAAAGGTTGGCTGAAAGAACGTGGAGTTGAAATGCTGGTCACCGCCGAAAGGTTGTATATATGTAAGTGATTTCAAGGCGTGGGCTAGCGTCGCTGTAATGGATGTATAGGGTAGGATGATTGGATGCCTGAGGGGCCGGGTGGGTGTGGATGGTAGCAGTGGTATCACTGAGAATGAATGAAGTATGTCAGTAGAAAATCCTTTCCATGGTTCATATCCGACGCACTAAAAGTGATACGACACCTTTTCCCTTAAAAGTCGCCTGTACCTTTGGTATTAGAGGCTCTTGTTTCTCAACTCAAAATCGGAGAGAAGGAGGATCGAGGTAAAATGTAAGCCGGGGGTGTAGCGAACTGATGTGCCTTTTAACGGACGGTCCGAGTCGTTTAGTCAAGCACGCCGTCAAGGAATATAAGCTTCCGGGATCTTCTCTGGTGAAATCTGAGTCCCCTGTTTTTCTTAACTTCGGTTTCTCATATGGTGACAGAAAGTTAGAAGCAGGGACGATCAATAAGTGAAAGCGCTTATGAAGTGCTTATAAGTGTGTGGTGGGCCAGGGCCGCATTATATCGTCTGATCTGCCAGAGACATAGAGCGGACGGTGTGAGCTTCCGGGTGTACAGAGAGAGAGGGCTGGAACACCCTGGGCTACTTCTCCTTTCATCCCACAGTTAAAGCACTTAGTGACTTGCTGCAATAGCTGCGAGACGTATCCTGTCCTCTCGATCGGTGCGCAGTGGGACCCAGTGAGCCTTGGCCTGCGATGACGGTAGCATAATTTTGTTGATCTTATGCTCTCGTCTTGTCTTGCGTCCCGTTATAGAAACAACAAGGTATTGTGGTCTGTAGTAACCCTGGTCTCAAAGTTCCAGACACAACCTGGCAGGGGAGGGGTGTGACAATGGAGATAGGAGCCGAACAGGGTGGAGGGCCGAATTGCACTATGAAGTAGCCAGGTGGTACCTTGACGACAAGATCCCGTTATTTGCTCATGAAGACATCTCCACAAGAATACCACGCAAGGAACGACAATACTTCGTAGGCGTACGAACAGTGTCTTGAGCACACACAAAGCGAGAACTTCGCGTTGGCTGGAGAATGTTTAGAAGCTATGGGCAAAGCAATCAAGCTAATAGAGGCTGAAACAAGCCCTACCATGCGGATGCCGATGATGGAAGCAAGAGGGGGTGTGGAACAACTGTTGTTTTCCAGTTGATTTGGGGAGAAGGAAGGGATAGGAAACCTGCCCGACTCGTCCTCTTTCCTATACCCCATACATTCTTCCCTAAGAGAATTGCAACATGTTTGGCTCATCCCGCGTTGATTCTCTAGTGCTTAGATGCGCTTGTCGCTAGTGTCCCCTGCGCAAGCGAGGAAACAACCACTGCAAGTATATTCGGGTGCAAGACGAGAAGCACTGCATGAGGAGGAGTGGGCGAATACCTAAAATTTCCTCTTCCATCGACTTCAAGGAGTGTACATTGTAATGTACCGGATCCATTGCGAAAAAGAAAAAATCGCCGGCAGCAGAGCAGGGGGATGGTGGGCTAGGGCGAGCATGGATGATAAGTACCGAGTACTTATGCAGTTCTGCAACAATAGAGGGGTCTTCGACGTGCTGGGAAAACATGAATACTACTTCCTCCTCTTTGTCCGGCATTCTCGTGATGGAGGCTATATCAGACTGGGGTAGGGTATAATAGAGGTGCAAGGAAAATCTTATTAGTTCTTCGACCCCGTCCTGGCCACGCGGGCTCCCACGCTTCACACAGTGGAAGAACAGCGTCTTCTGCCACACCTGCATTAGACTTCGTAGATTGCCGAAGGTCACAAGCGAATAGAAGGAAGAATAATATATGAACTGTAATGATAAGCAAAAATGGAGAGGCTGGGTTAATGTTCACACTCTCGTTGCGCCTTGCTGGAAAGGCACTGGCTGATTTCATCCTTGGGTCGCTGTGCAATAGTCACTTCTTCGATCAGAGTAATTTGATCCGGCTCACTTGAGTCCCTCTCATTGGATTGTGCTCGCCGGCTCCGATTCGGATAAATGTTGGGACACAGGACAGACCAAACGACGGCACTTACAATCTTTGGAAAAGGAGAGACATATCTAAGAAAGAGGTATGGCCAAACCATGCCATCCTGGACATGAAGGGATCCTGAACTATCTTGGCTGAGTTGCAGGGAAATTGCGAAAAATGCCAGGCGTAGATGAACCAGATGATACAGGTAAAAAAAGTGAGTGCACTTTCTGTCCGCGCAAAGAGGAGCTCTTCCCGAGCGCCTCCATTGAGAAGACGTGAAATACAGGAAAGGCGAAGCGATCGATCAATCGATGTTAGCCTCAAGCCAGCCAGCCGCCTCCCGATCCCGATGTCTTCTCGTACTTGGTACAGAGTAGTGGGGAGAGGAGAACCCCCGCTCTTGCAGCTTTGCAATTGTCCGAGGCCCTTGCTCTGATGAATCTGGGGGACATGGCAGGTAGCCGGCATGGCCGAACCCAACGTCACTCCAACTTGGACGGTACCACACCGTCCTCCCTTCTTTCATCGCTTCCCAAAGTCTCGCAACTAAGTACTTTATTGGAGATGTTACCGCAATCCTATCAATCGCTGCAGGGGAAGACCTGGTGCTAGGATGCGTGGTACTGTGGTGCGAACCACAATGAGTTTAGGGCCAAAAGTTTGATATGGGGCTGTTGCAATGGAGCTGGCCATGACCTTAACAAGAATACCGAGATTGATTTATTGACGAGCTTTCGAGTACCGAGCGCTAACCACTTCGTAGAGATAGCCTCTACTCCAACCAGAGGCGAACTCGGTTGTGCTCAAATTGTTTGTCTCGAGCCTCCCGCCAGCTGGCAGTCGAGGTTAGCCCGGCCATGATGACAGGATCGGAATCGGGCTCAGGCAATTTTATTCTTGGGGAAGGTAAATGAACACGCGGTAATTGCCAATTCTGCTTGTTCAGGGATGCGCATGAAGCAATTTTGTTTCATGGGACCTGGTAATAAAATGCGGATTATGCTTTCTGGGCGGTTGACAGGGTCTGGGGCGCCAACTGAAGCTGGGATAAACGTCAGCCGGCAACAAACTTGAAGACCCTGGCGAGAGGCAGGGCACCTTACCAAGTCGGGGGCTCTTCTAGAAGCATTTCCGCAGCTTCTAGCGCCTGGTCAAGGGGACTGTTCCTCGACCAAGACGAACGAACAGACCTCGCATTCGATATGATTGCAATCCTTGGATATGACATGGTCGGAGAAAAGCTGCAGGAATGTCGGGTCTGTGTCTGTGTGGTATATTGTCGTTGGCCAAAGTGACACTACGAAGTACGAAGTAATATCATCGATCAATAATTCCAAGCTACTTGTGCATGCAATGTTCAGAGGGTGTGAAGATACCACCACCTGCGGCCCGTGGCTGTAGTGTACCTGCTCACAAGCTACCCCGAGCTGGAAGGAACATTCCGACGCAAGACCAAGCGGGGGAAGGTATAATTCAAACGCGCTTTGAGATCTTGCCTTCAATCGAAACTTTTGAAGGGACTCATTCCACCATCTTCCTAGGAGGTGCTACCCGGTACCGCCAGACACTCTAGCTGTGAAGTACTGACTGGCGCACCAAAATTGCTACTTCTAGTTTAGAACTCATGAGCAGGCAACACTGGCGGATCGATTTAATGCGGAAGCCTGCATCACCCACTGAGAATTCGGGGAAGTGGAAATCAGCATCTGATGTGGAGTCGCAAACCAAATTCGGGCCCAGTGCCGAGATTGCCACTTTCTATTTTGGGTTGACAGGTCGTCAAAACGCACCCGGAACTAGCAGAGATGGTAAACTCTTCCAGCACCAACATGGAAGGAGCCTTGCACATCGAATTGCCCCTGAGGAGTAATTGACCATGTTTCTTCACTTCATATGAAGCAGCAGTGGTACTTCTTGCGCTGGCAGACAAGGGTTGGCACCCGTCTTCCGTGGAAAAAGAGACAAGCGCGCCAGGGATAATAATAACCTTCAACCAGGCAATAATATTGATCCGGCATCAATGATGTACATATTACTGGTATTGCTGGTATCGCACCTCGATGAGATGAACTTGTCGATTGAACCATAGGCCGTACCGAGTCGTCGGGAATTCCAACCCTTGATGTCTCCTGCCTTTTTGGCGCAATTGACGAACGCCCTAGCGAGTTTACTTCAGCACCAACAATCAAAATGGAAATTGCGTCCCAGCTGTTGTTACGGCCCGGCCATGTAGGCTTGTACCCCGTCGCACCTCATATCAGAAATCAAGATGAACGGAAGCAGCTTGTCTCCTTTTGCCTTGGATCTCTTCACAACACACGGACATCAAAGTTTGTCTATTTGGTGGCAAAGCTGGTGATCTTGTCAATCATGTTAGAGAATCAACCCCAACTGCTACCCCCTTTCCACTGCGCCCAACTTGAGGGAACTTGGCGATCCTGGACTGTAGCAAAGTCGGAAACATTGAACTCTCCAAGCGCAAGCATCGGGCAATTTGTGGTGGGCAGTTCAACAGCGCCCGAGTGTCCGATGGTTGAGATGCCAGCTCTTTTCCCTTTCCTCTCTTGCGCGACGCAGCTTGTGATACTGCATGTGCCTCGCCTAGGAATGCGCTCCCGGGACCCTGCGTATTTCTAACCCCAATGGCAATAGGACTTCCGGGTACTTTTCATAGCGCAGTACCAGGTTTGGCAGGGATACAAGATGATGGAGGGTGCTCTCCGCGAATATTCGCCTTTTGCGATCGCCAGGTGATGGACATAATTCACAAATGTAATTTTACACCTCCAACCATCCGTAGAATTTGAAAAGACATCAGCCGATGCTCTTCATGCCTCGGTGGTGATTTGGGTGTAGACGGTGGGGCAGGCCGGGGCGAGGATGCACCCGTTGCCGTCCTTAGTGCTTCCTCCGATGGCGTGCATAATACCGATAAGTGGGAGTGCAAGATTCCCATGGCTAGTACCCAGGGGGAGGAGAGACAAACGAGCGCCATCTAGTAGCTTTTTTCTTCGTATTGGTACCAGCCAGGATTTATTCGCGAGGCCTTTACCTGTGTACTTCATACGCCTTGGGACCGATGCTAGCTTCGACGCATCTCGATATGGGCATTAGCCAGGCGACTAGTAGACAGATAAATCCACCCCAGCACCCTGCGGACTATGCCGTGGAAGGTAGTAGCCTCTTGAACAAAGTGGGACGTAGCTATTAGCTTCAATCTCATTGTTTGATTTCCATTTGATTTGACAAGATCCATTTTCAGCATGTGGAGGAGCCCTGTTGTGAAGAGTCAATGAAGGATGTTGCCGCACCTTATTTGTATCGAGGGGAGCGGAACCAAATTATTCCGTTAAACGTCTCGAGTGCGACTCCACCATCCATCAGTGAGCCTAACCAGCCCCTTGGTTCCGTAAACCCGGAATACTATTCATCTATCCTCATAATTGTACCGTAATCAAGCAGTGGGATCCCGCACGGTGACCAAATGTGACGGGGACTCTGCTCCCGAGCTGTCGGATACAAGGACCCTGGGCTCTCGAATCCTACCAGCGTCAGACGGTATGGCAACGAAGGCTGCAACCCCAAGGGTATTTTTCGACCACTACGACGATACGAAAGTCTTGATGTAAGCTTTGTTCCACTGCCACGAAGTGTGTTTCTAAGAACGAAGCATGACGACACGAAAGGGGCTTGCCTGATGAAGTTGGACAGCCGATGCTGGAGAGAAAGTACAACTACTTCGTGCATGT